GAGGGAACATTAAAAGAGGGTTCGAGGAATTACTGTCGCGGAAATCGGAAAATAAACTAAATGCCAAAAAATGAGAAATGTCTTGGCCCACGGCATGAGACTTAATACTTATATTTTGTCCGTATATCTAAACATTTATTTTGCGCCAAGACATCTCCTTCATATTTTTGGCACTTTGTAATTTTCCGCAATTTTGCGACAATTAAATACAATTAATAAACGTCTTAAACCTTCATACAACAGGAAGCGGATACAAATTCTTCTTCCCCATTACTCTTGACATTTTATTCATTTGCGAAGTTTCCTAGGTCATCGCATTATGAGAAGCTGGGTCTTAGGTTGAAGCAGTTAGCAGCTTGTAGTTTCATTCTGTAAAACAATGGTTAATTGATGATAGCATCCATATTTCATAACACTTACTCAATATTTAATTCCAAAAAAAACTAGTCGGTCCTCCAGTAAGCATATAGCAAACTCATCCAGTATCGCATTCAGCATCAGAAATCAGCATCGCAGCTTGTCATCTCATTTCTAAATTATAAGTGTTTGAAAGATATTGGAATTGCGAAAAACGACGAGAAATAATGCGCAAATTTAAAATCAATTTCTATTCACTTATCGAACTTTTACCGTTATAATAAAACTTTAAAAGTTCTCTAAATATAACATCATTATTGTATTGAAAACCATCCACAAATGTGTTTCTGGCTTTTAATGGCCAAAATCAATACAAATCTGTCTGAAAACTACTTTTTTCTTAGAAAAGACAATGAAAATGCCCAAAAGTTTCAGTTAAAAATTTAGGATAACAAAAATATGCGAAAGTTTAATAAAAAACAGAAACGTTCCACTAAAATACGAGCGAATTGATAGATACACATTTTCTTAAGTTTTAGAAAAAAAATTACGAAAAAAGCTCGAGAAATGATCGAAAAAAAGCAATAAAAGTGTTTAAAATAAAAGACGCCATTTCGAAAAAAATCAACCGCGACGCGGCAATTCCGCGGCGCGGTATTTTGAATTGCTGCGGCACACCATTGACTGCTCCCGTTCGGGTGCTCACGCCCGAACTGGAGTCAACCGCTAAAAACCCCTGCTCCCAATTGGATGCAAATTGGCTGCAGTTCGGAAGTTGAAATAATCCTCTCCAGTTCGGAAGTGCGCCTGACACCGATTGAACGCTATCGCCCGAACTGTACCAGTGGGAACCTATCGGTCCCAGTTCGGGAGTGTGTCGGCGACCAATCGAGCGCTATCGTCCGAACTGGAGCATTTCGTTTGCACCGAGATAACCCACACACCACTGAACCACAACTGCTTGCCGTCACAGGCAAAACGCGACGGATGAAGTCCGGGCGAAGCCCGGATATTTGAACGCGACGGCTAAAAAACGGGCCAAGTACGGACCAAAAATTTCTTTGAAAGGCATCACGGACAAAAAACGGACAAAGTCCGGAGATTTATAGGCCACGTATTTAAAACGTGTTAATTACGGACCTTGATTTTAGGATGAAACGCCACGGCTAAAAAACGGGCCAAGTACGGACGAAATATTTCTTTGAAAGGCATCACGGACAAAATACGGACCAATTACGTGACAATTTTTTTCGAGTGAAAATGTCACGCACAAACAAAGGACTATTTACTGATCGACACTTCCTGGCTGAAACGGTACGACACAAAATTTAATTAATATTTAATATAACGGCTCCACTGGAAGCCGTGGCGACCGATGGCTGATTATTAAAATTTCTTGTTGCAGGTCGCCCGATACCGATGCGGTGACCATACCACGGCTCGAGACTTCCTTTCCTAAGATCGATGTGTCTAAGTTCGCTGCTGTCGATTCACCGTTATGCGTTCTAACTGTTCCACTCCATATTGATATTCGTTGTTTTGTAATGTAGAGATAATGTGGAAATGGGAGAGTGGGCGAGACGATGAGACGGTGGGCGAGAGAGAGTGCGAAATGAAGAGACGCACGCCATCATGCCATCGGGCAATGTCCAGCAAAAAGAGGGCCGCGGCCGAAGTTCACCTTTATTTAAATGCAAGTCCCCATTCGTAAACACCGGTTTAGTCAATTATTTATGCTTTTAGTCGTATTATTTCAGTTTATTAAGTTGTTTCCCCAAGCGCACCATCCACCATATTTAGTATCATCAAGTTTGTTATTAGTTTGTATATTCAATTTCGAATAATCTACACGATTTGTTTATATTTTTGCATTTATGTAATTAAAAAGTATTTTGCCGGTTTCGATGGCTCATAACGAAATGAATGAATCGGTGAGTTTTTGTTTCTAGATATATACTTTTGCCTCTCACTGGTTGAAGTTAAACGATGTTAAACGATTCATGTGGGGAGGGGCTAAAACTTTGAAAGTCCATATCTCGATAACTAGAAGTTTGCGCAGGTAGGGACCTAGTTCATTCGATTGGAAATTTTCTAAAGAATCTGTATGCAAAAAATAAAAAAATTTTAAGACGGACAGCAAAATGACCTCCCTTGTTAGTGGTTTGGAATTTTTTCTAATTTTGCACACAAACAGATCTGTTTGTGTGCAAAATGGTTTGATTATCTCTTAATTGTAATACATTTCATTGTTGTTTTTTAGTTTGTTTTAAATTAATATGAAATAAATTTTAAATACAGTGTTGCGAGGAGCAAGAAAATATGAAGAAAGATATTAGCAATTTAAATCCTGCGGTTACGGTGAATATCACGGTGTTTACACACACACCAGAGTTGGCGCGCAAATACACGAAGTTGAGTTGTTGGATTGTTTTAGGCCGGGCCCGAGTTACTTGATTGGTTTTCGCTGTTGTTTATATTTTCCTACCGTGCTGCTTCATTATTATTTGTATTCACATACTATCCATTCCCCCGACTAGCCATTATTGTTATTATTATCCGTTAACTAATTAAATTGCGCTTCGTTCGTTATTGTTGTCTAACGCTTACTTTAGATAAAGTTTAAATTGTAATTCGAGTTTTCCGACTTACAACATACAGCAATCAACTGGTTTTCCTATTCTCCCATATTGAAGGCCTACGGCTCATTCCATATACGAAACGCACGGTTCCGCAAAAAAATGCTTCCATTATGCTTCCATATAACTAGCATATAAGATTCCTATGATATCCACAGCCGTTCCATTATGCTTCCATTGTGCCTATGCCGCCGTTTATCTGTGTACCACTGAACCACCGATGCCTGATTTGTGGCGCGTTAGCTGGGAAGAAGTGATGGAAGAGAGAACAAACACATAAGATGCAAAGTAATCGGATAGGCGGTTTCGATTTCTTCACGCATTTTTTCTTCGATATTATTTAAAGATACTTGGCCATGTGATATTTTTGTTTTTCAATTTTAGTTCAAACAAAAAGCCTAAAAATTTATGTAGAAAAAAAAATGCCCAGAAAATGCGCTACAGCACTATAAACATTACAATAACAAAAAACGAGCGTCTTGTATAATTGTGGTCAACCGCATTATTTCGAAGCGGTATTTCAAATTTCTATTTGAGAGTTATTCGGCAACGGAACTACGGATAACCGGCTAAGCAAACTCACTGAAAAACTGATCTCGTTCTGTTTTGGATTGAGATTCAACTGTTTATATCGGTGGTTTGAATTATCGCGACCAAAATTTTCAATGGTCCGAAAAATGTAACATTTTTGTCCATTTCTGTCGACAAACGGCCGCCATCATCGGTTAGCGTGGACACCGCAGGTGCTGCAGCTCCGCAACCTCCTCCACCACCTCCTCTTCTTCATCGCTGCCGGCGTCTCCACCGCAATCACGTTGGCGCCTGGCGCCGTTCACAACATGAGGCGCCGCCCACTCCAAACCCTCGACTACGATAGATCATATCGAGCCCGAGAGAGAGAGAGAGAGAGAGAGAGAGCCGGAGCAGCTCTTGGGACTGTGTGAGTGAGAGTGTATGTGTATGCCGCGATTGCACAATGGCAGCATATCGGGCCGTCCGGCGGCTTCATCCCGCGGGTATCCCTCTCGCTGTCTGCCGCCTCCACACATCGACGCGGTCCATCGCTATCTCTTCCAATATTCCACATGAATTGCTTATTTGTGTTTTGGGCCGATGGATTACTGAGATTCGCGAGTCGGCGAGACTGTCGAAGAGCCGCCTTTTTGCACTTATTTTGTTTATCTTTCGTTCGTTATTATTTTTTTACTTTTTTTTCAACCAAAGGCCGCCATTTCGGGTAGAAAGAATATCTCTAAACCGAAGAGAATATTAGGGATTGTACATTTTTTTTTGGTACCATCTAGACCAAAAATAGTACTTTTGAATATTATCAATGAATCGCGATCATAATCATGAAGGTTAATCATGAAATTTGCTACAATTGAAAACAGTAAGCAATTTTGGATTTGAATGAAGAGGAGCGATGGTTTTCGAACTGTTTTTTTTCTGAGTACAACACGATTGTTCTGTTTGCTTTCGAAAGTTTTTTAGTGTTTCAGTGTCTTTTGTTGTAACATTCTCAAGAAGAAACCCATCTTTCACTTTTTCCACTTTAATATTTCAATAAACTTCTCTTGCTTCCCTTGCCACTCAATATATCTTGATGTGTTCGAGAAATTTGTTTCCAATTGATTTTTAATAATAATTGGCGAATTTCGACGAATTGGAACAAAAAGTGACCCGTTCGGATGCTGCCAAACTGATTTACGGCCGACATTTGACAGATGTGCCACGCGCGGTCCATTACATTCCACACCAAGATTCTTGAGTGTCGTGTGTGTTTTTTCGCCTTCTGCTTCTTCTTCTTCTTCTTCTTCATTTTTAATCTCACTTTTGCACTTTTGCAATTTTGATTCGAATTTTGCAGAGGACTGCTGAATAGAGGAGAACGTCGGACTCTCTTCTACCAAACGAAGCAAGATTATTGCTGGAGAGCGTCCGATAGACATCACTGATTATTTTATTATTACGACAATCGTTTAAAGGAGGCGCGCGCCTTTAATCGCAATGGTTGGCGCGCCGCGCTTCACCCAAAAACCCTCGATTCAGCAGACGCCAACGGTTAGTTCGAGTTTCGTGAAAAGAAAAAAAACATACTGATGAATTGTCGAGTCATTTTAAAGTCTAAAACGTGAAATTTCCAAAATAGGCTAATATTAATGGCATTTTTTGAAAATTTCCATGAGAATTCGAGTGATTTGTGAACGAGAAAAGAGAAAGTAAAGTAGGTTGGTTTGAAATTTGATATTTGCGATTATTTCAAAACTTCTATTTCAAGACTTTCAAAATTTCACGAAACAAAAACATCTATTTTGAAATTGTCCACTCGATTTTATTTTTTATTTCGTGCGAAACCGCCTTGTCCCCTCGCAAAAATGCTCATTCTCGTGCTCGTTCTTGCTCATCTCGAGCTTCTCGTCCGGCTTGTCACTAGCAGCTCATACAGCAGTGTATTTTGTGGGGGCGAGAAGCTGAAGATTGGCATTGCCGACGAAAGATACGTATGCGTGTGTATGTGTGTGTGTGAGTGTGCTCCCGGGAGCTCTAGCAACAAAAAAATATGAAAAAGAAGAAGAAGATGATGATGAAGAAGGAGAAGCTTGAGCTCCTTCGTCTTCATCTTCGTTGTAGTGCCCTCGGCGAAACACAAGCTGGCCTGGCCTGCCGCCCAAAACATCTCTTTCGGGGGATTTCGCAGATTGCAATTTTGTATTGGTAGATCAGAAAAAATTATTTGATCCGTATAATGGAAATTTGAAAATGAAAGAATTCCTAGAAGAATGCGTGATTATAGTATACCGAAAGTGTAAATTTCGACACGATTCGCAACAGAGCAGATTAGATTGAATCGATGAGGATTAATGATACTGGAAATTTATATAAATAGCTTTTTGAATTGCAATTGTTCGAAATGAAAAAAATATTTGATTTTTTTCAAAGTCCCCCATTTTGGATTCGAAAATTCGCTGGTCTAAAAAGTCAATTTTATTTTTTTACTTTTTGTTTACTTTTTTTGATTAGCAGAATAAAGCAATAGGAATTTTAAAACAAATTCGATGTTCGAGAATTGAAAAACGAAGTTAAAGTAACTTCAATAAACTCGATATGCCATGCTTTTGCTTTGAGCATTAATAATAGGTGATTCATCGTTTTTGTTTGAGAACTCTTTCGAAACAATGTGTGTAACCTCTCGAACCTCTACTCAAACATCAAATCTGAATTATTGACGGAAAATTTTGCAAATTGCCCAGAACGTCATTAAACCGCAGCATCCGCCTGCTATTTTTTTCGGCTTCAACGAAAGGTGATAAGTCACGCAAACACATGTGGAGCCCCCCGGACGATGAGAGAAGAGAGAGGTTTTTGAAACCCTTTGGAACGCGGTGGTTGTTGTTGTAATAAATAAAAACATCTCAATCCCCCGGGTGGATGTAGGAGGAAGACGACGACGACGAAAAAATAATGATAGTAATCAATTGAAACGATGACCCACATAATATATATATATAATATACATTTGATGTATTGAATTGGATAATCATTATAGGGTGATCTGTTGATGGAATGCCATCTCGAGGCGGAACCCGAACCGACAATCGCCTGGCAGCATTCGGGCAATCTGCTGGCTCCGAGCGCGCGAGTCGTTCAGACCCTCACACCATTGGGCGGCAATCTCTACAAAGCGACTTTGGTGATCAAAGAACCGAATGCCGGCGACGGGGGAGCTTACAAATGCACCGCCAAGAATCAGCTCGGCGAATCAAATGCGAACATCAATTTGAATTTCGCGGGAGCTGGCGGAGATGAAGGAAAAGCTCGCGGGCCGACGTTTGTTGGAAAACCGCGAATCATTCCCAAAGACGGCGGAGCTCTAATCGTAATGGAGTGCAAAGTCAAAAGTGCCACAACTCCAGTTGCAATGTGAGAATTGCTCTTTGAGACAATTGATTGAGGTTTCGTTTTCAGATGGATGAAAGATGGAGTTCCTCTCACAATGGGCGGTCTTTATCACGCAATTTTTAGCGATTTAGGAGATCAGACATTCTTATGTCAGCTGGAAATTCGAGTAATTCGAGCGAAAAAAAGTGATATATTTTATTATTCTATTTCTAGGGACCATCCTCGTCCGATGCTGGCCAATACCGTTGCAATATTCGAAACGATCAGGGCGAAACGAATGCGAACCTGGCGCTCAATTTCGAAGAGCCTGACCCAGCCGAGAAGCCCGAACGGAAACGATCAACGGCGTCGCCTCGTCCGTCGTCCCGCGGACCAGGCAGCCGACCGGCATCTCCCAAAAAGAAGCAGCAACGCGAAGAGACGCCGAAACGAACATTGAAGGCGCGCGAAGGTTCGCCGAGCAAAAAACTGCGATCGAGAACATCGACGCCAGTGAACGAAGACGTCTCGCAGTCAGAATCGCGAAGATCGAGTAGAGTCGAGAAAATGGAGGTCGATCAAGGTAGGGGAATAGATTGAGCTCGGCATAAATTCACCACATAAATCCATAAATATTCAGTTTCTTCAAAACGAAAAACCGATGGACTTCCACCGCCAGGAGTCGACGAGAAGAAGCTGCGAGCTGGCAGTCCGTCAGCACGAAAGTCGCCGAGCCGTAAAAGTGTCTCACCGACACCGTCGCGCAAGAGCAGCACCGCATCTGCTGCAGCTCCCGCCTCACAAAATGACGACAGAAACAAACGAGCCCCGATTGTGTTGGAAGCCAGTCGATCACAGGTATTCACAATTGCATCGTCTCATCCGTATTTTAATATATTCTAACTTTAGACTGGTAAACCAGGAAGTTCTGTAATGCTTGAAGTTCAATGGCAATGCCATTCATCTACTATTATTGAATGGTACAGGTTAGCATATTTTATTTGTATTGTTTGAATTCAACGAAAATCTCGTATAATTCAGAGACGGATCTTTGTTGCAAAATAGTTCTGAATATGTGCAATCATTCAATGGATCGATAGCCAGACTTACAGTCAAAAATTTGACGGAAGAGAAGACAGGCACGCGATTTTTAACACGAGATTAAGAAGCAAGATGTTTAGGTCTCTACATGTGTCATGCGAAATGCGAGTACGGCGAGAGTCAATCCAGCGCAATGGTCAAACTTGACCAGTCTGGTAAGTAAGAGGCGAGGCGACGAGACACTGCCGCACTCTTGTGTGCCGTCTCTCGCCTCGCCTTTTAGTGGCCGAATGGTCTAGGGGTATGATTCTCGCTTCGGGTGCGAGAGGTCCCGGGTTCGACTCCCGGTTCGGCCCAAACCATTTTGCTTCATGATGGTCATCTTTTAGATATTGAAGAGGAGCTGCTTAAACACCGCAAAAGCATTGAAGAGGAGTACCGACGAAGTGAGGAGGAAAAGAGTCAATCTCTTCAAACAGGGAAGAGAAAAGTGCGACGAAGTAAATCCAAATCGAAAAGTCCGGCGCCATCGGCGAAGAAATCGGCGAGCGAGCGTCCCGACGCTTCCGAACTCGAAACCGCGCAACGAAGTGAAAGCGCGAAGCCTGATGCCGACGAGGTAAGCGATTTTCGATCAGAGCTACCGTAAACATCGTGAGTGAAAAAATTGAAGAGCACGTTCAAGTTGACGTTTTTCGAAAAGTGTCAAACGGCACTCGCGCACAAGTACCCGACCTAGTACTACATCATTTGGTACATGTCTGCGCCCTCCGCATTTAATAAGTTATTAGTCGTGCCGAGACCGTTTTGCTCTCCGCAGGCGCCTAAACAATCCTCGCACCGTAACTCTTCTTTTTGTTCTTAGAAGCAAGCTTTTCGAGTTTTCAACGCACTCGCCGTTTTTTGCTCGACATTTTTGTGTTTTATCAGCTGGTCTTTTTTTTTGCTTCCTCCTAGATTTGATTCAATCGTTTGCTTTTCAGAAGACCTAGGGAAATAAGGAATACAGAGTCTATTATTCGTTCTCAGTGATAATTGATGCCACTCAAATGACGTCGCATAGTTCAATGAACTACACGTCGGAATCCTACTTCCAAAATATTCTCAAACGCTCATCGAGCAACGACGGCCGTCCGCCGCGGGCGCCTCTTCCGCCAGGAGGTCCTCCTCGGCACAAGCTCTCGCTTCGCACCGTCTCGGATCGCGGTGCGTCGTCGACGTCGCCCGGCTCGACGCCGCCGACATCGGCGCCTTTGAGTCGCGACTCGTCGATGCACAAAATATCGCAAATCCATGCGTTTATTTTGTCGCGGATGCCCGAGGGCATTGCGAAACAGAAATTCTTGAAAAGTATTCTTGACTTGGAAGGAAAACAGGGCGAAGCGAAAGAGACCAATGCAAAAGCTGGCAATCCGCTCAAAAGTCGAGCATCGAATAGTCGGTCGTCGATTAACAGCAGCTGTAATGTCAGTATTTTTCATAGGAGGGTTACGATGAAAATATTTTAGAAAAAACAAATATTGAATAGTTTTTTTTTAAATTTCGTTTTTATTATCTTTTAATAATAATCGTTTAATTTTAAATTCAATTTGAAAAAAGAGAGAATTGTCCAAAAAAAACGAAATCACTTAAATTGGTTGTTTCGTGCCAGCACATATTTGAATCGAAATTCGCCAACATTCCAAACTTCCGCTACAAGCAGTGTAGTTTGAACTCGAGAATCGCTCGTGTCGGATTTTGCCACTTATCGCGAAATCGGAAAACAGTGAAGACATTTCACGTAGTTTTTGAGGTGTTCGGCCAGCAAACACCGAAATTCGATAAGTGACAAACAAAAGAATTTGGTATTTGTAAACGTTTAGAAAAAATAATTTACAAATGCTGTATTTAATTCAAATTCCAATTTTTCTTTGAAAATTGATTGTCGTAGAAGTCGAGTTTCAAAAGTGAACAAATCTTGGCATCAAAATATTTATTGAATATGCGGATGGATCTCAAAGCGTGTGCCTTTCGCTATGGTCTCGTGCGGAACCACGAGTCTAGGTCTCATTTCGACAATTTTTAATTTCAAAGTTTCTATGGTATAGATGCTGATTTTGAGAAAGAAAATATTTTAAAGAAAACTAGTTTTTGAGTAATCTGCATACATAGTTTTCGCTTTCATGGGGTTTTTTTTTTAGATTTTTTTGCCAAATCTATAACACTAAAAATAGCTGATTCCGTTAACTAAGATCAATTTGTTAACAGAGATTAGAAAATACGTTGCTCAAAAAATTGGAAAATATTTCTTTTTTTAAGAATTCGATAATCATGTGACTGTTTTCCTCATTTTCAAGTTTGAGATTTTTCTTTTTGTTGAAAAAAAGAAACTCTAAAAAAACTCAACGTCTTGCATCATCGAAGCAATTCGATCAAGATTTTGAAGAAAAAAAAAACAAAACGAGAAAGTGGTCTCGGCTATCAGCTCTCGGAAAACATTTGCCGTCTCAGCATGTAACAACATGGTGCCATTATCACACATTTATCTCTCTCCATCGCCTTCGATATCCCTTCAATTCAATTTTTCGACAAAATACTCGACGGGGCACCACTCGTCCCAATTATATCCAGTCTAGCTTTTTCTCACATGTCGCAACGAATACCTATTTAGGATTTTTACTATTTCTTCAACTAGTTTTCATTTTTCTAATTTTCAAAGTCCAATTTTAATTGGACGACTATTTGATTGTAATGGAATCCGATGATGATCCGGTAAGTTGTCATTCTCCAAAAACATTCAAAAGTGGGTTTCCGCCTGATTTGCGAGTGATTAATTGACAATTGTTTTCGGCATAATGCCGCAATATTTCGCAGTGAGAAATACACAATCCACTCAAATATTTGTATTGATTTTTTGCCAACAGTTTTCGCGAACATGAGACGTCGAGTGGGTTGAGAGGATAACTTGGATCAACACGTTTTTCGAGCAACATATCAAAAATCAATCCAAATTGAATCCGCTTACGAAGTGATCGTATTTAGTAGCCAAAAACATCCAAAACAAAATCATATTTGATGATCCTTAAAAACAATGTTAGTTTTGATAGAATCATCCGTTTTAAATTTTTTTTCTCAAATAATTTAATCCATAAATTCATGAATTAAACGGAAAAATAAACTACGGCAAAACATTTTCATTTAATTAAAAGATTCAAAAAAAAAATCAATTAGACGTTCATCGTTTGTTCCCCGTTTTCAAACATATTCGACATTCTAGTAAAATACGTGCTAATCCGTTTCTGCGGGCGAGATATCGCTGGGTCTGCCCCGTCGCGCACAAACAGTTAAACGTACTGCTCGTTTTTGTGTGCTCGCGAGTACTTGAGATGCAACTCGAGTGATAATGAGCATAAGAAACAAAAAAAAATCCGAAGAAAATTCGTTGGGCGCCGAGGGAGAAAAAAAAATGAGAAGAAATCGGGCGGCACCCGAAAAATATCAGTCACATTGCGCGCGAACGCTTCAAACCGCGCAAAATCAAAACCAAATCAGTTCTTCTAATTTTTTTGTTCTCTAAATTTAACTGAAAGTCGTTTCAGGAGTCTCAATTGGACGAGATTCCGAGTTCGGGTCTGACGATCCCCGAGGAGCGCCGTCGTGAATTATTGGGTCAAGTTGGTGCCGGAGACAGTGACGACGAGGTGAGCTTTTGTTTCTGTTTCAATAAAAAATGATAAGAGGCGGAGTCATGGATGTTTGCCAATATCCATCCGACTCATTGATTTTTGAGGTTGCAACTAACCAATTATTTCTGAACAATGTTGCAATCATAACTTTGTTCGCAGATCTATAGCCATTTACTCTCAATTTCTATGATGCGATGAATTCTTTTTTGGGGGAAAAAAATGTAAAAAGCCGGTAGAACCTCTTCCCTTCCCCCGATTAACGAAACAAAAATTTTGAATTATTTTTCTAATTTTTCTCCAAAAATCTGCAGTACCATTATTCTGATTAAAATATTTTTTATCTCCATCAAAAAGTTGCTAAACTAAATAAATGTTGAATTATTCAATAGCAATAGTATTTTGTTTGATTTTCAAATTATTCTGATACAAATGCCGTTATTTTGCAATTTTTTTAAGAAATCAATTGCAGGTCTCCGAATCAATTTCCGAGCTTCCATCGTTTGCCGGTGGAAAACCACGCCGCAAGTCTGAAGTAGGTCTTTTTGAATTCAATCATTTATGTACAACTTCTCATGCTTTTCTCGCGCATATTTTGGTTCCTCCCAATTGCACTAAAAGAGCGAAAAAGTCCAAAAATGATTGGGGCGAACAAGTTGGGGTTGGACACTTGATGCTTCCGATATTGCACCCACACAAACACAAATAACTCGCTGTTCAATCAACGCGGATTCTGCCTTTCTCGCGTGATCTCTCTTTCTCCCATCGGAGTTTCTCTTCAAGAGGAGACGAGAGGGGAAAAAGAGAATGGATAATGTGTCAATTAGTGGTGATCATTATCCCAATCCTTGTCATTTTCGGACTTTTTGGCTCTTATTAGTTTGGCTGGTCTTTTGCTTGAATTCTCAGTTGCTTTTTTTCGTGTCGTCCTTGTGATTGTTCGTTGTTCATTTTTGTTACGTGTTCAGACTCAATCGGAGATGTTTTCTCGTGATGCTTTGCGAAAAACGAGCACCACCTCAAAAGTTGAGAAATCCGTTGAGGTGTGTTTCAACTCGTCTACTCTGAAATTTCTATGTTGTGTGTGTGTTTTGTGTTATAGGAAAAACCTCAACTTCGGAAAACCAAAAAGCCTGAAAGTGAGCTCGATTTCAAGGCGATGGTCAAATTGAAGAAAGTGGCCAAAGATAATGGAGATGGAAACGGCACGAATGGAGATAAATCATTTCCGATGCAACGTACGGATTCCACGTCGTCGGTTCTATCACAAGAATCGAGATCTCGACGAGGTTCCGTGATCGGTAAAGACGGCGGGCTCGAAACGAATCCTTTCGCTCAACTGCGAAAGGTCAAAAACCCGTCGAATGGATTGGACAAGTCCGATTCAACATCCAGCATGAAGAAGCTTGATATCAAAAAAGGGCGCGGAGAAGAAGCCGAGCCGCAAGGATTCGGAGTTCAATTGAAAAAGGTTGCTCGAAAAGAGCCAGCTGAATCCGCGACTAGTAAAAAAGAAAAGAATGGAACGACGTCAGGCATTGATAGCCAAGTGACAATTGAGAAACGGGAGAAGACGACGTTGCAGAAATATGAAAGAGTTGAATCGACAACATCGAAGAAGGTATCATATCTGTTAAGCGTTCGTGTTGTTCGGTGTTCCGTATGACATTTCCTTCATTCCTTCTATATCCCTCTTCTTCTCATAACCCTTCCATATTCGATTCTAACCACTTCAACTATCAATTTCAGGACAAACCGAAACGCGTGCAGATCGCCGATGATGTCCCAACAACGCCGATTGTAAGCGCATCGAAAAAAATCCAAAATTTGGCATGGTCGAGTTGGTTTGAAGTGTAACTAATTTGTCTCAACTGCTAACCGTTTTCCATTCGTTGGTTTTACAACTACTTTTTAATAACGTATCACGACAATTACAGCTACAGAAAGAAGTAACGACGCAGTCAAAGAAAACCGAATCCATCGAGATCAAAGAGAAGCTGCAAGGCCGTCAAGTTGGTCAGAAGCGTGTTGTACAGAAGAAAGAGGAGCAGCAGAGTCTGCTGACGCAGGTGCAACTCAAGAAAGTGACCAAACTGAAAAAGGAAGAAGCCAATGAGCTCGAAGGTGTCAAACTCAAAAAGGTGTCGACGCAACTCGCGAAACACCAAAACGACGATGACAGCCCATCGGAATCCGAATCGCGACGTTCTTCGATTTTCGGAGAATTGCGACGTGGCTCAAAAGCGCCGCGTGGATCTGCAGATCATTCGCGTCACGACTCGATCGTATTGTTTTATTTTTTAATTTCTTATTTTTGGGGTCTCGTTCGGGGAACATCATTTCTTTTTTAAAATAGTGTGTTGTGTTGAAATTAATATTTTTCGAGTATCATTTTTTCGAATTTTAGGCTTTTCATTCAGGGATTCTAACAACATTTGTCGAATTCGCCATTTACATTCGCCAATGGCCCTTTTTTTTCAGAGACGCTCTAGTATCGACATGAGACGCGAATCAGTCCAGGAAATCATGGAGAAAGTGTCGACACCGCTCGTCCCAAGCGGTGCTTCAGGCAGTGCTCCAAAAATCGTCGAAGTCCCAGAAAATGTCACCGTCGCTGAAAGTGAGCAATCAAAATTGGATTCAACTTCTCATTGATGTTCTTCTTCAGATGCGACAGCCATTCTTACCGTTAAGGTCACGGGTAGTCCCGCCCCGACCTTCAAATGGTTTAAAGGCACACGCGAGGTTCTCGGCGGCACTGGTCGCTTCAAGCATATCACCGACGGCAAGGAAGGAACAATCTCGTTGGCGTTGCTGAAGTGCCGCACCCAGGATGACGGTCCCTACACCCTGGTTATTGAGAATCCACACGGCAAAGATTCGGTTGATGTGAAGCTGCTCGTCACCTCCGATAACGGCGTCGATTTCAGACAATTGTTGAAGCACAGGTATTTTTTGGCCAAAAATTAACCCCAATAATGTGTACTGCAATTATATTTGAATCAAATGTATGTTTGAAAAAATATTAATTTAATTCAGCGGTCAACAAGGTCCTGGAGGCAATAAAAGGTTACCCAAAAAACTAAATTGGATTTCCATTCATTTTAATGTGTGACTTCCACGGCACTAATAAAAAAACGCATTCATATTTTTGCTTCAAACTAAATAATACCACAGCTTAATATATATTATGCGGAATTAAAAAAAACCTATTGATTTTTATTTCAGAGAGTCCCAAGTTGGCTTCCAAAATAAGGATGACAAAGAGCAGAAGCCGATGAGTGAAGCTGAACGAAGACAATCGTTGTTCCCTGGAAAGAAGGTCGAAAAGTGGGATGTCCCGCTCGCTGATAAGACCGTTCAACAACAGGTACCATCTTCTACATCTATTGATCTCTAGTTCGATTGATTCAGGTGGACAAAATTTGTGAGTGGAAGTGCACCTACTCACGACCCAACGCAAAGATCCGTTGGTACAAAGATCGAAAAGAGATTTTCTCCGGAGGTCTCAAATACAAGATTGTGATTGAGAAGAACGTGTGTACTTTGATTATCAATAATCCGGAAGTCGATGATACTGGAAAGTACACCTGCGAGGCGAACGGAGTGCCGACTCATGCACAGCTCACTGTTCTCGAGCCCCCAATGAAGTACAGCTTCTTGAACCCACTGCCCAACACCCAGGAAATCTATCGAACGAAGCAGGCGGTTCTCACTTGTAAGGTCAACACCCCACGTGCTCCATTGGTTTGGTATCGCGGAAACAAGCCGATCGAAGAGAACGATCCAAGATTCATCATTGAAAAGGATGCTGTTGGTCGATGCACTCTGACAATCAAGGTTGTCGAGGAAGACGATCAAGCTGAATGGACGGCTCGAATCACGAATGACGTCTTCTCGAAATGTCAAGTTTATGTGGAAGGTAGAGTTGATTGATTTAAACGAATTCAATGCGTAGTTTTTTTTCCAGAACCGAGACATACTTTCGTCGTTCCAATGAAATCTCAAAAGGTGAATGAGAACGACATCGCAACTCTTGAGACTGATGTCAACGATAAAGACGCCGACGTTGTTTGGTGGCACGACGGAAAACGTGTGAACATTGACAACAACAAGTACAAGGTCGAATCGCACAACAGGAAGCGTCGATTGATCATCAACGGCGCCAAAATCGAAGACCATGGAGAATACAAGTGCACCACCAAAGATGACCGAACTATGGCGCAGCTTATCGTCGAAGCATTGAACAAGTTCATTGTCGCTCTCAAGGACATGGAGGTCGTTGAAAAGGATGATTTGACACTGATGTGCCAGACGAAGGATACCCGCACGCCTGGAGTATGGTTTAGGAATGGAAAGCAAATTTCGAGTATGCCCGGCGGAAAATTCGAAACTCAATCAAGAAACGGAACACATACATTGAAGATCAGCAAGATTGAAATGAATGAGGCTGACGCCTACGAGTTCGATCAAGCTGGACTACACGGAAGTTGTAATATCACCGTTTTGGAAGCTGAGAAGCGTCCGATCTTGAACTGGAAGAATAAGAAAATCGAGGTTAAGGCTGGCGAACCATGCGTTGTCAAAGTTCCATTCCAAATCAATGGAACTCGAAGAGGAGATCCGAAAGCGAATATCTTGAGGAATGGAAAGCCAATCGATGAGGAAATGAAGAAACTCGTCGAAGTTGTTGTCAAGGGAGATGTTGTTGAAATCGTTTTCAAGGATCCGCAGCTCGCCGATACCGGAAAGTGGGCACTGGAGCTTGGAAATTCTGCAGGAACAGCTCTTGCTCCATTTGAGCTTTTCGTTAAAGACAAGCCGAAACCGCCAAAAGGACCATTGGAAACAAAGAACGTGACGGCAGAAAGTCTCGACCTTGTTTGGGGAACACCCGATCCCGACGAAGGCGCTCCAGTCAAAGCATATATCATCGAGATGCAAGAAGGACGCAGTGGAAATTGGGTGAATGTTGGAGAAACCAAAGGCACCGACTTCAAAGTCAAGGATCTGAAAGAGCATGGCGAATACAAGTTCCGTGTGAAGGCTGTCAACGACGTTGGAATATCTGATCCACTTACTGGCGAAACCATTTTGGCGAAGAATCCATATACAGCACCAGGCAAGCCGAAAAATATGGAAGCCATTGACATCGACAAAGACCATTGCACCCTTGCTTGGGAACCGCCCGAAGAAGATGGAGGTGCGCCGATCACCGGATACATAATCGAGCGACGCGAGAAATCCGAAAAGGATTGGCATCAAGTCGGACAAACTAAGGCTGATTGCTGCGAACTAGTTGACAACAAAGTTGTTGAAGACAAGGAATACTATTATCGTGTGAAGGCTGTCAACAAAGCCGGACCGGGAGATCCGTGCGATCACGGAAAACCAATCAAGATCAAGGCAAAGAAGGCAGCTCCTGAATTCACCGGAGGCGGCATCAAAGATCTTCGCCTTAAAGTCGGTGAGACGATCAAGTATGAAGTACCGATTTCGGGAGAACCACTTCCGGAAGTGACATGGGTCGTTAACGGCAAACCATTGAAGCCAATTGGTCGTGTGAAGATGGCTACTGAACGTGGAAAACACGTGCTTAAGGTAATCATTCTTTGAATTTGAATAAATATTAATTTATTGATTACGTTTCAGATCGAAAACGCCGTTCGTGGCGATTCGGGAAAATTCACCATCACTCTGAAGAACTCGTCGGGAACCTGCGATTCGACAGCTACTGTCACCGTCGTTGGACGTCCTTCTCCACCAAAAGGACCACTCGATGTCGCTGATGTTTGTGCTGATGGAGCTACCCTTTCATGGAATCCACCAGAAGATGACGGAGGTGATCCGCTCACTGGATACATTGTAGAAGCGCAAGACATGGACAACAAGGGAAAGTACATCGAGATTGGCAAAGTTGATCCGAACAAAACTTCACTTAAAGTTAACGGACTTCGCAACAAAGGAAATTACAAATTCCGGTAAAGAAAACCACCACCGCGTTTTGTGGAAACTGATCTTTTTCAGTGTCAAAGCAGTCAATGGCGAAGGAGAATCTGAACCACTCTCTGCTGATCAGTACACATTGATCAAGGATCCGTGGGATGAACCAGGAAAACCGGGCCGTCCGGAAATCACCGACTTCGATTCCGATCGCATTGATATTGCTTGGGATCCACCACACAAGGATGGAGGAGCTCCAATTGAGGAATACATTGTTGAGATGAGAGATCCTGACACGAAGGAATGGAAGGAAGTCAAGCGAGTTCCTGGTTTGAATAATCATCTTCACGCTTTGTTTCATAGTAAAGTTATTGATTCCAGATACAAATGCTTCGATTTCTGGCTTGAAAGAAGGCAAAGAATATCAATTCCGCGTTAAAGCCGTTAACAAAGCTGGTGCTGGTCAACCGTCGGAACCTTCTGAGAAGCAACTCGCAAAACCGAAATTCAGTAAAACATTTTTCCCGAGTCAATGATGACTAACATTTTAATTTTCAGTTCCTGCGTGGTTGAAACACGACAACTTGAAGAACATCACTGTGAAAGCCGGCGCTACTGTTCGTTGGGATGTGAAAATCGGCGGTGAGCCGATCCCAGAAGTCAAATGGTTCAAGGGAGACAAACAATTGGAGAACAGCATGCAACTCTCTATTGACACCAAGAAAAACGAGCACACCATCCTTTGCATTCCGTCTGCTGTACGAGCTGATGTCGGCGAGTACAAGCTCACCGTCAAAAACTCTCACGGAGCAGATGAGGAGAAGGCAAACTTGACTGTTCTCGACAAACCATCGAAGCCAAACGGACCACTGGAAGTCAGTGACGTCTTCGAGGACAACCTCAATTTGTCATGGAAGCCGCCAGATGACGATGGAGGAGAGCCAATCGAATATTACGAAGTCGAGAAGCTTGACACCGCGACTGGACGATGGGTGCCATGCGCCAAGGTTAAAGACACCAAAGCACACATAGACGGTTTGAAGAAGGGCCAGACGTACCAATTCCGTGTCAAGGCAGTAAACAAAGAAGGCGCATCTGATGCGTTGAACACCGACAAGGAAACGAAGGCGAAGAATCCCTACGACGAGCCAGGAAAAACCGGAACACCAGACGTTGTTGATTGGGATGCCGATAGAGTCTCCCTTGAATGGACACCTCCAGAAAGCGACGGCGGGGCTCCAATCACTCAGTACATAATTGAGAAGAAGGGAAAACACGGCAGAGATTGGCAAGAGTGTGGAAAAGTTTCCGGCGATCAGACGAACGCTGATATTCTTGGTCTCAAAGAAGGAGAAGAATATCAGTTCCGAGTGAAAGCTGTTAACAAGGCCGGACCAGGAGAAGCTTCAGATCCAAGCAGAAAGGTAAAATAATGTGGAATACTTATTTTGGAAAAAATCATCGTCAATTTGACAGGTTATTGCAAAACCAAGAAATTTGAAACCATGGATTGATCGTGAAGCGATGAAGACAATCACGGTGAAAGTTGGAAACGATGTTGAATTCGATGTTCCAGTTCGCGGTGAGCCACCACCGAAAAAAGAATGGACCTTTGGAGGAAATGCGATTGATGATCAAAAGATCAAAGTACTGCCCTTGCCCCCCCACATTTTTTGAACTTTAAAACGTTTTCAGATCGATTATGAGGATTACAAGACTCGATTCCATTTGCGCGGAGCAACTCGCAAGCATGCTGGCTTATACACCCTCACAGCCACCAATGCTTCCGGAACCGACAAGCATTCTGTTGAAGTCATCGTTCTCGGAAAACCGTCGGCTCCGTTGGGTCCTCTTGATGTGAGCAATGTGTTCGAAGATAATTGCGATCTTGGGTGGAAGGCACCCGAAGACGATGGTGGTATGCCAATTGATCACTATGAAGTTGAGAAAATGGATCTTGCCACTGGTCGTTGGGTTCCATGTGGACGCACTGAAGGCACAAAGTTCAACGTGCCAAACCTTCAGCAGGGCCACGAATACAAATTCCGAGTTCGCGCGGTCAACAAGGAAGGAGAATCTGAGCCACTGACGACAGACACCTCAATTGTTGCGAAGAACCCATACGAAGTTCCAGGAAAAGTCGAGAAGCCAGAGCTTGTTGATTGGGATAAGGATCATGTTGACTTGAAATGGAATCCTCCTTCTGACGATGGAGGCGCTCCAATTGAAGGCTACGTCATCGAAAAGAAAGATAAGAATGGACGATGGGAAGAAGCGATGGTGGTTCCAGCTGATCAAACCACTGCCACCGTTGGTAATCTCAAGGCCGGAGAAGAATATCAATTCAGAATCTCCGCCAAGAATAAGGCTGGTACTGGAGATCCGTCTGATCCTTCTGATCGCGTTATTGCTAAACCGCGTCATCTCGCACCACACATTCACCGAGAAGATCTTTCTGATAGTGTGATCAAGGTTGGAGAGATGATTAAGTTCACAGTTCACATTGATGGAGAACCAGCTCCAGCAGTAACTTGGCAATTCAACGGAAAAGGAATCGGAGAGAGCAAGGCTCAAATTGAGAACGAGGATTACATCTCGAGATTTGCCTTGGCTAAAGCCACCAGAAAACAGAGCGGTAAATACACGATCACAGCGACGAACGACAGCGGAACTGATAGCGTTACTATTGAAATCAAGGTGAAGAGCAAACCGTCAAAACCGAAAGGACCGATCGATGTCACCGATGTGTTCGAAGATCGCGCCACTCTTGATTGGAAACCACCAGAGGATGATGGTGGAGAGCCAATTGAATATTATGAAATCGAAAAGATGAACACCAAGGATGGTCTTTGGGTGCCATGCGGACGCAGTGGTGACACCCATTTCACCGTCGACACCCTCAACAAGGGAGATCACTATAAGTTCCGTGTCAAGGCTGTCAACAGCGAAGGTGCTTCGGATCCACTCGAAACTGACACCGATATTCTGGCGAAGAATCCGTTCGACCGACCAGATCGTCCTGGTCGTCCGGAAGCGACCGATTGGGATTCTGATCATGTAGATCTCAAATGGGATCCACCGGTTTCCGATGGAGGAGCTCCAATCGAGGAGTATCAAGTGGAGAAACGTACCAAATACGGAAGGTACGCCTATTTTGCTATTTTCGCTTTTCCTCAAATGCCCTCGTTTTCAGATGGGAGCCAGCTGTAACAGTTCCAGGTGGACAAACGACGGCTACCGTTCCTGATCTCACGAGTGGTGAAGAATATGAGTTCCGTGTTGTTGCTGTCAACAAAGGAGGCCCATCTGATCCATCTGATGCCAGTAAACCAGTCATTGCGAAACCCAGAAACTGTAAGTCGTATTTTTTGTTCTCAAATAACTCGTATCTTCAAATTTTCAGTGAAACCACATATTGATCGTGATGCCCTTCACAATCTGACAATAAAAGCTGGCCAATCGATCAACTTCGACGTGCCAGTTTCTGGAGAACCTGCTCCGACTGTTAGTTGGATGTGGCCCGACAACCGCGAAATTCGTAATGGTGGAAGAGTGAAGCTTGACAATCCAGAATATCAAAGCAAGCTTGTTGTCCGCCAAATGGAGCGTGGAGACAGTGGTACTTACAAGATTCGAGCCGTCAACGTCAACGGCGAAGACGAGGCATCCATCAAGATTAATGTTATTGGTTAGAATTAGGATTTATTTTGATCTAATATGCGTTATGCACTTCAGATAAACCAACGTCTCCAAATGGGCCACTCGATGTTCTCGATGTTCACGCTGATCATGTCACACTCGATTGGCGTGCACCAGATGACGATGGAGGCATTCCTATCGACAATTACGTCATCGAGAAGTTCGATACTGCGACTGGTCGATGGGTGCCCGCTGCTAAAGTTAACGGAGATCAAACAACAGCAGTCGTCGACGGACTCATTCCTGGACACGAATACAAATTCCGTGTAGCTGCCGTCAATGCAGAAGGAGAATCCGAGCCATTGGAAACGTTTGGAACCACACTTGCTAAGAATCCATACGACAAACCCGGAAAGACTGGCGCTCCTGATGTCACTGATTGGGACAAGGATCATGTCGACCTTGAGTGGAAGCCGCCAGCGAATGATGGAGGTGCTCCAATTGAGGAGTATGTCGTCGAAATGAAAGACGAATTTTCACCATTCTGGAATGAAGTTGCTCATGTAAGATTCTTGTAAAATTTAATCTTATTGCTAGCGGCCATATTTCAGGTCCCAGCTGGGCAAACGAACGCTACTGTTGGAAATTTGAAAGAAGGGTCGAAGTACGAGTTCAGAATTCGTGCGAAGAACAAGGCTGGACTTGGAGATCCTTCTGATTCCGCATCAGCCGTTGCTAAGGCCAGAAATGGTAGAAACAGTGAAGCTGAAATTGGTTAATTGTTTCGATTTCAGTTCCGCCGGTTATCGATCGTAACTCTATTCAAGAAATCAAGGTGAAGGCTGGACAAGACTTCCAACTGAACATTCCAGTCTCGGGAGAACCAACTCCCGAAATCACTTGGTTGTTCGAAGGAACTCCAGTTGAATCGAGTGAACATATGAAGATTACGAATGATGAAGGAAAAACCAAATTTGTCGTCAAGAGAGCTCTTCGATCCGACACTGGAACTTACATTATCAAAGCGGAAAACGTCAATGGTACTGACACAGCTGAAGTCAAAGTGACAGTTCTTGACCACCCGTCGAATCCTCGAGGTCCATTGGATGTTTCGAATGTTACTAAAGACGGATGTGATCTTGCCTGGAAGGAACCTGATGACGACGGTGGCGCAGAGATCAGTCACTACATCATTGAGAAACAAGATGCCGCGACAGGACGTTGGACCGCTTGCGGAGAAAGCAAAGACACCAACTTCCACGTTGATGATTTGGCTCAAGGCCACGAGTACAAGTTCCGTGTGAAGGCAGTCAACAGATACGGTGATTCTGATCCATTAGAGGCGCGCGAGGCAATCATTGCCAAGGATCCGTTTGATCGTGCTGACAAACCAGGAACTCCAGAAATTGTTGACTGGGACAAAGATCATGCTGATCTTAAATGGACTCCGCCACAAGACGACGGAGGTGCGCCGATCGAAGGATATCTTGTTGAGATGCGAACACCAACTGGGGATTGGGTTGCCGCTGCGAAGGTTGGACCGGACGAGTTGACGGCGACAGTTGACGGATTGAAACCAGGACAGACGTATCAATTCCGCGTGAAAGCACTCAACAAAGCTGGCGAATCGACGCCTTCTGATCCAAGCAGAACAATGGTGGCCAAGCCAAGACATCTTGCACCAAAAATCAATCGCGATATGTTCATTGCTCAACGCATCAAAGCCGGCCAGACTCTCAACTTCGACGTTAATGTAGAAGGAGAACCAGCTCCCAAGATTGAATGGTTCCTCAATGGGCAGCCACTTTCATCTGCTGGAAAGACACGAATTGACAATTCATTGGATAACAACACCAAACTGACGACTAAGGAGACAACGAGAGCTGACACCGGAAAGTACAAGATCGTTGCAACGAATGAAAGCGGAAAAGATGAGCATGAAGTTGATGTGAACATTCTGGACATTCCTGGAGCACCAGAAGGTCCGTTGCGTGCCAAAGACGTTACCAAGGAAAGCTGTGTTCTTCATTGGGATGAGCCGCTTGATGACGGAGGATCGCCGATTACAAATTATATTATCGAGAAGCAAGAAGACGGTGGACGTTGGGTGCCGTGCGGAGAAACTTCGGACACTTCCCTCAAAGTCAACAAGTTGTCCGAAGGTCACGAATACAAGTTCCGTGTCAAGGCTGTGAACAGACAAGGCCAATCCGCGCCACTCACTTCCGATCACCCCATCGTTGCCAAAAATCCATTTGATGAGCCCGATGCACCAACCGACGTCACACCAGTCGATTGGGACAAAGATCACGTTGATTTAGAATGGAAGCCACCGGCAAACGATGGAGGAGCTCCAATTGATGCCTACATTGTTGAGAAGAAAGACAAATTCGGCGACTGGGTGGAATGTGCTAAAGTCGACGGGAAGACGACAAAGGCGACTGCCGACAACCTGACTCCGGGAGAGACATATCAATTCCGTGTGAAGGCGGTCAACAAGGCGGGACCAGGAAAACCGTCAGATCCAACAGGAAACGTGGTCGCGAAGCCAAGAAGAATGGCTCCCAAATTGAATCTTGCTGGCCTTCTTGATCTTCGTATCAAAGCGGGAACACCAATCAAGCTTGATATTAGCTTTGAAGGAGAACCAGCCCCAACGGCGACATGGAAGGCCAATGATACTGCGGTGGAAAGTGGAAATCGTGCTGATGTAACCACGACACCAACTTCCTCATCAATGAATATCTTCTCTGCTGTTCGCTCGGACACTGGTGTCTACAAGATCATCGTGGAAAATGAGCACGGAAAGGACAGTGCTCAATGCAATGTGACCGTCCTCGATGTGCCGGAAGCACCAGAAGGACCACTGAAGATCAACGAGATTCACAAGGAGGGATGTTCACTCAGCTGGAAGCCACCAGCTGACAACGGTGGTTCGGAGATTCTTCATTATCTCGTTGAAAAGATGGACACCACTCGTGGAACTTGGCAAGAAGTCGGAACATTCCCAGATTGCAATGCTAAAGTCAACAAGCTGATCCCCGGAAAAGAATATTCATTCCGTGTCAAAGCTGTCAACCTTCAAGGCGAATCGAAACCATTGGAAGCAGAAGAGCCGATCATCGCAAAGAACCAGTTCGATGTGCCGGATCCAGTTGATAAGCCAGAAGTTACCGATTGGGACAAGGATCGCATCGACATTAAATGGAATCCTACTCAGAACAATGGAGGATCTCCCGTTACTGGCTACATTGTCGAGAAGAAGGAGAAGGGAAGCTCAATTTGGAATGAAGCTGGCAAGACCTCAGGAACATCTTTCTCTGCAACCAATCTCAAACCAGGTGTTGAATACGAGTTCCGTGTGATTGCCGTTAACGCTGCTGGACCATCCGATCCATCAGATCCAACTGATCCACAAATCACCAAAGCCCGTTACTTGAAGCCGAAGATTCTTACGAATAACCGAAAGATCAAGATAAAGGCCGGATTCACTCACAACATGGAAGTCGAGTTTGTCGGCGCCCCAGATCCAACTGCTGAATGGACATTCGGAGATTCTAATGATCCACTTGCTCCGGAACTGATTGTTGATGCAAAAACCGGTCTCACTAGCATCTTCTTCCCTTCTGCAAAACGATCGGAAAGTGGAAACTACAAGCTCAAAGTCAAAAACGAGCTTGGAGAAGATGAGGGAATCTTTGAAGTAATTGTTCAAGATAAGCCGGCTCCACCGACTGGGCCATTGGAAGTCTCGGAAGTCACAAAGGATAGTTGTGTTCTTGAATGGAAGCCACCTGCTGATGATGGAGGTGCTGAGATCAGCAACTATGTCGTCGAGAAACGCGACACTCGCACAAACACTTGGATTCCAGTGTCAGCGTTTGTCACTGGAACTTCGATTACTGTTCCCAAGCTCACTGAGGGACATGAGTATGAGTTCAGAGTTATGGCTGAGAACGCATTTGGACGCTCCGACCCGTTGAATGCCGATGAACCAGTTCTCGCTAAAGATCCATTTGGAACACCTGGAAAACCAGGGAAACCAGAAATCGTCGACACCGACAATGATCACATTGACATCAAATGGGACCCACCAAGAGACAATGGAGGATCACCAATTGAGCACTACGATGTCGAGAGGAAAGACGCAAAAACTGGAAGATGGATCAAAGTCAACACAGCGCCAGTCCACGGAAATGCCTTCTCAGACACTCGTGTTCAGAAGGGACATACATACGAGTACCGTGTTGTTGCTGTTAACAAAGCTGGACCAGGAACACCATCCGATCCATCAGCGTCCGCCACTGCCAAACCAATGCATGAAGGTCCTAAATTTGAGCTCGACCTTGATGGAAAAGAATTCCGCGTCAAAGCAGGAGAACCACTTACAATCACCATTCCGTTCACTGCTTCTCCGAAGCCTGACATTGCTTGGACGAATGAAAGTGGAAAGGCGATCCCTGGAGTTGAGACGACTGACACACAAACCCAATTGGTTATTCCATCAACGAAAAGAAGCGACTCTGGTCCAGTCAAAATAAAGGCAACCAACCCATATGGAGAAGCTGAAGCCAACATTCGAATTGTCGTCGTTAATCGACCAGGACCGCCGGATAATATCACATATCCATCGATCACTCGTCATACTTGCACTCTCAATTGGACAGCTCCAAAAGACGACGGAGGCGCTGAAATCAGTGGCTACAAGATTGAATATCAAGAGATTGGATCGCAAATATGGGACAAGGTTCCTGGAACAGTTCCTGGTCTTTCTTACACTGTTCGAGGCTTAGAGCACGGACAACAATATCGATTCCGCATCCGCGCGGAAAACATTGTCGGACTATCGGATTATGCTCAAGGAATTCCAGTTGTCATTAAAGATCCATTTGATCCGCCAGGTGCACCAGGAACTCCAGACATTACCGCTTACGACAGCAACATGGTGGCTCTTGCTTGGAATCCACCACGAGATGATGGAGGCAGTCCGATCATTGGGTATGTTGTTGAACGATTCGAGAAGCGTGGAGGAGGCGACTGGGCACCAGTCAAAATGCCAATGGTCCGAGGAACCGAATGCGTCGTTCCAGGACTTCACGAGAACGAAACCTATCAGTTCCGTGTTCGCGCTGTCAACGCCGCCGGACAAGGCGAACCAAGCAATGGCACTGAGCCAGTCACTTGTCGGCCATTTGTCAAAACACCGGGAGCTCCAGATGCGCCAAGAGTTGGAAAAATCACCAAAAACTCGGCAGAAATTACTTGGAATCGTCCACTTCGCGATGGTGGCGCCCCAATCGATGGATATATTGTTGAGAAGAAGAAACTGGGAGATAATGATTGGACGCGATGCAATGACAAACCAGTGAGGGAAACTGCTCTCGAAGTCAAGGGACTCGGAGAACGCGAAGAATACGAATTCCGCGTAATTGCTGTGAACAGCGCCGGCGAAGGAGAACCCTCAAAGCCATCCGATCTTGTTCTCATCGAGGAACAACCGGGAAGACCGATTTTCGACATATCTCATTTGAAGGATATCACCGTTCGTGCTGGAGAGACTATCCAAATCAAGATCCCATACGCTGGCGGTAATCCGAAGCCGATCATTGATTTGCTCAACGGAAGCACACCAATCTTCGAGAACGACCGAACTGTTGTTGATGTGAATCCAGGAGAGATCGTGATCACTACTACTCAGTCAAAGCGATCCGATGCTGGTCCATACAAGATCACTGCCACCAACAAATACGGAAAGGACACATGCAAATTGAATGTGTTCGTGCTTGACGCACCAGGAAAGCCCACTGGACCAATTCGGGCCACCGACATTCAAGCTGATGCGATGACATTGAGCTGGAGAGCCCCAGTTGACAACGGTGGTGATGAAATCACAAACTACGTTGTTGAGAAACGAACACCTGGAGGTGATTGGGTGACTGTTGGACACCCGATCGGAACATCTCTCCGTGTTCGCAATCTTGATGCGAATACACCATACGAATTCCGCGTTCGTGCTGAGAACCAATATGGAATTGGAGAACCACTCGAAACCGAAGATGCGATTGTCGCCAAGAATCCGTTCGACACACCAGGTGCCCCAGGACAACCAGAAGCTGTTGAGACATCCGAAGAAGCAATCACTCTTCAATGGATTCGTCCGACTTCTGATGGTGGAGCTCCAATTCAGGGATATGTCATTGAAAAGAGAGAGAAGGGAACGAATGAGTGGATAAAGGCTGCTTTCGGAGCTGTTCTGGACACAAAGCATCGTGTTACTGGATTGACTCCAAAGAAGACCTACGAGTTCCGTGTTGCCGCTTTCAATGCTGCTGGTCAAGGAGCTTACAGCGATAACTCTGTTCCAATTACCGCTGACAGTGCGCCATGCAAACCAAGAATCAACATGAGCATGCTCACCAGAGATGTCCTCGCCTATGCTGGAGAGAAGGCCAAGATCCTCGTTCCATTTGCAGCTTGCCCAGCTCCAGAAGTAAGTTGAAGTGAAATTCGTTATAACATTGAACGTTTGCAGGTCAAATGGTCGAAAGGCGAGAACAGAATCAGCGATTCTGATGCTCATGCGAAATCAGAACACGACGATTTCTTGGCTTCTCTTACCATCGATAAATGCCAACTTTCTGACGCAGGATTGTACTTTATCGAACTTTCAAACAGCCAAGGATCTGATTCTGCCAGCATCCGTCTCAAGGTTTTTCAACAAATTCAAATCAATATTTCATCGTTGATTTATTTATTCAGGTTGTTGATAAGCCGGCGCCCCCAACTGGACTTCGCGCCGAAGACATTTCTCCAGATTGTCTTACTCTTCATTGGCTTCCTCCATCGGCTGACGGCGGAAGTCCGATCACCAACTACATCATTGAACGTCTCGATTTGCACAGTGGAGATGGAAAATGGGAGAAGGTCTCATCGTTCGTCCGCAATCTCAATTACACCGTTGGCGGACTTGTCAAGGATAACAAATACAATTTCCGAGTTCGCGCCGAGAACCAATATGGTGTTTCGGAACCATGCGAACTGCCGGACGCCATCATTGCCAAGTATCAATTCGATGTACCGAGCCAACCAGAAGCCCCAACTGTTCGCGAGTTCGATTCGAACTGGGCAGAGCTTGAATGGGATCCGCCGCGTGACGGTGGCTCCAAAATCATTGGATACCAAGTTCAGTACCGTGACACGAATTCGACTCGGTGGGTCAACATCAAGCAGGATCTTGTCGAAGGATGCCATACACGTGTTACTGGACTTCGTGAAAATGGAGAGTATGAGTTCCGCGTCATTGCGAAGAATGCTGCCGGCTACTCGAAGCCTTCGCCAGCATCGGATCGCGTCAAACTCAGATCTCGATTCGGACCTCCAGGACCACCAATTCAAGTCGGAGCTCAGTCAATTGGAAGAAATCATTGCACAATCACATGGATGGCTCCATTAGAAGACGGCGGATCGAAAATTACCGGATACATCGTTGAAATACGCGAATTTGGAAGCACTCTTTGGACTGTCGCCAGCGATTACAACGTCACAAATCCTGAATTCACTGTGGATCGTCTCAAAGAATTCAGTGATTATGAATTCCGCGTGATTGCTGTCAACTCTTCTGGAAAGGGAATTCCATCTCTTCCATCTGGCCCAATCAAAATTCAAGAATCCGGAGGCTCCCGTCCCCAAATTGTTGTCAAGCCAGAAGACACCGCTCAACCGTACAATCGACGCGCTGTCTTCGTCTGCGAGGCCGTCGGAAGACCAGAGCCAACTGCCAGATGGATGCGCAACGGCAGGGAATTGCCGGAAAGCAGTCGTTATAGATTCGAAGCTTCGGATGGTGTCTACAAGTTCACCATTAAGGAGGTCTGGGATATCGACGCTGGAGACTACACTGTTGAAGTATCGAATGCGTACGGTTCTGACACTGCTACTGCAAAACTCACAGTTTGTGCTCCACCGGTTATTGAGAAGGATGTTCCGAACACAATTCTGCCGAACGGTGATCTTGTCCGTCTGAAGATCTACTTCTCGGGAACTGCACCATTTGTTCATAATTTGACATTGAACAAAGAAGAAGTTGATCCAGATCATCCAACCATCAGACTCGTTGAATTCGATGACCACGTTCTCATCACAATCCCATCGTTGTCAGTTCGTGAAGCTGGACGCTACGAGTACACCGTTTCCAATGACTCCGGAGAAGCTACCACTGGCTTCTGGTTGAACGTAACTGGATTACCAGAAGCACCGCAGGGACCACTCCACTTCAGCAATATTGGACCATCGACAGTTACATTGGCTTGGAGACCACCAGTCACCGATGGGGGTTCGAAGATTACCAACTACGTTGTTGAGAAGAGAGATACTTCAAAGGATGAATGGACTGTTGTTACAAGCAGCGTAAAGGACTTGAGTTGCATTGTCACGGGACTCTTCGAAAACCATGAGTACGAATTCCGAGTTTCGGCGATGAACGAAAATGGACAAGGAGCCCCATTGGTCGGAGATCATCCAGTGGTCGCTCGTTTGCCTTTCGATCCACCTTCATCCCCAATCGATTTGGACATTGTGCAGGTGGGATCAGACTTTGTCACATTGTCTTGGTTCCGGCCAGCAACTGACGGAGGAGGTCGTCTTCGTGGATACATCATCGAGAAACAAGAAGAAGGACACGAGGAATGGTTCAGATGCAATCAGAATCCATCGCCTGGAAACACCTACAGTGTTCCAAATCTTATCGATGGCCGAAAATATCGCTATCGTGTATTTGCAGTCAACGACGCCGGTTTCTCCGATCCAGCTGAACTCCATGAGACCCAATTCCATTCAACTGCTTCCGGAAACGCGCCGAATGTTATCTCTGCGTTGAACGATCTCTCTGAAGAAGTCGGAAGAAGCGTCTCATTCGAATGCGAAATTACTGGTTCGCCAAGACCGGAATACAAGTGGTTCAAAGGGTGCAAAGAGCTGGTTGATACGAGCAAGTACACGTTGATCAATAAGGGCGACAAACAAGTGCTGATCATCAACGACTTGACAACCGAAGACGCCGACGAGTACACATGCCGAGCAACCAATTCATCGGGAACAAAGAGCACAAGAGCCAGTTTGAGAATCAAGACGAAGCCCAGAGTATTCGTGCCACCAAAATACCACGGAGGATATGAATCGCAGAAAGGAGAAACGATTGAAATCAAAATTCCGTACAAGGCATTCCCAGCTGGCGAATCGAAATGGTACAAGGATGGCGAAAAGATCGAAGCAAATTCGAAATACACTCTTTCAACGGATGACAAATTTGCTACTCTGAAGATTGCGAACGCCTCTCGTGAGGACTTTGGAGAATATCGCGTTGTTGTCGAGAATTCCGTCGGAAGCGATTCCGGAACATTGACTGTGACTGTTGCTGATGTACCAGAACCCCCGAGATTCCCTATTGTCGAGAACATTCTTGATGAAGCCGTTATTCTCTCATGGAAGCCTCCAGCACTTGATGGCGGTTCACTTGTCACCAGCTATTTGATCGAGAAGAGAGATATCAGCGGAGGAGCCTGGACGCCATGCGCCAAGAGTCGCTACGCCTACACCACTGTTGAAGGACTTCGCGCCGGTATTCAATACGAGTTCAGAATCTCCGCTGAGAATCGTCATGGAATTTCGAAACCCTGTGAGCCAACAGCGCCAGTTCTCATCCCAGGAGATGCTCGCAAGCGTCGTCGTGCTTACGATGTCGATGATCAAGGAAAGATTATTCGTGGAAAAGGACCAACCTCTTCGAACTATGATAACTACGTCTTCGACATTTGGAAGCAATACTATCCACAGCCGGTTGAAATCAAGCACGATCATGTTCTTGATCATTATGACATTCACGAAGAAATCGGATCGGGAGCATTCGGAGTTGTCCACAGGTATTCAGAACAACTCGAATGTTTTAGCAGTGTTCTTTTCTTTTTTCAGAGCTACAGAACGTGCAACTGGAAACAATTTTGCTGCGAAATTTGTGATGACTCCACACGAAGCAGACAAAGAAACAGTTCGCAAAGAGATTCACACCATGTCGGTTCTTAGGTAACTTGATATTGAACTTGAGAGATATGCGATGGTATGCTAATTCTGTTTCAGACATCCAAAACTCGTCAACCTCCATGATGCATTTGAAGACGATAATGAAATGGTCATGATCTACGAATTCATGAGCGGTGGAGAACTCTTCGAAAAGGTTGCTGATGAGCACAATAGAATGTCTGAGGACGAAGCGGCCGAGTACATGAGACAGGTGAATCGCTGAGGTAAATTGCATGCTTAATTGATTTCTGATATAGGTTTGCAAAGCTTTGTGCCACATGCACGAAATGAACTACGTGCATCTCGATTTGAAACCGGAGAACATCATGTTCACGACAAAGAAGAGCAGTGAGCTCAAACTTATCGATTTCGGATTGACGGCCCATCTTGATCCAAAAGAAACTGTCAAAGTGACAACTGGAACTGCCGAATTTGCTGCTCCTGAAGTCGCTGAAGGCAAACCAGTTGGATATTACACTGATATGTGGAGTGTCGGTGTTCTTTCATACATTCTTCTTTCTGGACTCTCGCCATTCGCCGGTGAAAACGATGAAGCTACTTTGAGACATGTCAAGGTAATTCGAAAGTTTCCTACTTTCCACATTTCCATTCATTCAGAACTGCGATTGGAACATGGATGATCCAGTTTTCAATGGAATTTCCGAAGATGCGAAGGACTTCATCCGCAAGCTTCTTCTTGCCGATTCCTCCACAAGAATGACCGTTCATCAAGCTCTCGAACACCCGTGGCTCGCTTCCGGAAATGTTCCGGGAAGAGACGAGCAGATTCCAAGCAGCCGTTACACCAAGATTCGCGAATCCATCAAGACGAAGTATGATGCTTGGCCTGAGCCATTGCCACCACTTGGACGCATCTCCAACTACTCTTCACTCAAGAAACACCGTCCACAAGAATATTCGATTCGTGACGCCTTCTGGGACAGAAGCGAGGCTCAGCCAAGATTTATTGTGAAGCCTTATGGAACTGAAGTCGCTGAAGGACAATCGGCAAACTTCTACTGTCGTGTTATTGCTTCATCACCACCAGTTGTCACATGGCATAAGAATGACCGCGAATTGAAGCAGAGTGTGAAATACATGAAGAGATACAATGGAAATGATTACGGATTAACCATCAACCGAGTGAAATCAGAAGACAAGGGCGAATATACCGTGCGCGCCAAGAATTCCTATGGAACCAAAGAAGAAGTGGTGTTCCTCAATGTTATAAGAACGTCTGCACCACTTGTCTTTGAGCCACTCGAACCAATGAAGAAGGCTCCAAGTCCGCCGAAGGTTGAAGAATTCAAGGATAGAACAAGCGCACCGAAATTCACATTCCATCTTCGTAACCGTCTCATCCAGAAGAACCATCAATGCAAACTCACATGCTCCCTTCAAGGAAACCCAACACCAAAGGTCGAATGGCTTAAGGACGGTTATCCGGTCAACGAAGACCGTGTTCAAGTCTCATTCCGCAGCGGCGTATGCTCATTGGAAATTTTCAATGCTAGATTAGAAGACGCCGGAACATACACTGTTGCTGCCACCAACGAATTAGGAACTGATGTCTCGGAATGCGTGCTCACTGTCCAAACCAAAGGAGGCGAGCCAATTCCAAGAATTTCGTCGTTTAGACCACGAAGAGCATATGATACACTGTCATTAGGAGACGTTGAGAGGTCGCACTCGTACGCTGATATTCGACGAAGGTCGTTAGTCCGAGATGTATCGCCAGATGTGAGATCAGCGGCTGATGATTTGAAGACCAAAATTACACATGAATTGCCCTCGTTCAACGTGCAACTGAAGGACGTGACCGCCGACGCAGGATCGACAGCGGAATTCGTTGCGGAAGTTTCCGGCCAACCAGAACCATTAATTGAATGGCTTCACAATGGAGAACGAATCGGCTCAGACGCTAGAATCAAAGAATCTCTGAGTGGTGGAAAGGCAACACTTCGAATCAGCGATGTTGCAACTGGAGATGAGGGACAATACATCTGCAGGGCATCGAATTCTGCCGGACAGGAACAAACGAGAGCTTCGCTTACAGTCAATGCTCCATTAGTGAATGGCCATTCAATCAGCGAACTTGCTGTAAAATCCCATCTCAGCGGGCAAATTGTGCCGGCGGGAGGAGTCGCGACATTCGAGGCGCGTCTCGAAGGAGATGCTGAAGAAGTGCTTTGGATGCGAAATGGACAAGAACTTACAAACAGCGACAAAATTGAGATCACAAGCGAAAACGAGGTGCATCGATTAACAATCAAGGATGCTGCAGCTTCAGATGCGGGACATTATCAACTTGAAGCTCGCAACAAGGGAACAAATTTGGTATCGGTTGCCTCGTTGGTCGTCGTCGGCGAGAAGGCTGAGCCGCCAGTTACCAAACTACCGGCATCAGTATCAGCAGCAGTCGGATCTTCGACTTCGTTCACCGTAGAATTTGAAAATGTTGAAGGTAACAAGTAGGGACAACAGCTTATTAGATGCTCGAATTTTTCTAGGTCTCACTGTTCAGTGGTTCCGCGGCGCCGAGAAAATCGAAAAGAGTGATAGAATCAAGTCAGTGAAGTCGGGCAACACATTCAAACTTGATATCAAGGTAAAACAAATAGTTGATTGAATAAATCATCAAATTATAATTTAAGAGCGTCGAACAAGAAGACGACGGAATCTACGTCGCGAAGGTCGTCAAAGAAAAGAAGGCGATTGCAAAATACTCAGCAGCTCTTCTTCTCGCTTAAAAATATATATTTGTATACATTTTCTAGTCAGCAACACCAAACCGACGCCGCGTAATGATTTTTGTTTAAATAATAACATTAATAATAGTGCTAATGTAAAGAGTTCGTAACGCCAAGCTTCTTTCGCCATTAAACTTCATGTTACTATTAATATTATTACTCTCGTTTTTTTTCATCTGCTTTAAAGATTCGCTAGTTCGAAAAAGGCCTGACCAATTGCTGGAATTCGTTGTTTTGCTTTTCTCTATTTTTTTTGTATTCTGTAGTAGATTTCTGGGATTGGGACACCTTGAGATCTTAGTATTCTCCAGCTTTTGAACATTGAGAAGGGACTACCATGTTCAGAAGCTTTAGTTTCGTTTATTGTAATTTGGTTGAGGCACAAGCTAAGGGACGAGTTTGCTGCTGATTCCAATTGTGTTTTTCTTTGTTTTGGGTAGAATTATATAGTATTTGAACAACTTCCGGTGATTTATTTGCTATGCTCAATTGGTCAGTTCCCCTTTTCTTGATTAAAGTTTCCTTTTCAGCGATGGACCCTTCAAATTTTCTATGTAAAAACCCTTCCTTTCTCTAATTCTCTTCTTTCGTAATCCCAACAAATGGTGCCTACAACGTTTCTTCTATATTTTATTTTCGCAAAAAAAAATCTACACATCACTGTAATTTTTGTATTGTTTTTTTTTAAATTTTTTTTTGTATAATTTACAACTAAATAAATAATATAAAACAAATATTGTTTTCAATTAGATTAACGTTCTTCTCCTTCGCACAACAATTTGTATTTCTGAAAACAAAATATTAACATAAAATTCATTAAAATGAAATCAAACCCTATTTCGGATTTGCTTGACGCGGATAACAGCCAAATACTGATCTTCTCTCGGCGCTTCATTCACAAGAATGAAATTAATATCTAATAGACCGAAGATAGTCTCTAACGGCGGATTGAATTCCGTTTGAATTGCTGTATCAAGCGCCATTCGAAGATTGTCGCGTTCTTTACATGGCAAGTAAAATCCGGTGACCTCAAATGGCTATAGTCGTATTTTTTAAGCTTGAAATACCCTTTTCATTTCGTCAACTCCGAGCAAAATAACCGTGAGAACTTGAGTATTTAAAGATTTCAATATTTCCTTTTGAATATCCAATGTTTCCATTTTTAATGCTTCTTCTTCTGTCTTACATATCACGTTCACATAACGAAAACTCAGCTGAAACAAGCTGCACAAATATGTATTATTACAGAACAAAAAACCTTTAATTTCGTTCCATAATTCAAACATTCGGATTTGTTTCTTGTTCGCGATACCAACGATTTCAAAGAACATTCATTTTCAGTCTGAATTAACGATTTTTTTTGCGAAATATTTTTATTTTCTAACCGCTTTTTGAGCAAATGAAATAAAGTTGCGATATTTCGTTGCAAACTCCATCTAAAAACCTATGAAATTTTGTTCTCTCTTTAAAAAATTACCTTTTGCGGTCTGCATATGAATCCGCCGGAGACATTAAACATGGTACCGTAAACATTTCTTTTCTGGGTAAAATTTGGAAGGCTTTCAACGTCAATCTGAGATTCTTCAAAGTTAACAAGTGACAATATATCATCAATAGGAATTTCCCCCGTGAAAATCTCGGCTTCTTCATCGCTAAATGCCGAATCAAAGGTTGATTTTCTGAAATAAACAAGTTATTTGATTTCTTATGAACTGAAAATACATAATATTCTCTTCAGCCTCTTGCTCATCAAGAGTATCCAACAGAGAATCAAGCAAAGAATCTGAAGCATGAGGTGTTTCTTTATCTTCTCCCGAAGGCTCTTCATCAATAGGTGTTTGGCCTTCATCTGACAGATCAGAAAAGGATTCGCCATCTGCAGGCATGAAGTAATTAAGCCAAAATCTAGTCACATCTTATATAAACAATTGAAAACTTACCATCGAATTCGTTTGATAAGAAAAATTTGTCTGAATCGTCTTCCTGCAAAATATTTTCATAAACTTTTAATCATAATGTATAAGCAAACCACGTCTGAAAACTCGTATTCATGGAATTTTAGAAGTTGACTCATTTTCGCCTTCGTTCAATATTTAATCGATTCGACTCCAAATTCGAAAATATGGCTGTCTGCATCACTGCGTCAGGTTGAATGCAGACTTACGTTGTAGTTGACGATAAAGCTTCCAGAGAATATTCGCACCCTGAAAAATTGTGCAAACTTTTACACTTTCTATATACCAGTGCTAAAAATTTCAGAAGGTTTGCTAAGAAAAGACGTCATTTACGGAATACAGTCTGTATTCGAAAAAACCGGCAACCAAGTTCCTAAAGGCCCAACTCATTTTCAGTTTTCCCGTCTTTAATCAATAATTTCTTTTTTTATTTGGTGGTCCAATTCTGTTTCTTCACGGTGAGTTAGCTTTGCAGGTTATCCAGAGTACGGTATCCGAATTCCCACTGTTTAACTTATAATTTGAATTACCGCCTGCGCGATGGTCTACAATTAGGCAAGGTGCTCCTTTTTGCGATGGTAATAATTTCGAAGAGACTTGTGAAACGCGGCAAATGTTCAAACTAATTTTGACTGAAATAATTTGAATGTACGACGATTATCTTATTGTTATGTAATGTATATGAAAATAGGGATGAAAAGTCAGCTCTGTTCTGTTTTAGATCGAGTTTTCGATGGAAGTAGCCGGTATTTGTTATTTAACGGCACATTATAAAATTATCGAAAATGTTGTCATAGGTCGTTTGAAGCATCATCTCGTTGTACTATGACAGATAATATTTCATATACAAGGGTGAAAACCACATGATGTGATAAAGAGTCGACAGAATGTGACTGTGACTATTTTGCAGAATATGCCTGCAATTGTTTTCTGATAAAAAATTTCGATAATATATTAGTGAACGTTTAGAACTCGCATTAAACATCAATTCAAATACCGAATTCAAAATGTGTCTTGCTTGATATAATTGAACAATTTATTGTTGAAATGCAATTCAAAATTAACAGAATTGCACAGTGTAAGAAGCGGTAGCTTGACAGGTGAAAGTGGACGTTCCATCGTCGTAAGCATACGAGTAGGCAGTTGGGCAGGCATCCTTGAACATCTGGGCTGTGGGACTTCGATGGCACTTGTCTGGAGTTCCGTAGGCTCCGCGACAACATTCTTGGTCGGTGTTGTATCCGAGGCATCCGGATTTGCAGGCGACAGTTCTTCCGTCACGTCCCTTAACAGCAAGGGCGGCTGGGCATTCAGTATTGATATCGCGGTTGCAGCCTCCAGCACGTTTGCAGCCTTGAAGAGAAATTATAAAATAATTGAACATATTCAAATCGCCTACCATTTCCACCATGTGGGTCAATGAGAACTGGGATGTTGTATCCGTCGACAAGCGAGACATCGTAGAAGTCTTGCCCTCCCCAAGCTTTCAATGTGAACTCAGCAAGCGACACTGGTGGAACTCATCCAGCTCCGTTGCATTGTTCGCGGTTCTAGCCAATATTTCAGTGTATAAGCACGACACAATCTACTTACAGAGCAGAAGCCGGTCTCGCAGTTGAAGTTTCCATCGCATCCAGTTCTAGCCCATATTCTTCCAGCGGTCCAGGCATCGTCAACATCAACATTTCTTGCTTGTCCAGCGTCAAGTCTGAAGCCACCACCAGCCGGGTTTCCGGGGCCAAGGATTCCAGGCCAGATGGTGAATGGGCACTTATTGTAAACAGTGATGGTGCGGCTCTCTGCGAGTCCAACAAGGAGAACAGCCAACAGGCATGATTTGAAAAGCATCTCTAGAATAATTTTAGATGTTAGATTCAATTCAAAACTTGGCTGCATTCTTGCTCTCGGAGCACCGTATTTATACCGCAAGAAGGCGTGGTTTAACTGTCGCGTGGCGGAACTTTTTGATTAAAGGTTCACTGGGAACAATCAGTTTTCAATTTGATAATTTAATAATCACAGAACATAGAACAATTTTGAAAATCTGACTCTTACTAAAATTTGTTCAGTTACAGAATTGACCAGTGAATTTGGATTTAATAAGAGTGACACAATCGCTGTTTTCGATTGAATAATAAACAAATTATATTTAGTGGTTAAATGCAGCTTGAAAGGAAACTCGAAAAAAATCAAAACCATAATTTTCTTATTGGCATGGTTCTATACAGATTTAAGAAAATTCGAGATTTTTGCGCAATCTCAAGCACTATATTGTCTGAGTTCTTTTATATTTTTATCAGTCAGTTAAACTTTGTAAGTAAAAGAAAACAAATGAATAATAAAAAAAAACAAGCGTTAATTTAAATTAATGCTTTTTACAAAAATATATTCTACTCGGTAAACTCAAAAAGTGGTTTTCCTCGGTTTTGGTGAATCACCCACGGTCGTATTCACAACGCGATTTTTGCCGGAAATCCAATGTCTTCTCGAGAATGTGTTTTATTTTCTGGCGAGAGGATGATCTCCATTTTGTGTATCGACATCAGTCATCGGCAAAATAGCCAGTTATTCCGCTCGAGACCACAGCGCCCGTAAATCTACCACCCCATACATCAGTCGACATTATTCTAATAGCTAAATTTATTTTTTTTTATTCAAGAATTTTTTTTGAATGTTTCAATATTTCCGTTTAAATTGAAACGCTCGTAGTCAGAATTGAATTTCACAAACTTCGACCAAATGCATAATAAAACTGTTTTTAATAATTATATTTCCATCTCAAAAAAAAACAAGTGGACAAAATGTGAACCATGGAATTTTTGCTGGGTACCAATTCAAATTTCGATTTAATTAGTGAGAATTCGGATAAGGACCGTACTAGTCTGATACCTGCGAATCAGACTCATCCTAAATCGGAGCAGGACGCTTGTTTTCTTGGGTCATTGATCAGTTATCGACCGCATCATCTCTCGTAAAAATTTCAAAATTGTTCAATTAAAATATTTTGCCCTTATTTCGACGATAGTTATCGTATAATGAAAGGTTTCGAGCAATTACTTGGGAACAAATAAAACGTTTTCACTTTCGCATGAAATGCACGCGGAAAGATCACGCCGAAACGAACTGTGTTCTTGATACATCGAACTAAAAGGACGCGACGCACTTTGTGCATCATAATTCATTTATTTCAAACATTTACGAGAATGCGCGATCTTGAATGGCAACAAAACTGAAAACAACGGGGAATGAGATGAACATGAGCACACGATCCCAGGCATCAATTTTTCCATCATCGCATTCGGATTGAGATTGCTCCGATTCTGTTTCCGAAGTTGACTCTTTTCCCGTTTGGGATGATATTGGTTTAATAGTTGTCGCTGTAACAGTCGCAGGCTTCTTCGACGCCCCGATTTGTGGCATCAATTTATCGTTAAACCAATTCTCATAGCCATCACCGTCATCATCACTTTCAGTTTCTCCTGAATTTTGAGTAAAATATTTCAAAACTACTCTGTAATACCTGCATCATCATCCGTTTGTGTATTTTCATCTTTATCGATTCCCTTGTACAAATCTTCATCATCAAACATTTCATAATCAAAAAACATGTTATCCAACTCAGCATCACTCAACAGATCATCAGGAATCTTGTCGTCGTATACATAATCACCATCATCGTTGAAATCGAACTTGAAAACTCCTTCTTCTTCAGGTTCTTCATCATAATTATAGTCTTCGTGCTCCTGGATTTTGCTTTCATTCGTCTTATCTTCTTTCTCATCCGGATGCTTCTCATCAGACGAATTTGCGCTGATTGGGAGTATTATAATGGAAAGAAGAACAATTAACACGAATTTTGAAATCATCTGTAAATGTTGAATGAAAACGAAAAAAATGGAGCGAAAATGAAATAAAAAGAAAAACTTGAAAGTGAAACGGGAAATTCACACTTCCGAAGCCTCAATCGCAAGCGGTCTCCATGGTTTCCAACGAACAAAAAACTAATCAACCCCGTTCTTGTGGGAGCCGAATTGTGAGAAAAACATGAAAAACGAACTATTTTGATTTTTTATTTTTCGTAATTGGTTTTTTCTTTGCGGGTTCCTTTGATTTCGGTTTCTCAATCTTTTTCTCGGCTTTCTTTTCTTTTGAAGTTCTCTTCATTACCTTTTTAGGACCTTAAAATATATCAAAACGTTCTGATTCGAATATTCAAAGATTGATTGACCTGCTACTTTTTTCTTTCGATTTTTTCCCTCTTTGCTATTATTTGAAGGATGTTTTTTCTTTTCTTTTTTCTCCTTTCTCTTCTTTTTTTTATCATGACCTTCCGAACTGTTCATTTCGTCAGATGAGTCCGACTTTTTTATTATATTCGCTTCAGGAGTTGGCGGACTCTCGTGATTCGACGATGTCGACATTTTATTAGTGCTCGGCAAATCAATCCGAGGACCCGCAGATGAAGTTTCTTGTTTCGATGATGGTTCGCCTTTTCGGAACTCAGATGCACTTGGCTTCTCTGACCTAAATAACTGAAATTTCCATCAATTCTCAGACCTGAATACATTTTCCCCTGTACTATCGGTTTTTTCAATAACTGCATAATTGTCGAACGATTGGCACCTTCTTTTCTTTCAACATTTTCCGCTCCTTCGTTATTCATCTCCTTCTCTTCATTTATTTTTGCAATGCGTTCCTAAAACAGAAAAAGTGTTTTGAAAAACCACAAAATTATTTTGAAAAACCTTAATCATTTGATCATCTTTGAACAATTTTTCTGTTAAAAACTCTTCAATTCGATCGACTTGCGTCTAAAAACTTCACGTTAAAATTCCCGAATAACCTTTGATGTCAACCACTTGAATTTCCTGGTTTCGATTACCAATAATGCAACCAATGAAAAGGGTACAAATTCCAAAAATAAGTGAAACGTACAAATAATTAATGAGGCCCATGAGCAAAGCATGCTAAATAATGAATCATTTTTATATTTTTTTGTTTTTTTTAACCTTCATAGATACAACGTTTACAAATACGGAACCTCGAAGTTTTCCGTTAACATAGCATTCAAAATTTCCGCTTTCGTCGTGTTGAATGGGCCACAATCCTAAACAATATTCAGAAGAGATGTGAGCACCCAGTCTACCTAATCGGCCAGAGGCACTAATAGAGATTCTCCAATCAAACCAGCCAGTTTTAATATGAACACTATTAACAAACCAATCAATATTTTCATCCTTTCTATTCTATAAAATTTTACAGAAATTTGATTTTCTTTTTTTTCGCTGAAATATCAATTAAGAACCTCAAGTATTCGCGTTTCTTCGTCGCATTTCAGTGTGATCATCGAGCCGCTGACAACATCAATCTCGGAAGTTTTCATAACATCAATTTCAAGAACTCGGCTATTTCCAACTATTGAGCGCACTACTTTTTCTTTTCTGCTATGCTCAAATAGGCCTGATGGTTTTTCTACAAGTTTTGCACGATTTTTTCGAAAAAATGAAAACTTTGGTTTCTTTGTCGTGGTTGTACTGAACAAGGAAACGTTATTCATTTTATAAAAAAATGCATAATTACGGATTCAAAATTTTTTCGATAGATAGTGGTGGGCATCTTCCATGGGCTATTCGCGATTCCAATTCTGATTTTTCCAGAAAATCACAATCGACGTCGTATCTCAACCATTGCCGAAATTTTGCCATTTTCATCGATTTTTGCCTTTTAACGGGATCCTGATTTGATAATTGAGAATCATAAAGTCGAAAGATATTTCTAAACCTTTATTTCCTTCTGCGCATTTTTTATACTTTTTTCATCATCTGGATCAACCAAAACATATTTAGACATCTCATTCAATTTTACAAAAACCACAAGAAGAATAAACCACTTCACCATTTTCTTGAAATGAACGTTACGTTTTAAAATTTATTAAGAACAATTAAAATAAATAAAGCCGTCGGTCTATTCAAACCCATCCGTTTATACAACCGAAACATGAATTATTTACAATACGCTACCCGTTTAATCCAGAACCTTTCTTTTTTTCAGATCTTCACGAGCTTCTTTAATTTCTTGAATCAATTCTTCTCTGGCTTCAGCACAATCGTTGAATGTTGCAACTCCATACACAACGCTCCCTACTGCGTATATCTAGAAGGACACTCATATTAATATTGCATGAAATAAGTACAAACCCCTAACATGATTACGGCAAATATTGGTGCCTAAAAATTATCCATTCGTTTGACGTAACGTAATTTTTTTCCTTACGTATAAAACAAAGTGATGTGCGAATTCCGGCAGATAGTTATTCACAGGAATAATGTTATGTACACAAGCTACCCATATCAAAGTTAAAGGAACCAGATGACCAAGAAAGATTACTGCTTGAGATACCATTTTCTAAAAAAACTAAAATTGGTAATCTGAATTTGTTAGAGTAATTTTATTCAGAATAACCAATTAAGAAATGCGCCTTTCAAATAAATCAAGATTATTCACTATTTACAATATAAAACAATTAAACACAATTGTATTTATAGATTTAACATTATTTTTAGCGCGCACTACCTGGGAGTGTCTAAAAAATATTTATATTGTTGGCTTTTTGCCAGAACGAGTTTGATGCGCATGTGTGCAAGGTACGGTAACACAATGTTCAGTGTGTCGGTGTGCGCCTTTAATACATAGTGGTGAATTTTTCTTCTAGTTCCTAAATTTTTTCGGAAATTTCCGTTGAAAATTAGTGCACTGACCGGTTTTTTTTTGTGAAAAAATACAAAATTTTCTTAACAATGTTTTATCGTTTTTGGTTAAATGTTAAATTCTACTTAAATTATGTTTATTAGCTTTTAAACGTATTGATTCCTTTTTTCAATATTTTTGCAATAATTTCTTTTGAATTTTTTAGAACATGGGAAAGCCGAAGGGACTCTGTACGGCCCGTAAGCTTAAGACACATCGTCAGGAACAACGATGGAACGACAAGAGATATAAGAAGGCTCATATTGGAACTCGTTGGAAGTCCAACCCGTTCGGAGGAGCGTCCCACGCCAAGGGAATCGTGCTTGAAAAGATGTAAGATTTCAAATTGAAGAAAATCTCTAATAGATGTATTTTCCAGTGGTGTTGAGGCTAAGCAGCCTAACTCTGCCATCCGAAAGTGCGTTCGTGTTCAACTCATCAAGAACGGAAAGAAAATCACCGCTTTCGTTCCAAATGACGGTTGCTTGAACTTTGTTGAGGTTTGGTTTTCTTCTCTATAATCGAAATGTTAAATTAAATGTTGTCGTGGTAGCGCTACTGTGGAATATAGGCTAGATGTCCAAAAATTACGAAAAAGACTGCGCATTTAACGTATTCTTGGCCCGTTAAATTTGGGCCAAGACTGCTTTATCGAAGAAATGGAATTTTCACAAAATTGTCGAGTCGACTGGAAAATTGGCTAAATGGCAGTTAGGGTTTGACACAAAACGAAGTGTAGGTTTATTGGCCTAAGTGTAAGGATAGGCGCACCGAGACCTTTTAGTATTTTGCTTTATAGGTGAAATGTTGCATTTTATGTTATTAAGAAACTTAAGATTAAATTCGTTTAATTATTTTTTTGACTAAGTAGCATTTATTCTTGTAATTTCAGGAAAACGATGAAGTTCTTGTGTCCGGTTTCGGACGTTCTGGTCACGCCGTCGGAGATATTCCCGGAGTTCGCTTCAAGATCGTCAAGGTTGCCAACACTTCCCTTATTGCCCTTTTCAAGGGAAAGAAGGAAAGACCACGTTCGTAAATGTTTGTTGTTATTGTTGTTCCGATAACATAAATAAGTTGTTGGGATGTTATTATTGAATCAATCCAAAAAGAATGTTCGTGAATTTATGATGATCGATATTCAAAATTATAATTATATTGTCGGCGTCAAACGGCTGACTTTGTAAGGGAGGAATAAGGGAAATCGCATTAATTATCAGTGTAGGTTTGTGAAATCGTAAATTTTAGCTACGCTTATTTTTGTAGTCGCACTGTGAAGATAATAAAACAATGCAATGTAGGCCGACGAACTTCTCTGTGCTTCGAGACACCTTGAATATTCTTAAATATCGTTAATATACCTATTAATTCAATTTTTTAAAATACAATTTTTCCAGGAAAAATGCATATTTAATGTAATTTTTACATTTTATGTCCATAAGATATTTCACGAAACTAAATATTGTCAACGTCCCGCGATTGCGAAAAATTGGCTTAATGCCAAAAAACAATGACAGTGTTCTTGGCGCAAAACTAGGTGTAGATTTACGGGTCTATGTAGAAGGGTAGGCTAAAGGCGCACCAAGACCTCTCCTTAAATTTTTTGGCATTTTGTCAATTTTCGTCGAAAATTCCAATCGGGTCCGATGATATTAGGAATCAATCCGGTCTTATTAGTAATTCTACAGATAAGATTGTAAAATTGTCATATCCGATTAGTTTTCTAAGCATCTTCGGATCCGATCCGATCCGATCCGATTGGTTATTGTTTGAGTTTGATTTGTTTAAAATTTTCAACTCAAATCTAATGCGATTGGTTTTGAGTTACCAGAGCCCAATATATTTTCATGGAATAAAAGAAATTGTTCAATTTATCTGAAAACAACAAAAATCAATTTCCCACTTATAAGCATCAAGTAGAACTTTGATGAAGGCGGTGGGACGTATTTCAACTTATTACATTCGTAAAAAACCAATAATATATTCATTCTACCTTCGCTTAGTATCACAAAATATCTGAACAATCGCGCATTCTTTGTGGAGGAAAGAGAAGCGACAATAGGGTGATGGTGTATATAAACGGGTTTTCATCGGCCACCAATATCCGATGTTGAAAGCTTGAGAATATATTTTCGGGTCGTATTCTGTTTTGTCGCATCGCTTCAAAGTTCATTCATAAGTTTTTATCCCAATTTTCCGAACATAGAATTGAATTATGCCGACTATTTTTTGGTTTTCGCTCTGATTAGCATCTATACGATGCGGATACCGTTACGGTTATATCACGACAAACTATCGCAAAACAAACATTGTCACTGAAAATTGCTTAGATGTGAACCATGCCGAACGTAAATTGTGAATCAGAAGCACAAATTCTATTCTCATTTCACATCTTGAAGATTGTTTTTCTTAATTGCTGATATTTTCCACGATAATTTTTCATTTTTCCATACATTCATTTTTTAAACCAACACACAAAGATGGGCAATATATTCGAATCCAGAAACTAGTTCTTCTGATCAATTTCACTATAATATTCTAATATATGAATTAGGCGAATCTAGTATTTATTAAAATCGAGTCGAAATAGAGAAAATCTCGAATATAAAAAAAGATAGAGTTTGAATATAAAACCTGTACGAAATTGAGGGCCCTTCAAACAAAAACGACTTAAGAATTGAATTGTTTCAACTTCAGTTTTTTTTAAATATTATTATATTTGATCGAGGTCTCGCGATTACGGGTGGCGCGCTCGACGATTACTTGCAAGACGATTAAAGCGATTTGTTAATTGTGACATTGTCCGTGTGGAGTACATCCCCAACTCGTGGCTTCTGGCTCGCCAATCCGCCGCATTCGCGCGATTTCAACAATATCATCAACTCGAAACTGGCATCGAACATTTTGATAATTTATAAGCGGACAATTTTAAGTTGCGTCGACTGTTTTATGCCTCGCGCATGTAGGCATTATACTGCCGCGACATTCCACGGACTTCGAGGTCTCAAAAATCGAGTGAAAGTGAGATGAAAGTTCTGTCGAAGACAGAAAACTGTGTGGGAGACTCAAAAAAATTGTTTGAAGATCAAATGCCGATTTCTTTTTTGACGCGAAAAAAAAAATCAAATTTTTGCATGTGCATTTGGAATACTGTAATTGTACATATTCTTGATAAACTCAGTCTAAGCGCAGTTTCGCAAAGCGAGAACAAACTGAGTAAATTAACTTTTTCGCCCATATATTGAAAATATGAAGAGGATTTGAGTTTGTGTTGTGATTAAAAAATGTTGTATGAAAAGAAACAGGTATTCCAGCAACGCTTTTTGAAAGCAGTTTTGTATAAACATTGGATCCAATTTCAAAGCTAACAATTTTTCATAACTCAAGTTCGTAATGAATTTTTATTAAGATTCGATGCGATCGCTTCAGGTTTCAAGGAATCTCAAATGTTCCCTTTTTTGGTGTGAAAACTGAGAGGCGTCGTTGGCGGTCGTTTGTCCGTTATCATCACTCGTTCTTTATCCTCTCTACGACTTGTTCATTTTACAACACAAAAATATATGAATATGTGTATATATATATATATATATACAGCATGGTTTTGGCCTTGGCGTCCAGTTCTTCGGGCTTCTCATCTGCGCACCGTATTTCCCTTTCTGCATTCGGGGAAGAATTCGTCAAAAAAAAAAACAAACTCGTTTCACATCGATGTCTGTGCCTCACCATCCCACGACGATCACAATTGTTTCGCGCGCACTGCCAAATGTATCATGTTTATCCGCTCACCTTTTTTGGGCTTTTCCTTTTTTTTGAAGAAATTATTCTCGGAAATTTTTCATTTCAAATCGATTCTTTTGTTTTGGTTTTTGTCAAGTTTTGAAGATCTGAAAATTTCCACAATTTCGCAGTTTTACAGTTTTTCTCACATCTCCCAGTTATGATTTTTAATTTAATTTGGATCATACAAAAATTCACACATATTATTGGTTTTCTCATTCTTTCACATTGGGGGCGGAGCCAAATTTCTTCGGTTTTCTAAAAAAATGCAACAATTTTCGAGTGCATCTATCACAGAAAATTGTGTTGCGTCATCAATGAACTGGACTAATAAAAAACAAGAGGCGATTCTCGCAAATCTGTATGGCGCGACATAAAAGCGAAATCGGCGTTAAAGTTCACCGTAGAAAATTTGCATAAATGGGCCCGATCGATTCAAATCCGCGCGCGCGCGTCGAGACACCAAACTGTTCGGGTGAGTGTGTGTGTGTGTTTTGTAGGTCAACGAGTATTGAAACATGACGAATTCGAACAATCGAATGATTCAGTTATTATTTGCACCTTCCATTTTAGTTCCGTTTGCGTTTTCTGTTCAAATCATTCCAGTTCATAAACGAGAATTGAGATGCTCACAATAGTGACCTGCTTTCCATCTCATTGCATTGTCTCGATCCGATTCGTCTCAGCGATTTTCGTAGTTCCACGCAAATCACATTACGGCTGAATGGTGACATCAAGCATCCATGATTTTTTTTCGGCGTTCGAATCTGCGCGGTTTGACACTATTATTTTTGTAATCGAATACTGTAGCTTCTCATTTTTCTTGTTTCTCCAATTCCGATCTCATCATAATTCTTTCCGTTTTTTATGTTGTCGCCGTCGATTTATTGCCGATTTCTCAATCTTATTCACCTTATTGTGTAATTTGTGGTTTTGTTCGGATTAAGAAGGTTTTTCACACGAAAAATGTGAACATTGACATTTGAAGTGCGAAGTAATCGTTTGACAAAACCAGTAGTCTTCGATGTTTTATTAGTATTCTTCAAATTCTCAACTTTTTTTCCACTTTTACAAATCTGACTCCCGCTTTTTTAAACACGTGTTTCATTATGCCGACAATTTTTTGGACGTGTTCATTATGTTCAAAGAGCGACGGTGAACGTGAAAAGCGATTTCCACATTTCCACAATTTTTTGTTTATTTTGATAATTTTTTTCGAAAATTTGATAAGATAAAACCTGTTTCGACTTTCGATTACTTGTTCATACATTAGTCTCGTTTTTTTTTTGCCGCAAACCGCAACAGCTGATCATTGAATTTTTGCGTGTGATAATTCTGATTGGGTTTGTATGTTTTTGATGACCACTCTGCTGCCATAAACCGGATTCCATTCGTCCGATTCGTTGCATTGCTGGTTTCGTCGCCTTCAGCGTATGCCACAAACACACGATTTGCAGGAATACACCGAAGAAAAGCTCGTCACCGTCGCTTCCTTCTCTCATATTGAGTGATTCAAAACGACGGTTCGGTGCGAAATGAGTGATGAGGATAGTTGCTCGGCGAGCACGAGTTGGCGACAACCAACACCTCTTCCTACCGATATTCTCGAGAAACCTGCTAGGTTTGTTCATGTCAATGAAATTGCAAAAAAATTTCGGCAAACCTTTTCCAAATTACATTCTTTTTTCTATTCTATCAATTCAGGCTTCTTCCAAAAATGAAGCTCGAAGAGCTTGTCACAGTAATGCTAGTGACCGGTGCCCTCGTATTCCAAAATTTGCCGATCGGCGTTTTCCTTTCGGCAGTGCTTGTCGTCTACATTGCCGTCGTCCATGGCGACTTCATTTATCGATCCTATCTGACGTTTAATCGCGATTTGACGTAAGCAGACGTTTCGTGCGAACGAATGCGCAATGGGTTGGCGATGTTTCAGAGGTCTCGCGCTCATTCTCAACGTCAAATTCGATTTGTGGTATCGATTGCACCAAAACAAAGGAATCCATGAGTTGTTCGTCGAGATTGTCAAGAAGCATCCAAAGAAAATTGCAATGATTGACATTGAGACGAATCAGCAGCAAACATTTGAGCAGTTCAATGCTCATTGCAACCAATATGCTAATTACTTTCAGGTAATTTATCAATTTAGCAAATCATGCATCTAATCAACACAAAACAAATTTCTTCAGAGTCTAGGCTATCGTTCTGGAGATGTCGTGGCTCTTTATATGGAAAATTCTGTAGAATTTGTTGCTGCTTGGGTTGGACTTTCTAAAGTATTCAATTTTGTGTTCGTATTAATAATTCTCTAATTTGTTCAGATTGGCGTTGTGACAGCCTGGATCAACTCTCATCTGAAACGAGAACAACTCGTGCACTGCATCACCGCCAGCGAAACAAAAGCCATCGTCTGCAGTGCGACCCTTCAACACACACTTGCTGACGCGATCGATGAGAAGCTCATCGATGTGAGCGGAATTCGAGTATACACAGTTGGACAGCCCGCCCGAAGCGAATTCGAAAATCTAAAAGCTCGTCTTGACGTTCAGAGAAAAAACGAGCCGAAGAAGCTGGACGTCATTGATTTCAAAAGTAACATATAGAAATAATTAAAAATGGAGAAATTCTCAATTAAGGTGTCCTTTGCTTTATCTACACCAGCGGAACGACTGGAATGCCAAAAGCCGCTGTGATAAAGCATTTCCGATACTACTCGATTGCTGTTGGTGCTGCCAAATCATTCGGAATTCGCTCACAAGATCGAATGTACGTTTCGATGCCGATTTATCACACAGCTGCCGGTATACTGGGTAAAAAATATTTCTAAACGTTTCAAATTTTGAAATATTGATTCTCAGGAGTTGGTCAGGCGATTCTCGGCGGGTCTTCGTGTGTAATCCGAAAAAAGTTCTCTGCGAGCAATTTTTGGAAGGATTGTGTCAAATATGATTGCACGGTTTGTTCGCAAATACTCATTCCAAATTTTGTACAAATAACCAATTTCTCAAGGTCTCTCAATATATTGGCGAAATTTGTCGATATTTGTTAGCTCAACCAATTGTTGAAGAAGAATCAAGACATCGAATGCGACTGCTCGTCGGCAATGGACTAAGAGCCGAAATTTGGCAACCATTTGTCGATCGATTCCGAGTTCGTATCGGTGAGCTCTATGGCTCGACCGAAGGAACATCGAGTCTCGTGAATATCGACGGACATGTCGGCGCCTGTGGATTCTTACCGATATCGCCGTTAACAAAGAAAATGCATCCAGTGCGACTTATTAAAGTTGACGACGTCACTGGCGAAGCAATCCGGACTCCTGATGGATTATGTGTCGCATGCAATCCAGGAGAATCTGGGGCAATGGTGTCGACGATCCGTAAAAATAACCCACTTCTGCAATTCGAAGGATATTTGAATAAAACAGAAACCAAAAAGAAAATAATTCGCGATGTGTTCGCACGCGGCGATAGTTGTTTCCTGACCGGTAAATAAATCCTATTATTTATTCATGACGCTTTTTCGGATGATTGCAGGTGATCTGCTTCACTGGGACCGTCTCGGCTATGTTTATTTCAAAGATCGTACCGGCGACACATTCCGATGGAAGGGCGAGAATGTCTCAACAACCGAGGTCGAGGCAATTCTCCACCCAATTCGTGGTGTATCTGACGCCACTGTTTATGGTGTCGAAGTGCCGCAACGCGAAGGTCGCGCCGGAATGGCGTCTGTCGTACGAGATCCGACATCGACAACGAACGAAAGCGACGAAGAATTCGTGCGACGAATCGGAGCACGACTGGCGTCTTCGCTGGCCACATATGCCATCCCACAATTCATTCGATTGTGCGAAGATGTTGAAAAGACGGGTAAGTCGCTTCATAGTTTTGTTTCTCAAATGAGTATTTTATCAGAATATATATTTAAATTTTCAACATAGCTTAAGATATTTATGTATTTAGCCACATTTCATAGACATACTTACCCTAATATATTTTTACGCCAAGGTTCCCTAGTTATAAGTGTTCTAAGATGCAGAATGTTTAATGCCTCCGATATCATTCGTACCTAAATCGATCAATCTTTGCCATTCGCCGAACGCCTTTTTAGCCAATGACGCTATCTATCACGGTTAAGTCTGCGAAAACGAAAAAAAAACAATTTTGGACACGTTTGGTGATATTGGTTCCAATAGGTTTGAAGATTTCCTATTATTATTATAAAACTTCTAATAAGTATTATTATAATATCTGCAACAAGTGGAACAATGTTTAGGATTAGATGTTTTCGGGACAAAGCTTTACAAAAACTCTTCTCTTAAAATCGTTTATGCTTGAAAATGTCCCAACCTTGTTTTAGGGACTTTCAAACTGGTGAAAACAAACTTGCAAAAACGGGGAATTTCGACAAAAGACTCAAGCGATTCATTGTACATCTACGATTCACGTATACGCAACTATATTCCGTTTGATTCTGCAATTCGTGAGGAAGTTCTCGCCGGCACATTTTCATTTTAATCTAGAGTTAACTTCTTGATTCATAATTGTTTGTTTGTTTGTACGAATTATCACCTTTGCCATGTCCTACAGGTGCTTTTACGATTGTTTCTTTCACAGCTCATTTTTCAGTCTTCCCTAAATCTTCTTGTTTTTGTTTCTTTCCATTCAATTCGCTCAAACCTTCCCCTAATTCTCAGTATTTATTCCTTTTGCTTGCTTAATTATCACATTTTCTTTTCTGCTCTGTTCGAATTTCTCCCAATGTTTTTTTTCTCGCTAGTCGTTTTAATTTAATGAATTAAGAGAATTAAAAAAAACTGTTATTAACGAGACCAGCTCTATGCAACATTAAATGTGAGAAGTTCCGTATTATGGCAATAAATGGGCGATTCCCCGAGAAAATTTGGTTAAAGCAGTTTGGTAAATTATACACATTTTCTAATTATGTACATCTCAGTGTTTACTTGGAGACTGTTTTTCGCCTTCAGAATGTTTCAAACTTCTACGAGATAACTCGCATTGTTGAGCGAAAGATTCGCGACGAGAATTAGCAGAAGAACTTTTCTTTGGCGATGACTTCTTGCTACTCTGAAATAAGTACATAATGAATATTCAACAAAATGAAATAAAAAAAAACAAATGTAAAAAATGACAACACACAAACTTTTTTGCTTTCAACTTCGTCATCACTGCTACTTTCATCAAACTTTTTGGTTGGCAGGTCAGGCTCTTCGAAACTTCCATATTTTCGGAGAGTTGGAGCCAATGAAGCTCGCTAAAAACAATTCTCAAATAATAAAATTATATTTTTTCAAAATGATCCAACCATTGCTCTCTTTGGAGTATTTTGTACAGTTGATGCTGCTGCACTTTCTACAGCAATTTCCTCGTTTCCGCGCAAAATCGGTAAAACGAGATTCATTTGCTTCAGGGTTCTGAAGTGAAAACAATTTAAAAAAGAGTATTTGATTTGATACAAACTTTCTCTGTTCTTCAATCTCGTAGTGGGATTTGAAAAGGGCCCCGACCAGCTCCGTTGTGAACACAACATCAGCATGCTGAGCAATCAATTGAAGCAGGAAAAGACCATCAACTCCAAGATATTTTTCCATGAACCGAACGACGTGTTCCCGATTTTCTAAACAAACCCCTTTTTGGTCAACGCTTTGATACAGATGTCCAACCAACGTCATCCTTGTTAAACGGAGTTTCACACATTTCCAAATGATTCAAAAGAAAATGTTCGTTAAATGTGTCGTTGAACACAGCAAACAACCAACTGAACAAATTCGCAGCAGTAAATGTAGCCAGTAAAAGATACCTAGAATTTGTGAAAATTATTGGAAAAATACATATTGCTATACCATGCCCATAAAATAACGAAAATTTTTTCGGTGAATAAATTAAGAAGAAGAACACATTGAATGGTGTGAGTTTGGACATTTCCCATGTCTCTTGTCTGAAATTAAATTTTTATTTTTTATAAATTTTTTAAACTGATGAAACCACAAGATCACAAAGTGTTACTCGTGGAAAAACGCCATTCTCGCGCCATGTATCATTTCCTCCCGTAAAAATCGTTTTCCACATATCAAATCCATAATTTTTCTGAGCATCGCGTGGAAGCATATACCTTTAAACATAAAAAACGTCTCTTTCGGGTATGTAAGATCCCTACTCATTGAGCAACTTGATTTGTAAAACAACATTTACGAGAAATGCAATTTTGGCCAGGAAATACACAAACGTGACATAATATGATGAGTACTTTAAATTTAGAAACCGAAAAAACTTGTGAGGCACGATATTTTTCTGTAATTACTTTGATTCAAATTCAAAAATAGAATGAGTCTATTTACCATTTTGAGTCTTTTTTGAAATCGTAACACTCCTCTTAAATGGATACAAAGTGCATCGACATTCGCTTTTTTGACAAGTGGTACTGCGTTATTTTCGTCACTGGCAACACGAAGAATTTCGCCAACTTGCATTCCTTCAAGATAACAAATCAATATGAAAGGATTTCATTTGCACAAACCACTCTGACTAGCAAAATATTTCCAGATAAAACAAGGAAGTCGAAAACACGCTGCTTCAAAAAGGAGAAAAAATGACATCCATTGATAATAAGATATCTAGAGTAGATTTCAGTTTCAAACATTCTAATATATTAAATACCTTTTCCCCTCCCTTTTTAACAATTCTCGGCTCCTTCTTCGACCCAAGGGCTATTCCATCTGCTACAACGTCATCTTCACGGACCTCTTCAACTAATGGACTTGAAAATGGAACAAAATAAGTTGGCTGAGCCCAACAATAATTATTCGAGTATTGCACCCAAGCACCAGTAAAATCGAGAGGAACCATACACTCTATCGGATTTCCACCAAACTGTTTCCAAGAAATTAAAACAGCTAATCCAACAAGAAGGTTTGAAGTCAGAAACGAATGAAGACTCGCGATCAGGTCCTTTGCCCCAGTTTTGTTCGTATACGGAACCGTATTTAAAACACGGAATACAAACATCTAGAATATTTGTCTACTTGAAGCGAACAGGAATTTAGATATTGATGGACCGAATGTGCGGGTGTGTTATATAGAGCATCAAAGTTTTGATGTTTATGAAACACCAACAAATCAACAAATTATTCAACGATAACGTCGGCTTCCTTCGTGGCACGGGTGTAGACGACCTGACCGTGATGATGGACGATGCACTTGACAAGTCCTTTAGCTTGGAGTTCCTTAAGTCCAGCCTTTGCCAAAGACGCACGTACCTTCAGACGCTCGGAAACGACTGATGGCGTGATAAGTTTGTAAGTGATAACCTGAAATTTGTCGATGATTTTAGTATTCGATAGTGAAAAATACCTCCTTGTACAACTTGTCGTAAGTGGCTTGGTCGAAAAGAACCATGTTGTTAAGCTTATCCCTAACCTTTCCTTTCGACCACTTCTTCTTCTTGGCCTTTCCTCCGGATCCCTCCTTCTTCTTGGCTGGGGCGGCCTTGCCTCCCTTCTGGTCCTTCTTGGGTGGCATTTTACCTGTAAAACAAAGAAATAGAGATGCTAAAAGAAAACAAAAACTACGTTAAACACAACCCTAGTTAAAAACAATTTTATTTTTTGTAATTTTAAAACATTTTTGTAAAATTCATTTCATGAATAGGTTTAAAAGATAATTCAAATAAAATCGTACAAATTATTTGATTTACAAAAAATGCGTTAGCCTATTAAGGAATTTAGTGAAAAATGTCTTACTAACAAAACATTATATAAACGGGAGAACGAAAAAAAGTTGAATTATTTTGGGAAACGAAAGAAAATCGCGGCAATTGCCTGCTGACAGCAAACTGTATTTGTCGTGGCAAGAGACCGACGCTATGTCTCATCATGCCCCTTTAATGCCGTCTGCTTTTCTGCGTCTCTATAGAAAGAATACAATTTGAATTTTTATTATTTGGTGACTAATTTCTTATCAATTTTATACTGAATGCAGTTTTTAGAAAATTAAATATTCAGGCGGCCCTCAATGGCGTACAAAATGGAGGCCAGCCAGTTAAAAATAGCTGAAAAACTGATAATTTTAAATGATCGAGCGATTGGTATGCTGATTCGACTTTATAATATAAAGAAAAATGGAGGTAATTTGGAAAAATTGTAACACAATGTATTTTCACTATTAAAGATTCCAACGCAAAACCACAATTCTTGAGCGACAAGAAAATGGAGAATGCGATTAAGCATATTGTACGAAAATTTCCTGTTGTGGATTGCAGATCGAATTCAGTAAATAAAATTGATATAAAAGTTTTTCTAAAATCTCTTTAGTCGACATTTGAACATTTGGCATCGATGAAAGTAGAAGTAACCCAATCTCTGGCTCTGTATTACTACACATTTGCGGATTTGCTGGATTTAAAAGATCAAATTATGAATCTTCTAACGACAATGGAAACCTGCCAATGTCAACTGGATATCGTGAGAATTGAATTCAACAAATAGTTCCAAGCATTTGAAATTTCAGACTTTAAATTATGATTTAACTAATGGATACTTGAACCTTATTGTAAGCTTGATAAGTCTGATGATTCTTTTGTCAAGAATCGAAGATCGCAAAGCTGTATTAGGAGTCTTCAATGCAGCATACGATCTTCAAAATGGTCAAAGTGAATCGTCATTTCCGAGGTTGGGTCAAATGATATTAGATTACGAAAGTCCCTTAAAGAAACTTCATGAAGATTTGTTACCATTGAATAGGGTTTGTGATTTTTATTTAATTCTATTAAAGTATATTTTAAATTTGAAGGTAATTTATACTGCACTTTCATCGTTATCAAGTGTTTATGTAAGAAGAAATATGACAGCCGAAATGTGGCGAAAATCTCAAATATTCTCGATAACAGCAAACCCGCAGCAAATATTACACGCAGCTCAAACAGATACAGTTAGTTGTATTACTTAAATTAAATGAAAATGCGCGATTTTAGATTGCCTGTGAGTATCTCTCATTAGACGTCATGGATCGATGGATTGTCTGTAAGTTCGAGTTCATATTTTCGATGTGAATTTCTTACTTTATAGTTTGTGGAACCGTCTGTTACTCTTCCCTGTTGAACGATGAAAGTATATTTCAAATGTGGAGACTGGCTCTTCAAATGGGAACATGCCTGAGACTATTCCGCGATGAAGTGTTTCACACTCATCATGAAATTCAGCATTTTTTGGAATCGTCGAAAGGAAACAGTAAAAAGATTCAAGAAGTTAAAGATTGTTACGCAGTGGCATTACAGCAAGCGTAAGAGAAACTCGCGAATTAATCAAATATCATTTGTATTTGTAGAGTCGCAATTCATGCGGATCGACGCCGATTTTTGCGAACATCTCTTCGGGAGCTTAATTTGTTGATTAAAGATCAACCGGGCTTGTTAGGTCCGAAAGTGCTGTTTATATGGATGGCTTTATGTGCTGCTCGAGATGAAATTCTTTGGATTCTACGACATCAAGTAGAGTGGCCGACATCAAGCAAAAAAGGAATAAAATCTGCTGATGAATTGATTGACCGACAACTTCCTGAGCTCATTCACTATGTTTTGGAAATTCGTGATCTCGTTCACAAGCATTCTGATATTATTCACCGGTATTTTATGCAAGTAAGGCTTTTATTGCAAAAAAACTGGTTCATAATCATTTTTGAAGTATGTGACGAGTTATGATTCATTGGTCGCTTCTGAGATGGTTACTAGTCTCAACGGGTTTCAAGAGGAAGAAGCCGTGTTAATTTCCGATTTTGCTCATTCACTCGGAAATTTGAATTCGGACACCGATTTTCGTTCGCTGAGGTTGGATTGGTTCCGATTTCAGGTAATCTAAATTGTTTTGAATAAAATTTTTAAAAGGGGTGAGTAACCTTAAAAATCCTTAAGAAATATCAGTGAAGATATTCGAAAAAAATTAATTAACTAAATTTCAACGTTACGTTAATTTGTCGCGGAAAAAAATGATCGCGAATTATGTATATTTTCGGTGAATAAAATGCACAAGTCCACAATTTAATTTTAAGCTTTATTTCGAAAATCAAAGTCTTCTTTGTTTATTTTTTTTATTACCTAACTGGTTGAATACGTATTATTGATTTATTTGCGTTAATTTTTTTTTCAAGTTTTGATATATTGCAGATTTTTTATTAAAAAAAATTTCGACGAAAATTTTTTTCTCTTGAAATTTCTATGATGTTTATGTACTTTTTAAGCTTAGCGCTTCCCCTTTAAAAATTGCATTCTAGGCGTGGACATCAGTTTCTCGATCGACATTTTCATTGAAAAACAATCGACCATTTGCTGTTATGATGAATACGGCAGTTTTTCACCTAAAAATGATCGATCTACAAGATGAAATGTTGAGAGACACAAGCGACTTGTCCATTTATTGGTAACAATTGCGAATTTTTCCCAAGTTTATTTCAAGTCTTCTAGTTTCTACCACAAACTAGCCGAACGTCATTGGCAAACGTGTCTTCAACTTCCAGCTCAATCCCGCTATGCCTTGAGTTTTGCTCGAATTTCCAGTCATTTTGTCAGTGCTCTTCATGATATGTGTCCCGAGGAAAAGACATTCATTACAGAAAGAGTATAATGATTTTAACTATTTCATCGAAATTTATTTTTTTAATTTTTAGGCGTTAGCTCAATGTAACACTGTAATTGAAGAAACGTGCCGAAAAGTATGCGATGTTCTTCAAAAAATGTCTGAATACGAAGTTCGACTTGCGGAACAATTTTCTCCTTCCACTGTATGTACTTCACATGGTCTATAAAATATATTATCCTGGTTCAGGTTGTTATTCGAGTTGTCGCTCAGGTTTTACAACAAAAGGGCGGAAAGGCAGCAGCGGCTGCGATTCAAGCTGCTCGGGACGTTGTTGTTGCTGGAGAAGAGAGCCATCGAGTTAATCGTCAAACTCTAACTCTTCCAGATAAGCTTCAAACTGCATTGTGTATGTTTTATTTATTTATTCCCATATATTGTCGGAATCTCACAACTGCTTAAAATTGCCTAATTCCCGAAAGCAATGCCAGTGGTTTCGGCGCAACACTGCAAATGGAGATTTACGGGCCTATATGAGCACATTTTTTTCAGTAGAACTTTGTTGTGCATTGGGAGCCCAACGACAAATCGTGGTAGCCGACCATGCATTTGCACCGAAAGCTTATTTGACTCAAGCTCTTGAGGTATATAAAACATTCAAAAAATCAGTTTTGTTATTTAAATTTAGGCGAAATTCGTTGAACTTTTGCATCTGATGTTTTGGGAAGGACAACCAGGGCACAGCAATCCGAGAAGACCAAGTGATTTGTTAATGGCTCTACAAGCATATATGACAATGTTGCAAAACCTGGACACAGCGAGTAAGAGATTTTCAAATTAAAATCACTACATGCATTCCATATCTTCAGTTACGTTAGATATTAGTCATTTGATGCAAACTGTTCTTCTTCAACAGACACAGTCTCTGGATTCTCGAAATAAGGACACGATTACAGTTTTGTATACAAAATGGTTAGTACCAGAATTTCAAATTTCAGCTTTATTTTTACATTTTATCAAACAATTTTTTGTTTTATTGTGAAACCTGCGTAGTACCGTAACATTATAATAAAATATTTTTAGGTATTTGGAAGTTTTGTTAAGAAGGGCTTCGTCAGGTCACATGATTTGGAGTGAACATCTGCGGACGATGCTCGCTACATCTCAAGAGGAATTGCCTTTTCTTCCTGAACATTATTCGGATCATCTTGGTAACAAAACTTGTTTCAAATTTTTATTTGTCTCATATTTTAGAACTACGATCACTTGTTCAGTTGATTGGTCCGTATGGCGTTAAATTTATGTCGGAACGTCTCATTTGGCATGTCGCCAGTCAAATCAACGAATTATATAAAGTGGTTGTGCAATATAGAGAAGTTTTGCAAGTAGCTCGTTCCAACTTTGACAATGGAGAGAAAATGCGCGAAATTCTCCAAATTCTGAGTTTGGAAACGAAAGACAAAAAAGTATATTTTTTAAAGATCTAGTTAATTGAGCATTTGTACAATTTAAAGGGATCAAGTATATCATGTCCAGCGGACGCAATCCTAAGGAGAATTATAATTATTGGTCAAATATGTGCATTCCGTGATGCGATTCATGATGCTCTTCGTCAAGTCTTGGATGCGAGATTACCGTTTATTCAGGCTTCGTTTAATATGTTCTACAATAATGTGGACGATTTGGGAAAAGTTGTAAGATATCCTAGAGCTATTTTCAGTCTATATTTAGTTTCAATTTTGTGCTTTAGAAAATAGGAGAGTTATCTGCATCACTTGGTGTCACGGGTCCTGTCGATTTAGCCCTTATTAATGCCATAAGATCAACTACACCGCCAAATATGAACCGAGAAGAGCATTATTTGAATAGCTGTCTTTTGATGGTTGCCATAGGTACGAGTTTTTTTCAAAAAATTAACGAAATTTCAAAAAAAAAATTGCGCGTCCACTACCCATCTGGTGATCTTCCAACGCGTCACCAACACTTTGAGCATTCGCCTCTTGACTCTCTGCGGTGGGGCGGGCGAACATTTCGTTGAGTGATTGTTTTATTATTCCGTAAATCTTCAGTTTTCAAACAAGGCTTCTCCGAAATTATACTATGCAGATTGCGCGAAACACTGTAAACACAGTAAATAGCGATTTAATAAAAAAAAAAGTGTGGTGCTGTAAGCTTCGAAAAACCTGGCGGCGGTTGAGGTTTTTGGAGTTTTTTTTTGTGAACTGCATGTTACCATAATTTTTTGGCATTTAGCCTTTTCCGAAGTCGTGACGAAAGTAATTTGAACAATGTAAAAGGAACAATATAGATAAAAATTAAAAAAATATGTTTCTTTTCATTTTTTCTTCTTTTTTCATTAAGTTAATTTTCAAGAAAGAAATGTTTTTTTTTAGCAATTTGTATGCCAAGGATAGGGATGTCAGAACTTTCAACGTATAAGCCGACAGTTCAAGGTATTTTAAGTTATTTAAAGAGAATTTTTAATTTTTAAATCAACATTTTTCAGCTAGTCTTAATAATTGCCATTGTGTCCCGCTTGCTGTCAACACTATCGGCGCCGCATTGTTCCAATTTCACGAGAAGGGAGACATTGCACAAAGGATGAAGGAATTCTTGGCGGTATATGAATCAAACGAGAATTTCGATAACTATATAATCTTTATTCAGCTGGCTTCGTCAGGAATCCTACGCACAATTCAGGAGCGCGACGGCATGAAACCGTCGCACGAGGATATTCTCCGATCACACACCACATTGTATATAATACTCGAACAGGTTGGTTTACACTAAAAATGCAAATGATCGTAGTGTGATTATTCCAGATGGTTCGAAAAAGTCGTTGGATGTCAATGGATGTTCTCGAAGCATGTTTTCCGTACAACTTAGTCCGTACCGCCTATCAACAATGCTTCGAAGCAGATTCGGTTTAGAGTCGCAATTTTGTATATTTTTCTACTCGCTCGCCCCTCCCCCTTCCCTGCGCCTCTTCGGGTTTCGATGCATGTTATTTACTGATTTCTATTTATTTTCCGTCCCAGTGTCTAGTTTATTGTACCTATTGTCTCTATCCTCATTTTCAACTTACGAGAAGCTTTAACGCATCCCAAATACGCTTGCTATATTTAGTCTGTATTTTGACGAACAATGAATTGCTTTATTATTACGTGAAGAGTTCAGCTTGAGTTCATTTCTGATTTATTATGAATTCCGTGTCAGTGAAAGATGAGAGGAATAAGAGATCTCCAGTGGAAATAATTTGGAATTGGATGGGTTTGTTCACGGATCGGCTGCGTTCAATTTCAAAATATGTACTTATTTCAGTAGCTATTTACTTTTTGTTTGCAATTGCATTTATTACACCAATTGTACTAATTTCACTTTATGTTATTTTATTACCGATCGAATTCATCAAGTAATTTTTAAATCTAATCATAACTTATCTGAAAAAATGAACGGAAATTCGAAATTCAGCAAAAATTTCGTATCAAAATGTCACAAAATAATGGCAAGATTGTTGAATTTACAATTTGTAGCATGCGCAAGAGGAGTTGGTCTTCGAGGTTTGTGTGATTTCTTTTAATACCAAAAAACCGAGCAAAATTCTTTGGAAATTAAAGAGTGCTTCTCCCAAGCTCGTCGCAACTCTTCATCATTTTCAAGTGTTAAATAAATTTATTATAAGATATTTAAAATATGGCTTGTTGCCTGGATCATTTAAGGAAAAAAATTGCAGATTTTCATACATAGTTTTCAGTAACCTCGTATGGGGGCGAAATGAACCATCTCGTTGGTGAACGTTGTCTAGTGATGCCCAATCATTTGGGACTCATCGATCATTTCATATTCATGTCCGCAATCGATCCCCTTGGTGCCGATGTGACAGGAACGGTATTGTTCGCGTTGAACACACCGTGTATCCAATATTCAATTACATTTAGTGGCTCTATGTGATCTATAGCGTATGGATTGGATTTCCACTTGGTGTTCTTTGGTGGATTCATGGCAATTATTTTATAAATAATGCGCGGCCGAGTGAAAGGCAAGAGCAATTGGAAGATTTACGGTAAAAAGTGGATTGTATAGAATGTACAAGATGCAATTCAGAAAACACTTCCTATATGAATATTATAATAAAGATAGGAAGTGGATTTGCTTGTATCCTGAAGGATCGAGATTCTATAGGATCAAGAAAAGCAGTGAAAATTTTGCAAAAAAGAACGGATTGCCAAAATTGGATCATTGTGCGTATCCGAGGATTGGTGCGGCACACACAATCGTAGAAAACTTTGGACCAACTATTGAGAATCGTAATCTCACGAAACACAATAAGCCAGCTCTTAAATATCTTGTGGATGTAACACTTGGATATGATGGAGGAGTTGTGACGAGCATGGGAGAAGCATTCTTCGGAAAATGGAAATCGAAGGAGCTTGCCTTCTATTTCGAGACGATAGAAATGGATCCCAGATGGCAAGACGTCGACGAATTCAAAAAATTCATGTTTGAAAGGTATCAGAAGAAGGTGAATTATTCATAAAAGACCAATTTCCAAATTCAATTTGCATCGATTGTAGAGCAAAATTCTCGAGGAGTATTATTCAACAGGTAAATTCCCAGGACCTGGAAAGACTGTACAGTATCCCAATGATGTCATACTTATTGTGTTCCAGGTTATTTTTACAGCAAACTATCATTTACTCGTGATGTTTTTTTTCAGATGATCACACTTATTGCGTTTTTGGTTCTCTATAAAATTTGTTTCAAACCTATTTTATGTATGATTTATAATAAAATCTTTTGTTAACGCGTTATATTGTACTGTCGGTGTCGCGCGACTTCGGAAAAAAATTGGCTAAATGAAAAAAAATTTAATTTAGACGTCTTGGCGGGCGGCATGCACCTTTAACCTATCTTTATGCTTAGCCGTAGGTCTACATTTTTAGTTTTGCGCCAAGAATATTTTAATTATTTTTTTTAGCTTATATGTAGTCAGCGGTCGGTGATTGCTGTATGGGGGCATTTTTACGGATGTGCTTTTCGAAATTATCTCGCCTCGTGTGAATTCTTTGTTATTTTCACATTCTCTTCTTATTTTTCCTTTGTTCATTTGCAAAAGCTTTGCATATCTAAAGTTACAAAAATTAAAACGAATCGAAATCAGCTCTTTAATGCGAAATAACCAGTTAGTCGAGAACACAGCGTCCGTAAATCTAGCCCGTATATATCAGTTGTCAGACGGGGACATATATGAATTGAAATCGAATATATTCACTTGGTTTGTTATCAAAAAACACGCATGACGAATCGGTCATTATCTTTCAAACAACGACATTACACATGGACATAGTAAAAGCGACCGCAATTACTAAATTAGGTGAAATAAGTGCAATGGAAAAAGTTTGGCCTTGTTTTTGTTGTGTGGGATGAGATCAGGTCGACAGTGAAAGTTGGTTGACACTTTTGAGGAGGAATTAGTCAAATATGCGTAAAACCTTGAAACAGCAGGTTTCCTTGAATACAGAACCATTCATTTTCTTGATTAGCCTAATTTTGAACAAAAATCGACATATGAGGTTCATAAGCCGATAAATAATAGGGGCATGTGAAGCAGGGCTGTGCGGCAATGGAATTGCCGATTGCCGAAATTGCCGATTTTTCAAATTGCCGAATTGCCGAATTGCCGAAATTTCCGATTGCCGCACAGCCCTGATGTGAAGCAAAGATCATTTTAAATTAAAAAAAAACCAAATAATCGTTCTAAAAATGGGTAAAATTGTCATCGAATGCAACGATAAATCGAATCCGCGAAATTACCAGACAAATTCTAACAATAACTAATCGAATCCCACAATTTCACAAAATTTCCAGCCGGATCGCGTTGATTCCGAACAACAAATTTGTCGCTTACGTTTGGTTTTTGATTCCCAAAGGGACTTGTGTGGTGTGGGTTAAATCCGATCAGATCCGAATATCACAGATTTTATATATGGATGCGAAAAATCAAAAAAAGATTCGGCAATTTTATAATTTTATAATGTAAAAAAAAATTTAAAAAATTTAACCTTTATCTACAATTAATTAACAATTAATTGTAAGATTAATCAAAAATATATTTGGTTTTTCTATTCAAAATAATGGTTATTATTTAGTTCATCGAAAACCACAATAATTTTCGTTAAATTTACCGTCGATTCCAAGAGGTGAATGCATTCGATGGTCAAATGAAACGCTTTATCCAACAAATCGGATAAATATGCGCGGTGCCATTGGAGGAAAACTCCCTAATTGTACACGTTTTTATCTCGATTATCTATTGCGCAATCAAACTTGCTAAGCATCGTCGCATCGTTTTTTGCGGCAACAATGCATAAAAAGTAGTAACACGCCCCGCTGCGCTTACATGGGCATGACTATATAAGGTTGGTGGTGGGCAGGAAGGTCAGCTTCAGTTCAATAATGACTGCCAAGATTTTGGTGACTCTGGCTTCATTTGCTTCTGGCATCACAATCGTTGCTTGCATTTTTGCCGTCGGCGTTCTTTTCAAAGAAATCAACGATTTCTACGATGACGTGATTGATGAGATGGATCAATTCAAGGTTTTTTCATATTCTTATTCGATATTATTTATTCATATTCAGGATATTGCCAACAACGCTTGGCAAGATATGATCCCGATCACCCGACCATCAATGGATTCTCGAAAGAACCTTGCTTTCATGTTCGGACGCTCTAAGCGTAATGCTGGACAATGTAACTGTGGGGCTCAGCCGAACAACTGCCCTCCTGGACCACCAGGACCGCCAGGAGCTCCGGGGGCTCCAGGAGACGATGGACACCCGGGAGACGCCGGAAAGCCAGGAATCAACGGCATCTCGATTATCAGCACGGGAGATGGTGCCGGATGTATCAAGTGTCCTGCTGGAGAGCCTGGACCAGCTGGACCTGAAGGATCTGCGGGACCACCAGGGCCAGACGGTCAGCCGGGAGCTGCAGGATCCCCAGGAAAACCAGGAGCTCCAGGAACAGTTGGACCACAAGGAGACGCTGGAGCTCCAGGTCAACCAGGTCAAATCGGGCAGCCAGGAGCCCCAGGAAAGAATGGTCAACGTGGACGGGGACTTCCTGGAGGACCAGGACCACAAGGGCCGCAGGGACCAGCCGGAAACCCAGGACCAAAAGGACAAGACGGAGCGCCAGGAGCACCAGGACAACAAGGACCAGCAGGACCCGACGGACATCCAGGACAGCCAGGACCTGACGGGCAGCCAGGACAACAAGGAGGAGTCGGCCAGCCAGGAGCCGACGCAGCTTACTGTCCATGCCCAGCTAGAACCGGTGCCGTTGAAGATCACAAAGCTGCTACTGGATACAGACGTCGTGTCTCGAAGGTCGTTTAAGTTGACCCTCAATAAATCATTTTTAATAAACAATTCAAACATTAAATACGCAAAAAACGAGCACACTGCGCCGATTTTTAATGAGTTAGCTTTTCAAACAATCCGGAGTACGATACCGGAATTCCCACTGTTTCAATTCGAATTTGAATTATCGCCTCGAAAAAGTGCAATGATGCACAATTTTACAAGGCCATCGTTTTTATTATCGATGGTAAAATTGGAAAAAGTCTCGACCACGGCAGGATTCGAACCTACAATCTTCTGCTCCGTAGGCAGACGCGTTATCCATTGCGCCACGCGGCCACGCTAACCGATGTCAATAACTGTGGTGTCGTGGGCATCCTTCCTACCTTCGGAGTGTTGTGTGTGTGTGTAAAAAAACAACAGAACAACATTACGCAATAGGACTCATCAAGTCCGTAGGGATTTCGAATTTCGCTCATGCAAAGTCAAGCTCAATTCATGCCTCTATTATTGTGTGAAGATGCACATTCTGTCGATTTTAGGTCGGAATTGCTCATGATTAAAATTCTTCCACCATTGTCTTGTAATCCTGTGATCATTTGAATTTATCGATTTCGTTCGTCTTCGACAATATGCACAAAGAATAGTCGGTCAATTTATTTATTAATATTTTTTCTCATTTGACGCACAAAAAATACGCGAGACCAAAACAATACGGGTGAATTTCAGGAAACGAAGGAGAACTAAAGGGAAGTAAGTGAAAAATAATAACGGCCTTGTTGGCTTCATTTTTGGATTTGAACCATTTAACGGCTGTTCGTGCCCCCGGCTGTTCCTACTTCAAATATTAGTTTTTTTGGCATTCAAGTTCACTTCAAAATAACCAAAAATCATCAGATAAAATTTGTTGAATTTTACCGAAATTGGATTAGTTTTGAGATTCGTAACTTTTATTTTTTCGAGAATTTTCTACCAAATTGTTTTTTTTTTCTTTAATTCAAATCCCGGTCTCGCTCATTTTTTTGCGGTCTCTTGAAAATGACAATCGCCCGTCATATTTCTCGAGCTTTTCCACGGGTTCTCAGTTTTTCTGCTTTTGCTTCGGGTTGCTTTTCGTTTCTTTTTTCCGCGCGACGAGTTTCGGTTTGGATCCTCTTGAGATTGCATGCACATGACGTGCGAACATTCGCAGCTCTCATCCATTTCAAATGTCGAGGTCCTGCGAGAACGAGCTCACAAAAATGCCGCAAGAGACGATTTCTCGTTTTTATATTTGTTTTTGTTTTTTTTTCTCGTTCATCATATACCGTAGCGCCATTTTCCAGGCATGAGTGTAGATTTACGTGCGGGGATATTTACACCAACTTGTTTATTGTTGAATTGTCCGTGTGGAGTACACTAAGTGCGTCTCATCGTCTCGAGACCATTTTGACATTTCGCCGGTTTTTGACGCAACAGCAACCATGACAACGTGTAAATTTAGCTGCTCGTAAATCTAAACTGCTTTTGTGACACTAAAGGCCCTGTATTATGCCGTTTAACAATACCATATAGATAGAAAAAAAATGCCAATTGGTTTGTTTTGCAGGCTATCCGTAGTACAGTACATATAAATCGAATTCGAATTGCACAATTTTGCCATATTTGTAAAATGTTCGTTCGGTTCGTTTCTTCGATTTCTTATCTATCATAATTTCAAAAAGAGCATCCAGAGTATTTGTGGATCATCGCACTTTTTCGAGGCGGTAATTCAAATTCGAATTTAAGTTTTCGTACTACGAATATCATGCGAATCAAATTACTTAGTCGGTTCAACCTTTGCCTGTGTGAACCGCAGTATTCCAAGCTTTTTTTTTTCGAATCAAACTCACCGTAAATCGGCCGCTCGTTTCTTTAGAACATCTGCAATTTTTTTTTACCTTTTTTTAAAAAGTCGCCCATTTTCAAAAATGAATTTCTTCAAATATTTTTAGAAGAAGAAAATCAATTTATAATCGGTGATGTTTTGTAGTTGAACAAAAAAATTGAGGAGCAATTCGAAAAATTTCATTGGATGGCAAATTCGAAAATTTTGCAAACACTTTTTAGATTCATAATGTAGTCAGTCGGCACCAAAAAGTCATTCCATTTTTATTTTGTCTCGCTACGCCTCAAACTTCGTTCTCTTCACAAGTTGAGTTTCGACAAAACTTGACAAATAATTTGCACGCGACAAAAACCTGAAACGAAGCGAGAAAAGAAACCACGAAGCAACGTTATCGTATTTCACACTTGACCGCCCATTTTTTGCCAAGGGCTTCAGAATTTCAATGTCACATTCACACATACACAAACGAAAAAAAAAACGAATTTGTTTTAGCCGCTTTTTTTTCACATTTATTTTTGTTTCCGCTTCAAAATCCGTCGCCTTGGGGGAATAAACTCGCAGCTGCGTCTCTTCGTCTCCAGTGGCCTTGCAACGAAAAATCTCATCTGTTATGACTTTTTGACTTGGTTTTTTGCTGTGTCAGTGAATAATTTTAGATGTTGTAGATGAATCTGGGCAAATAATTTTTTTGTTAACAAAAATGAACTCTTCTGCGATTTCTCGTCAAATCCAGAGTGTTTCTACGGAAAATTGAAAAACACACCTAAATTTTCAAAAAACATAATTTTACAATAAGATTCTCTTTCAACTTCACATTTCACATTAAATTCGTCATCATCATCATCATTAAAATTTCCCAAAATAGACTAGCATTATTTTGTGAATAATTTGGAGTCACTGATGATGGTGTGCGTCTATGTGTGTATCTCATCCCATAAATCGCCGTGCATCGTCTGTCTCTATAATGTGTTCGGGAAAATGGGGGCTCAAATTAAACTAGTTTGGCTCGAACCAACCAATCTTAGTCCTCGAAATCGATTTAATAGAAAATTCTTTTTCTTTCTCTTTTTTTTTCGTCTTTGAATTTGTTTTCACGTAGAGTTACCCTTTTCTACGCAAAATTTGATTTCTGAATTTGCGCTTCTTTGGCAAAATTTATCGGGTATTAGCATCAGTGCACTTCTAGTGCTTGCTACCTATTCATGTCGCACCATCTGGTCACTATACGAACACAACACACTTCTACTGCGGATGATGGTCTCCGGCCGTGCAGTCATGTCCGAGTGGTTAAGGAGATTGACTCGAAATCAATTGGGCTCTGCCCGCGTAGGTTCGAATCCTGCTGACTGCGAATATTTTTGCGTGATCTTCTGCTTCCTCAATTGCTCGCCTTGTAGCTGAAATTCGATGCTTTGGGAAAATTTCGCATCCGTCCGCACTATTTGTCCCAACTGACACCTAATATATAATTATTGTCGTACACAAAGTCCCTTCCTTCTCTTTCTTATTCTTCCAGAGGGGAAGTCTCGGTGATGAACGGAATCGTTAAAACATCATTTTACGAGGTGTGTAATTTTTTTTGAATTTTTGCCACATGGTAAGCCCTGCACCGATTTCTTTGAAATGCATTATGAGTTGTGAAAGCTCGAAGCAATTTGAAGACATCTTTTTCTTTACAATGCATCACACCGAAAGTTCGCGTTCTTCTCAATTCTTCTCCCAAATCCTATTCAGATTCATATTCATTATTTTGTTTTTCTAAATTTAGATTAGCAGAAATCTTTGGTTTTGAAATTTTCCAAACATTTCAAGTAGACACCAAGAGATTTTCTCTTTTCCGGCCAAACAGCTGACGGATACATTCTCGGCGAAGACATTTTCACAATTTGATTTGACGATGATTCGTAGTGACTTTTTCTTCTCAAACAAACAAATTTTGATGTTTACTTGGCTTTTCGTATCGTATATAAATATTGACGATTTTTAAAAATTTGTTTTGGTTGCAGATTATTGCCTTCGACTTTCCTTATGTCCTAGGAATTGGATCGCAATAATGCCTGAGGTGAGCGCATATCAACACAAACAAAGCGCCGACTTGCCGGCGGTTCCATGGTGTAGCGGTTAGCACTCAGGACTTTGAATCCTGCGACCCGAGTTCAAATCTCGGTGGAACCTTGGCTTTTGCATAAATGGTTAGAAGTACATATATAATTTTTCCCTGCAAAGCAATTTACTTAAATTTACCTCGCGCGTCGCACACATATGTTTACAAAAAATTCAATGTGTTTATCATATTGGGGCTCGTATGATAATATTTTAACTCAGTTTTGTTTTATAATGATCAAAGTACAATACATTCAACGGAAATCGGTCATTTGTCATAAACGACGGAAAATTGAGCTTTCAGAACCGAGCCATAAATCATTTCATTTGAGATTATATTGTTCATTTATTTCTAATACCTCTCTATCTGACTTTTCATGACTGATGCAGCCTAGAAATTTTGTTCCACGCTTATCAAAAATCAAAAATGCAAGTCAGGCGCATAAATTTTGCAATAACCGCACACACCAAAAAACTTTAAAATTATTGATAAATTCATTTTAGAAAAAATGCTTTTTTTCAGTGAGCCCTGATTTTTATTGGACTTATTTATTAAATGCATTTTTTCTTACAAACTCTATGTATTTTGCGTGGGAAAAATACGTAAATATTTGCTTTTTTTTATTGTTTTCTCCTTCTCCTTTCTTTCTAATTGCCGATGTTCAAATCGCCTCCAACAGGTTTTCTGTTTTGCTGTCTGCACTGAGAAAACGCGCACACTTAAGTGCAGACCAGCAGGCAATCGCCGTGCGGTTCCATGGTGTAGCGGTTAGCACTCAGGACTCTGAATCCTGCGACCCGAGTTCAAATCTCGGTGGAACCTACGATTTTGCTTTTTCTACATCACCCTGACTTTAAAGGGTCTGATATAGGTCTGTGCCACCAGGCTAATATTCTATTTTTCATTCTTGCGACAGCGGTAATTTCTTAACGAACATGTTTTTTTTTCAATTTCCTACTCCAGTAAGGTCGGCATAATACCAAAAATAATGCTTTTTAGCGAAATTCGGCCATACAAAATTCAAGGAGACATATTTATGATGTTAAAATGATCCACTCTGTAAATTTGCAGTGTCGTTTCGAGTAAATCCGCAATTTAGCAAGTAAGCTAAGTAAGTAAGTTCTCTGGTAAGAGAAAATCAATCGGTTTCGAAAATAATTTCAATTGAAATCAAATTTCGCTTAATCTGTTTCGAAGTATTCCAAAATTTTAATCGAATACCATTTTAAAATTTAAAATGAGTAGTAAATCAATCAATTTCGAAGATTTTTGTATCGAAGTCATGTTTTTCCCAATCGAACTTCAATTTTTTATCAATCGAATCAGGTTAAATTAAATTTCATTTTTCTTCGAATCCGAAGATTTTCATTTACCTCATCTATTCCTGCTAAGGTCAAACAGCAGCAACTATTCTGAGATATTTTTCATTTCCAATTCCCAATGTTAACGGGAGAACATTGCATTATAGTTAACCCACAATTTATATTTAGTCAAGATAAATTTAAATCCACACAGATTTCGCGAATTTGAAAACCCCGTTATTCTTCAGTCGTTTGACATTGAAAATATTTAAATATTATTTCCCTGCTCACAATACTATGGCATATATATATCACTAGTGGTGATATTGGCAGAATATACTATTGTGTTATTAAATGTGGCGATTGAAACAAGCCAACTCGGGCAATGAATGGTCTCGGGTTGACCCACCCTATTCACGCGGTCGATTCAGTTGCCAACAACGCTAATTTCACAAAATAAACTAATTTCACAAAAAAATGAACGAAAAAAAATACAAATGCGACTATTAATCGATATTTTTCTAAATTACGAACGAGTATCATTATTAACCGTTAAAAAACTTGCATTCCAAACAGGAAAAAATTTTATAACCCACTCTTTATAGCAGTATAACAAGCTGTCGCATGTCGCAGTCCAAATGCGTTGAGGCCGTCAATGCTGAACACCATGTCTTCTCCTGTAAATTTAAAAATTAGTTATGATTTGCGATAATTTATCGTTTAAGAATTAAAAATTGTAGAGAAATTATGAAAAGAAAAAACAAAAGAAAACAAATTTCGAAAAATTGTGGGGAAATTGCGCGGCATGCAGTTTTGCAACGCTGCCGCACAACTCTTCTGACAAGGGGGAACTGTGAAGACGAAAACAATTTGCCTGCTTCCTATTGAAACTTCTCATTGTGAAAAGAGAATGTGTTGTTCTCGAACTGTATCAAATATGATAGATGAGTAACAGGTTTGTGGACAATTATGTGTAACTCGGCTCCAATTCTGAGTATTCAAAACACTGGAGCAAATCGCGAGGGCATTGGCACCAAATAGTGCAACTTTGCCCCTATAGCCTCTTCGAATCACATCGCAACCTATCGCGATTTGCTATTTGCTATTTTGAAAACGGAAGGGATGAAAACAAGCTATAGAATTTCGTTGGTGAATGTATTAGATTGCCGCTCAAAATTCCAGAAGCCAACCCAGCTGCACTCCTTTTCGATAGAAGAACTTTGAGTTTGTCTCGTCATCGTGTGACACTTCCAAATATGAGTTATGATTCCCAAGACGCTTTTAGACTGACTGAATGACAGACCCCGACATGCCTCTATCAATTTCGAATTTCTTTCCTCTGATTTGATTCGATTCCAGAATTTTGTCTTTCACGTATTTATTTTTTTCCACAAATAAAAAAAACGAAAAAAATAACATAAATCACTATATTTGTGTTTATCTCCAGAATTTTTGTTTTTGTATTTTGTTCGGATCATTTATCATTTTGGAGACGAGCAAAAATCTTCAAAAAGAATGTCGAAAACTTAGCATATATCTACAAAATCTGTTATTGTCGACTGCCGAAAATGGGCTAAATGTCAAAATATAATGACAATGGTCTTGGCGCAAAACTAAACGTGTAGATTCAGGCGCCTAAGTATTAGAATAGGTTAAAGGCGCACAGCCGGGACCTGTTCTGAATTTTTGTCATTTACCCATTTTTCCGCAGTCGCCCGACCTCGACAATAATACTTTTTCATTTTTTTTCAATTGAAAGAAAACTTATCTTACTCTGTCGATTCGTTTATAATCGAATATCGCATATTTATTTCTAAAATTTCGGCTCCGAAATCGTCCGGTTTAGGTTTGAAATTTGAACAAATTCGATTGTAAAACGAATAATTGACATTTCACACTCAAAAAACCTAAACCGTCTAAATTCGGAGCCAAAATTTGTCGTATTCGATTGAAAACGAAAACGGAATATTAGTGAATTTTATTTGTAGCACAAAACATTCGAGGCTTTAATCGAAAAATTTGATAGAACCTTCCGAATTTATTCTTCGTCCAGTAGTACACAGTATATATTGTCGAAGACGAACGAATTGGACAAATATTGATCTTAGCACGAAATCAACAGATTTTCGCATGCGCCTTTGATATCTACTGTAATTTTGAATGCATTTCATACGAGATCTAATCGAAAGTTATTATGAGACCATGGTGCCTAAATTTGAATAATAAGCAACGCCCTCCTAAAATCAATCGTCCTCGACAATATAAAACTGCAAGAATTATTTCCAATTTCGTTGCAAGAAAACCGGCCGGAAAAAAAATGCGTGAAATAACACAAAGTCTACAATTACCGATCACGATTTATCGGAATCCTCATTTTTATGTCAATCACATTTCTTTTTGAAATTTTCGAACTTGAGAGGTATTTTATAAAATGTTGAATTGACATTATTTGTGGGTATTGTTAACTTATTTAATCACCATATATTTTTTACACACACTTGAGACATTCCGTGCGAATGTTTATCTTCTTTTTTTTCCAAAAATTTTGTTTTTTGGTGACCAAAACCTCGAGGGTCCCAATAGGACACCTCCCTATTTGATGGATGTGGGTCCTCGCCTATTTTGGTATCCATATATTTTGCGCATTCGAATTCTAACACTCACCTTACATTTGAAATTTTCTGGAGCTCCTTCATCTGCTCCATCATCGTCATCTGCCAGATTTGTGGTCGTCGCGAGAATTGTCGAAGAATTGAATGTTCGACGATTCCTAAATAGTCACAAATTCGACGACGCTTCCTGTGCGACGCCTCTTTCGTCTCTTCCTCACTTCTTCTCATTCAAACTTGTTCTTTGTGCATTTGTTGTTCGCATTTTCGCTCCAAAATGTCGTACCCACGTGAAGTGGTACGGTATGCTCCTATAGAGGATAATGAAATACACGCGCTTATACGCGGAAAACCATCATTCTGCAAGGCGAATATTCGGGTCAGCACGATGCAGGCAAGTCATCAAACAACATTTTTGATAATCTCTGTCTGAAAAATGTTCTGATTTTATCTTTTCCCAGAAAAAATACAAAGATTAACATCTTAAAGAAAATTAGCAAAATCACATTTTAAAAGTATGATTTTATCGTAACTCATTTTTTCAATTTCAGTTTCAAGACCGTTTGGCTTATCTCGACAAACGCTATGACCATTTGAGGAAGATGACGCATTCTCTTCGAAAGAAAGTCAATGAGCTTGAGGTTTGTCGCAATTGTTGAAAATAACCATACAAACTTTTTTTTTAATTTTAGGATATTATGCGACTTGACAATGACGAAGAAAACATGGAAACAATAAAATCATTGTTGGCTGAGATTAAAAAAGAAAAGCAAATGATGCGGGATGAAGCTCATATTATTAAAGGCGAATTATCGAAAACTATGTATAACGAGGATTTGAGGTGAGCAATTCGAAATTTCCACTAATCGTTTTCAGAATTTCTAACAAAATGAAGTGTTTTTTGATAATCGAAAGAATTGACAGGTCAAAAATTCTAAACTTCATCGATCAATTCGAATGCTTCTGGTACGATGAGCCAGAGTATGTTAATAATGCACATTGCTTCATTTTTTAGCCGCTTTGGGTTTTCCTCTTTTCCATTTTTGCACTGTCTGAGTTGCATTGCATTAATGCGCACCCGTGTTGTGTGTCGACATCGCTTTTGTACGATTGCTCTTCGCTTCGATTCGCACGAAATCGAATTTCCATTCGTAATATTTTCAGAAGACGTCTCGCTGGCGAATGGAAGCGAATTGATGAGGAACGGAAGACGTCAGCTGCTGGTTCGCTTCTGATTTACATTCATGTTTATTTTTGGCGAAATTTCAGGATCCGAAGGTTCGTCGTCAGTTGTCGGAGATGACGACACTCCGTCGTCGTCGTCTATCGATGGCCACACCACAAAAATACGACCCTATTAATAATATAAGATGCAGTATTAGAGAAGCTAGAACGGATTCGATGTTTGTAAATATTTCATGACAAAATTGTAAATTGACAAATTTTGACCAAAGTTTAAATCGGCCGATGGGAATTATTGCTCTCCGGAACTGTTTTATTGCAAGTGCATTTGAGCATGTCTGAAAATAAATCTAATTTGAAATTACGAAAATAAATTATAGAAATTTGCAAAAACTATTCAGTACGGTGCAAAATAAATTTGAAATATTGTAACCTTATAAGTATTACAATAGCAAAAAAAAAACGAGCACCTTGCGCCGATTAACGGAAATTGCTCAATTTCCTTACTTATTATAGTATTTCGATAAGCTTTGATAAAGAAAAAATTGGGCAAAGGCTCTAACATTGGATATATTGCTATAGTAAATGCAATAATACAAATTGCATTTCCAGTTTCGATTTTGAGAAACGGACAGATTAGGACAGTGAGTGCAGGCAAGTGCATAAGCGCAATTGGAATACAAGTCTGCAATTTTTTGAGAATTCGAAATGAAGACGTTCAAAAGAAAGACTTGAACGACTAATGCATGAAACAATTGCTTTTGTAGTGAGCGAGTCGCTTGAGAGACGACGTTGTTCGTAGAAATTTGGGTTTGAAGCCGTCGATAGCATCCGATCCCAAAATAGAGAAGACCGCTGAGTGATAGGCAAATAAGGAAGAATATAGATAACGAGCCGATAAATTGGGCCAGTCGAAATATTGGTTTCCTTGAGAATCGGTCACGAAAAAATTGAATGCGATATAAATAATTGATTCGATTTGAAGATCGAATTCCGATTGAAAATAATTCCTAAAAAAATAAACAAATTAAATAATTCATAGTTCAGAACACCTATTCATATCATGAGTTTCTTGTCGTGGAAGTAGGCAAGTTAAAATAACGAAGGTCCAAGCAAAATGGTAAAATAATGGAAGGATCAAAAAGAATAAATACTTATGTCCTGATAGGAACTTTTCATGAAAATTTCTGCGATTATTTCGTTTTTTTTTATATTATTCATTTGACTTACTGTTCAACAGCACCATATCTAAGAGCAAATGGGGCTAAAAACATAGCTTGCGAAAATCCGAAAAATGCCGAATATAAAACTGTAAAAATTGGATTACGAGATTTGAATCAAATATTAAACTCACTTAATAAAACAAAGTCGAAATTATAGCCAAACAATGAATTTCTAGTTTCAAGAAATATAATGTAAATATTTTTGTTCGATACAGCGCGCTGAAATGTAGTCAATTATACGTATATATATAATACATAATTGTAGGAATCTTTGAAACAATTTCAATCTTACAGTTGTAAATATTTGCTAATAGAGCGATTCTATTGCAAAAAAAGAAAAATAACTATTAACAAAAACATTCGCTTTTCATGTGTTTTTGTTTTTCACATTTTTTCTTTTTTCTACAGCGAAATTGAACATTTTTCAGAATCACTTTTTTTTCTTTTAACGGAATCGCTCCTTAAATGCTGTTTAATTTCGTTTGAAATCAATCTAATTTAAAATCAATCAGCTCGTTGAGATATTTGATTAAATATAATTAAAAGCTTTTACCGGCTGGGCAAATATATCAATTAATGAGTAAACTATTTCAGCAGCTGATATGTAAACTAAAACGTATTTATACATTCCGAAATTGTTGGGGGATTTCAGCATTATCATTAGAATCAACAAAGAATTGATAATCAGAGCCAGAATACCAGCAATAAGCTGAAATGTTGACAGAATATTTAGCCACATTTCGCTTCGAATCAACTGATATGCGACCTATCGGAACTTAATTGCCGCTTGTTTTGTTCAACACTATAATTGGCGAATTCCCATTTGAGGTTTGTATGTCCCCAATACTCTCATACGTCAAAATTGAACCTTTTGGAATGTGAGTAAATATTTGATTTATTTTGTCTGAAATAATTCGTGTATAGTTTGCATTAATCGACTAATTCGTGTAAGAACATTTACGAATATGCGTCGTCCGTTGTGGTCTGACGCGGACAAATCACAGTTACTTCGCTTTCTAGGATTCATTTTTAAAAAATGCAACTGAATAGCAAAACTCGACAAAGTATAAACATTTCACGTGATAATTAATAACTTTGTGCGGGCGCCTTTAATGAATACGGTAGTTTTTAATATGTTTGACACGCACAAAAAATTGAAAATTATTGCGAGACATAGGTTCACAATTTTAAACATTTTCACCAGTAGTCATCTGTTTTGGAAAATAGTCACCTGACGGCGACAATATGAAAATAAACAGATTGTTGATTTGCTAAAATATCCAAATAATATCTTCTGAACTTTCCTTCCGCTAAATAGCATTTAGCCAACCTCCGATTTACGAAAAAACCGCATTTCATAATGTTTCATCTGTCACATGGTTAAGAAAATGTAATTTACTCATATCAAATTTACACCAAAATCAAAACAGCGACGCTTTTGGCAAGAAAGGAAGATTCTCAAATAGCGAAATGAATCCGATTTCACTTGAAGCAACGATGGTGTCATCGCGACAATCGAACGACGAAATTGGGTAGACGTTCTCTGATCGAATCGGGTTAACTCGCAAATTCTCGGCGATTTGATCGCTGCACAACCAGACGTTGTCTTTGCTCACGCGATTCGTACCAACCCTGCAACAAAATAGTTATAAAACACGAGTTTTTATTTAGACATACATTGGGATTCGAGAAGCATCCAAACGAATAATTGAACCATCATTTGAAGAGCAAACGAGGCTCTCACTGTTTCCTTTCGGGAACATCACCTTAAAAATTATTTTTCGAAACCATGTTAAAATGTGAATTAACGTACTTGAGTTACTCCCTTGTTGAATACTAAATAAGTGCTTGAGATAAATGCGTTTTCTCCATTTCGTAAATCGACAGCTCCGACTAATCCATCATCCGTTCCGCAGGAAATCTAATAATTGTGAACAATTGTTCGGCCATATATGCCCCACGCCCAGTGGCTCTAATAAGAGTCGCTCATACTTCTTGGACTCGTGATTTATTGCTTGTTATCATTCAAAGCCAGACGAACAAAATTAATGAACATCAGCGATTCAAATGTGCATCTAACAAATGGAACCAAATTATAGTAGTCGGCGGCCGGATACAGATGTATACGGGTACGGGTGCGTTTTTCGAATTGGTCTCTATGTGAACGCATATTTTTCCATCTTTTTCGTGAACTCTTCTATTTTTCTTGATATGATTGTTATTATCTTGAATTTCTTATTAAATTTTTGAAACGATCTAAAAAAAATGTAAAAATAATTAGTCCGCGTGAAACCTTAGCAAAAGATGCATGCTCGTAAATCTACCCGTGTACAGCACTTAAACATAAGAAATTCATGTAAAACAAACAAACGCAGTCGTTTTTGTTCAGAATTAATCGAACTATTCAAAGAAATCAATAAATCCCGAACACATTATAGTCATTCGGAGCAGTGTTTCGAGTAATAACGTTTACGCGGAAGAAAAATTGTCATGGATTTAGGTACTTACGCTTACGCAAAAAATCTTGATTACAAGCAACAACAATATTGAACCAAAAATTTCAAGAAATCTAAATATATACCAAGTGTGAGACCCTTTCCATTAGCCAGACAACTTTTACGAGCCACTGAATGTGGGTTTGATTTATCTTACTAGGTTGGTTTGAGCCGGATGTTCGGCAAGTGCGCTTACGGCATCAAGCGACTTTTTTGAAGGGAGCAAGTGTTTCAGAGGCTCGATAATTTCCACCTCAGAATTTTTATCTCGTAAATCCCAAACGCTGATTTGGCCAGTGGAAGTACCAGTAACAACAAGCTTACTTCCGGTAGCTTGGCATAGAGATCGAATGCATGCTTGACCCTAAAACATAATTAGTTATCCCTTGATTATTTATTTTACCGATGAAATAGTGCTGCTAGATCCTGTTTCGACATCTACTAACACAAGTGATCCATTTGTCGAAGCACTAATAATTGAATTCTCGAACACACAGATTTTCCTTGATTCACATTCATCGTGTACAGAACTGATTTTCTTGAGCTATACATAAAAATTAGTAAATGCTGTAATAAATAAAAGTTACTAAGGCGATGTCGTCTGTGGCCGTATTCAAAATATCCAAATGACCATCACAATAGCTGACGCACACTTTATTTGCAGAAATTGAACTGAAATTTGGAAAATTTATAATAATATTGTGTTGCGAAAACCAACCAAACATCGCTAGGATTAACATCAATGTTTTTCGTGGTTAGAATTTTGTACGGAACATTTGGAAATGAATAATCCCGCTTCCAAAGAGAAAGGCATCTTCCTTTATATTTTCCGAGCCATAAAATGTTTGAAGTGTCGTTTCCAGTAAATATTACCTATTTAAATACTTTACTTTTATTTATTTTTGATAACATTTTTTATTACCTTTGCTACTTTGATATCCGTAGACTGAATTGCTTCGGATTGCTGCTGACTGAACTGAGAAACAACAGGGGACTCGCACGGTGAAAGTTTTACAGTCATTCTAAATTTTCAAACATTATATTTGTAACTCAAAAGTAAGAGTAACTGCTTATACTACATAAAAAAGGAATAAAAACGAAAAAAAATTATTTGAATTTGACGATACGGTTTGCAAAGTCCGCAAACACCATGACGACAAGTTACACCTAAATTTTTGAATTTTTGTGGAAATATCGAGGGCAAGCTTGATTGACTATTTCGCTGCTTCACCGAAAACTTTCGGCGGATTTTCTTTGCTAATTCCCATTCCGACCGTCGAACTCTAAGCAACGTACGATTGTTTTGAAGATTAAAATGCAACTGTGCGGTGTTTTTTTTTTAGTTCTGCCCTCGATTTATTCTCGGGAAATATCGATGAGTATTCGAGTGGTTTATTAGTAATTTATCGGAGTTAATTCATTAATCGTTTTTATAGGAATCCGATTCATTTTTAATTTTTTGTATCCACTTGTACAGTTTTGTTCGATGTAAAAAAAATATATAAAATATAATTTATTGACGGAGCTTAAAGGCAAAAGTGGAATAAATTTAATTTTTTTGCGAAAATAGAAGTGGAAACGGAAACGGCAAAACAAAGACGAAATCCTGCAAAAATCAATGAATAATACTGAAAACTGGTCTGAGTGGATTCATTAACACCGAAACAAATTTTTGAGGTTTCGTTTTAACCAATTTGTAAGAAATGATTTATTTTCGTAGATACTAATAAAAAGCTTCAATAGTTGAGAGAATGACTTCAACACAGGCTTCAAAAATAGAAAATGAATCGATAGTTTACAAAAATCTCTTTCCTTCAAGTGAGGAAGAAAAGACTCCAATCAAAGCGAAATTCAAAATAGGAGACACTGTCAGAATTACAAAATATAAAGCTATTTTCGATAAAGGATATCTTCAAAATTGGAGTACTGAAGAATTTAAGATTTCTGAAGGATTTCTGCAGAATATGTTTCAGATGCAAAGCTGTGTAAGAAAATGATTTCAGAGGTGTCAATGTACACAGATTTTTCTGGATATGAACATCTCATTGAAAAAGAAATAAACAATAGACCAATAACAATATCAGAGTGTAGAGAAATGATCTCTTCGAAGAAGTGTGATTACGGAATACTACAAAAAAGTCCTAATGGAGTGTGGTCAACAAATCTATTAAATACAAAGCCAAAAATTGCGGGAAATTTTTCAGAGGTGCAATTTATGCTCCAATTAAGCATATTCCACCAAAAGTGCGACCCGCGCCATGGTCTATCGATGTAAAAAATGATTATTATTATTCAAAAAACCGATTAAATATTTTACAGGAATGCTACAAGTCGAATCTGTTCACCACTGAAATCTCGACACCTCGTCGAATTCTTTGCTTATTTCTAACAATTTTTGTCGGGTTTTTGTATGGAAACTTTTTAACACCAATGATGTATATTATCAACAATGAGGTTAATGTTTAAATTACAAAATTTGAAGATGAAATCTCTTAAAATTATTCAGCCTGGCTCACGACAGGATATCGAAGCTTACATTTTATCATATTGTCTTGGATCCTTTGCGACTTCAGTCATTATTTTCTTCTTCTACGCTGTTGCCAAGTAAGCATAACAACACCCATTTTCTTTGAATGAATACGATTTTCAGGAAGAATATGCCATTTGTGAATCCAGAGATCACAATGCCTTCAATTATTTCTGGAATACTGTATGGAACAGCAGTAACCACATTTTTCATATCAAATCAGCATTTAGATCCGGTTCGTTTTTTTCCTTCTCACAGATTGAACCATCTCAAATTATTTCAGGTGATTGCCTATCCAATTCTTTCAAAAGCCCCTGGAATTATTGTCAGTCTATGGGCCATTTTCTTGTTCAAAGAAATTCAAGGCAAATTCAGCATAATTCAACTTTATGCCGGTATAGTTGTCACACTAATTGGAATCACATTCATTTCGCTATCAAAAGTTCGATTTTGATTGTCATAAAGAATAAAACACGCCGTTTTTGTATGTGGCTGGTTTGAATGGTTTCGGTTTAAGTTTCAACGGAACCAGTCGTTTGTAGTAGATGAGGACTAATGCGAATCCAATCAGCAATGTGAATGTTTGTACAATTATTATGTAGGCATAGCCAGTGTGTTGGAACAAATATCTGAAAATCATTGAAGAATTGAGCGAGCAAAGTGTTCTGCATGATATTTTCCACAAAACCTGAATCTAATAATGACCAGCGACGAACTTACGTTAAAATAATTGAAGCAACAAAAGGAGTGGCACTTCCAGCGAATGAAAACAGACCTTGCATGTTTCCCTAAAAAATCATTTTAATTGAATTATTATCAATTTATTTATTCGCAAAAAACATCTACCTGTTTTCTTGGTCCTAAAATTTCAGAGAATAATGCAGAAGCTGGAGATTCGACAAATGGAAAAGCAACCCCAAAGAACACGATGAAACAAAAGATATAAATCGCTTTAGGAACTCTAGTGGTGTAATGACACCAATCGTAATTCGGCAGACATCCACCAATGATGGTTGAATTGCTTCCGCTTGGAATATAATGAAGGGGTCCTGAGTAGAACCACCACGGGTAATTAAATACGTGATACAAAATGAAAACGATTAATCCAAAAATTATTTGAAGTCGTTTATCTCTGAAAAATCGATATAAAAATTATTTGGAAATGTTTAGAGTTTACATTTTTGATATTCTGGTCTTTCCTATACTCAAATTAATCGCTACCGACACCAAGCATGTTATAGACTCGATGATTCCGTTATAAAGAATCGCCTGACTGTCTTTCCAATCGTATAATACCGAGGTGAGCGGAGTGGATAACACCTCGATATTACTCGCGAGCATGCTGACAATCATTGCAAGATAAATGCAGACAAGTGCAGGAAGCAAATCGAATTTTGGGACGACGTGAAATTCGTTTTCTAAACATTTGCAACAAATACTAATACAGAGTGATTTGGAATAACCTCCGGTGTTCTCATCCTTCTTCAATATGCCTGCATAGTCCTCAACAAATATGAGAAGCATGACCAAAGCGGCTAAAAGACAAATCAGAGCCATTAGATAAGCAGGCGTCGTGTACATGTTGAGCACAACTGAACCAATATGCCAACCTTGTTCGCCGAGTGGAGTGAATACAGCCTGCAACGAAAACACTGAAATGAATCCGTCGCGGGGAAGATTGCAATGTTCGAATCTACAAAATTACCGATATTGCTGGTCCAAACGAGATTCCGAAAACGAATCCAGCAGTGCCAAAAGAAATTACTTTAAGACGATCTTTGGGTGTGGAAGCCGTCGCTGCATAAGTTCGCAGAGCGGCCAGATTCCCTAACAAATCAAATCCTCATTTTTGCTTTAGCAAAAATCGAACTTGCCAACTCCTAATCCGGTAATAACTCGTGCAATCAATAGATACCATTTTGCATTGCTCGTCGCTTCGCTCACTGCCCCATACATCGTTTGACCTTTAAAGTAAAATCAATAAATTTCGAAATTGCCCTAACATTCTACCGATTGCAGCAATGAGAAATCCACAAACAGTTGGCCATTTACAAGATAATGTCTTCTGATTCCAATACCCATAAATCGGGTTCGACTGAAAAAAGAAGATGTGAAGAGAATATGTTTATCAGTTTACCACGGTGCAACCAATATTACACGCCGCAATCACCCATCCCAAGAAATCCATATCTGCCGATTTATCAATCTAGAATTTGGTTTAATTTGCATTCCTATTTTACTAAAATACCCCGCTCAAATATGGCCACATTGACATGTAATATACAGAAATCTGAACTCCTACAACGAATTGCATTCCAATTGATATCCACATTGATGTCCATTCCGTTTCCCGTTCTCGAAATATTGCTTCTGTACTGTAATATGATTTTTTTCTGATATCTTCAATTTTTGTTTTATTGCCGATTTTTTACTTTGATTTGGCAACGAAAACTTTCAAATCTAGGAAGTTCATTGATAGATGTTTTTTTATAAAACGAAATTTTCTTTCTAGAAAATTCAGCATTATCAATGCTATCCTTTTATCAAAAAATATTTTCCAAAAAATTGACATTTCGTTGATTCAAATAACGTAAAAAATTTAATAGAGAATGTTAGAAGAACGAAGGGAAATATTACGTGTTTTTTAATATAATGGAAAAAATAAAACAGCAATTGATTATTTACAAACCCATTCATAAAATTCAATTTTTTTTACAAAAAATGAAAAACATTACGTGTTAGTATGAGGAAATATTCTTGATTTGACCAGTTTTTTATTTTCAAGTGTTCATGAACTTTTTGAGAATTAATGAATATATCTACAGGATATAAGAAATTGGTCCGAGAAAAAAAACATTAAAATCAACCTGTCATCATTTGAAACCGATTCAGAAGATGTGTGTGAGGATGATGGATGTAGATCAGTTGTCTGTGGTTTTTCGTTCGTCTGCATTATGTTTAGAGAATATGAAAACACACCAGTTGAACTCAATTTTGATAAGGAATCGCTCTCATTATTTTCGATATGAATTTCTATTATCAGTGACTGAATCATTTAAACCTTTTTGGTCACTTCAATATATCGAGTATTAATAAATTACTAAATTTGTACAGAATTTTTAATTGAAGAGATTAAATTTGAAAATAATAATTACTATATATTCTTATTATTTATTGAAGGATTGTAGAACTGTAAGATTTGCTTTGCATATTGCTATTATTAAATCAAATTTAAGTGTGTTACTGTGAAGAATCGAAAAAAATTACCAAAGTGAAGGAAACACTTTCTTTCAATCTTCAAGTGCAACATCGTCATTCCAGAGCGAATACACGGATCGTATCGATATTAATGAACTTATTTTAAGAACCATCTGTTTTTTTTTTCCAAATCGGGTTCTGATGTTCGTTCTCTGGGAGATACTTTTAGTATCTACGAAAAAAATCATTTCTTACAAATTGGTTAAAACGAAACCTCAAAAATTTGTTTCGGTGTTAATGAATCCACTCAGACCAGTTTTCAGTATTATTCATTGATTTTTGCAGGATTTCGTCTTTGTTTTGCCGTTTCCGTTTCCACTTCTATTTTCGCAAAAAAATTAAATTAAAAACTAAATCAAAACAAACATAATCGCATGGTCATGTCGCTAAAATTTATAGTAAAGCATACCACCCACTTTCCAAAATTGTCCATCTTTGACAAAACACTTTATTCACTCTGTAGAAATCAAGTTTTAAGTAATAATCTCATGGGAGATAGCATTACTATCAGAGAGATATCAAAACAACGATAGATTGTTGATAGATTTGATACCATCTCAAATTTATCTAAATTAGAGGATGCTGAAAACTATCAACTATATTTATAAATACGGTTCGTTAATAATACGAATATTAAAAATTAATTAATGCAACACATTAATTTTTTTGGCCTATTGTCATCAATCCCCAATTTTCAACCCCTACCCCTGATTTTCCACCCCCAAAATTTAACCCCCATTTTTATTTTTCAACCACCCCCTAATTTCCACCCCCAGATTTTAGCCTCCATTTTTATTTTTTTATTACCGGTCAATGTTGATTGACTCAAATTTTTGACTTGAGTACTTAATTATGTTCTTTTGGACAATACCGTAAATTTTCCTAGAAATTGTCAGTGTTATATAGGGGAGGGAGGGGGTCTTAAGGGGTCCGAATTCAAAAGTTTTAAAATTTCAGAAAATGATCCGTAACTATTCATTGTTTCAGAAAATGATGCTAAAACGTAAATCTTTTTCATCAAATTTTCTGTTCTGCTCGAAGGTCAAAATTTACAGTTTCTAACTGTAATTGGCTAACTTTGATTTTTCAAAAACTATGTAGACTATCCTTACGAAAGAAAATTTTTACAAGTAATGAGCTATTCACGGAAGAGCAGGTTCAGATAGACTTCGTAAGCGTGAATCTGTTCCCACAATTTCCAATATTTCAAGTATCCAATTGTGCAATTCTGTATCAAGCTTCTTTGCAAGCCTTGCGCAAATCAAATACCTAAAAACAATAGTGGCAGCCAAATAGGCTTAAATTTTTTGTACACATTAACACATTTGAGGCATATAAATTTATTTTAGGAAAACAAAATGAAATTAGAATGGAAAGGGAACAAAAAAATGGGAAAAATTTACCAAAAATTACAAAAAAACCAGCGAATCGAAGAACGGATATCGATGGCGCGGGATTAGCGTCAGACGAAGCCTGAAAGACACATAAATCATGGAGTAATGTTGAATATACGAAAAATAAAACAATCCTAAAAATTGGGAAAATATTAGGCATTTATTAATTTCAGTCCTAAATAATCACTAGTTCAGTCCTAAATAATCACTAGTTTACAAATATATACACTTAAAATAAAACTATAATTAATTTAAATCCAATTTTAAAATAATATGTCGCAAAAAAACGTTAAAAACATTGAAACATTGAAAAAAATTGAAGCAAAAATAATACGGCCGACAGCTTAAAGGTGCAGCGTTACTGTAGCATTCGCTTAACTGTGGAATTTTTACTAATTGGATTTTTGAAAAATTAACTCATTTTTTCCCTATTTTTAACGTTTTTTTGCGATATATTCTTTTCAAATTGGATTTAAATTAATTATAGTTTTATTTTAAGTGTATATATTTGTAAACTAGTGATTATTTAGGACTGAAATTAATAAATGCCTAATATTTTCCCAATTTTTAGGATTGTTTTATTTTTCGTATATTCAACATTTTCCCATGATTTATGTGTCTTTCAGGCTTCGTCTGACGCTAATCCCGCGCCATCGATATCCGTTCTTCGATTCGCTGGTTTTTTTGTAATTTTTGGTAAATTTTTCCCATTTTTTTGTTCCCTTTCCATTCTAATTTCATTTTGTTTTCCTAAAATAAATTTATATGCCTCAAATGTGTTAATGTGTACAAAAAATTTAAGCCTATTTGGCTGCCACTATTGTTTTTTTTTTTAATGATGCCGGCTCCGCGACTCACAGAGGATCATAAAATTCGACGCCTTGAGTTCGCACGCAGAAACATTTATACGGATTGGAACAAGGTACTTACTTTCGAGAATATTGCGAATAATAACCATTCGAACTTCAACAGATTATTTTTTCGGATGAAAAAAAATTTAATTTGGACGGCCCAGATGGCTATAACAGTTACTATTTTGAGACCAACCAGTGTTAAAATCGTGTTCAGCATGAAAAATAACCTATATGTACCAATTTTTATGTTAGTATATTAAAAAGTAACCGTGCAGTGGTCCAAAATCGTTTTTTTCGAGCGGTGGAAAATTATAAAGTCACCTTAAGAAACAATTTATAAACTCAAAGATAACAACCGTTTAATATTTGGTAACTCTCCCTTTCAAGGTAATAACATCAATAACACGGTCTGGCATAGATTTGAGAAGGTTTGAAACATATTGGGTTGATTTAGATTTGAATTCCTGCTCTAACATCTTCCTCTCGATCTCAATGGCGGTTTTGAGCTCTCCAACGTTCCCGAATTTCCTTCCTTGGCCATAGAGAGGCCGTACTAACTCTCTCTAGATGTTCTCCATAGGATTCAAATCAGGAGAGCATGCTGGCCAGTCGAGAACTTCCACATTGTGAGTCTGGAACCAGTTCAAAGTAGACCGACTCACATGAATAGCTGCATTGTCTTGTTGAAAAATGAAGCGGCGGCGACAAAAAACGACGTCGGGATGGAAGAAGATGGCTCTCAAGAACATTCTGATAGTCAGAAGAGTCCATCCTATTCGTCACGAAAGCCAATTCTAGAAATCCGACCGCTGAAAACGCTCCCCATAACATCACGCTTCCTCCTCCAAAATTGCGTTTTGAAAACATGAGGCGATCCTTCCTTAAATCGTGCCAGTAACTGTTATAGCCATCTGGGCCGTCCAAATTAAATTTTTTTTTTCATCCGAAAAAATAATCTGTTGAAGTTCGAATGGTTATTATTCGCAATATTCTCGAAAGTAAATACCTTGTTCCAATCCGTATAAATGTTTCTGCGTGCGAACTCAAGGCGTCGAATTTTATGATCCTCTGTGAGTCGCGGAGCCGGCTTCATTTTTTCTCTAGCGATGTTGGGGTTATTCTTGATGGTTCGCCAAACCGTCCACTTGCTTACATCTAGGTTCAGCTCTTTCTTGATGTCATTTGTAGACTTCATACTCATTGAAGCTGCTCGAATGATAGCTCGTTTACGTGAAAGTCCAGTTTTTCTTTGGCGCCTGACTTTTGTAGCTTGTTGACATGTGTTGGATCCTTCACAAAGTTGTCTACGCATGTTTTCGATCGGTTTAAAATTTTCGCAATCCGACGGTTCGACCATCCTGCCGTTTTGAATGCGAGAATTTGAGATTGCTCAGAAGCACTAAGACAGCGACCACGTGGCATTTCAAAATGATTCAAAAATAGGAAAATAGGGAACGCTGTAGGTTCTTAAAACCACACAACAAGTTTTATGCATATTGGTCAAGTCAGAGTTTCGAAAAAAAGCAAAATACTTCGAATTATGGGGTGGCTTTATAATTCTGCACCCCTCGAAAAATCGATTTTGGACCCCTGCGCGGCCAATGTTCATTGACTCATACTTTTTGACTTGACTCATGATTTTTGACTCATAAAAATTGTATCATGATTTTTTATTCTTTGACTCATGATTTTTGACTAGTGATTTTTGACTAATTTTTTTTGACTAACAATTTTTGACTAATGATTTTCTGAATTTTTTTTAGTTGAGATTCCTGCAGTTTTTTCAGTATTCAATTCAGTTTTTTTTGGCCAATATTGATGGGTAAGAAGCTGAAGGGTGGGAGGAATTGGGAGAAATGTTATTACTGAATGGGGGAAAGATTATTACTGAAAGGAAAAAAGTTCTTTTAACTTCTGTAAGCATAAAAAATTGGTTTTTTGGCATTTCATCGCTTATCGATTTCAATGAGAAGCTTAATCCCAGCTAAGCGGATCCACCGAAGGAATCGACTGTAACATTAAACGAATATCCGTAGTAGGCCAAATGATATGTATGATCTGATATTTTTTTTAGTAGTCTCCGTTAGTTTAATGAAAACAACTAAACACAGTTTTTATTCGATAACATATTTATTAAAAACTTTTAAAATTAATCAATCATTGAAATTTTCGATAGATCATTATACCGTTAAACCTTTATCAAAATGGTACTTCTAACAAAACAGCCTTCAAAAAAACTTCTCAAAGTATAACAATGTCTTATTTTTTTCAATATACCGTTTTTCCTGAATTTTGATGAGAAATCGAAAATTATGCCGTTTTAAAATAAAGGAGGGAAATGGATGGAATAACGCGATAAGCCCTTGAAATCGATAAGCGATGAAATGCCAAAAAAACAATTTTTTATGCTTACAGAAGTTAAAAGAACTTTTTTCCTTTCAGTAATAATCTTTCCCCCATTCAGTAATAACATTTCTCCCAATTTCTCCCACCCTTCAGCTTCTTATCCATCAATATTTGCCAAAAAAAAACAGAATTGAATACTGAAAAAACTGCAGGAATCTCAACTAAAAAAAATTCAGAAAATCATTAGTCAAAAATTGTTAGTCAAAAAAAAATTAGTCAAAAATCACTAGTCAAAAATCATGAGTCAAAGAATAAAAAATCATGATACAATTTTTATGCGTCAAAAATCATGAGTCAAGTCAAAAAGTATGTGTCAATGAACATTGGCCCCACTGCGCGGTTACATTTTAAGCTAATGAAATTTGGTATATATATCATGAAATTTGGTATATATAGGTTATTTTTTATGCTGAACACGATTTTAACACTGGTTGGTCTCAAAATAGCGAAATCATTGCGTGGCGCTCAAATTCGGGGGTGTCCTTAAAATTCTGCAACGGACTGTATTTATTTTTCAAAATAAAACAAGAAGATGAAATAACAACAAAAATGAAATAACAAAAAAATTAACAACAACAATCGAAGGATTATTCACTTTCTCCCCTTCCGGAGAAGATTCTTCAAGTCGTTTCATAGCCTTTTCTCAGAATTTCGATTGCTCATTCAACATTTTCTGCTGAAATATATCTTATTCATTTAAATTCTTTGGTCTTTTCGACTTACCTTTTCAGTATACCATCAAATTCTTCCCATATCTCTAGTTCTTTAGATAGCTCTTCTTTTTTGTTATTCTGAAGACACACAATCTTGACAAAAATTAATTACTCATATTTAGTAGTTAATTACTCACCTTTAGTAGTTCGTTGAATCTTTCTTCTCGTTAAGCATAATTGTTGCGAGGAGAAAGAAAATATGAAGAAAGATATCAGCAATTTAAATCCTGCGGTTACGGTGGAAATCAAGGTGTTTACACACACACACCAGAGTTGGCGCGCAAATACACGAAGTTGAGTTGTTGGATTGTTTTAGGCCCGGACCCGAGTAGCTTGCTTGGTTTTCGTTGTTGATTTATATTTTCCTACCGTGCTGCTTTATTATTATCATATACTTTCCATCCCTCCGGCTAGCCTATTATTGTTATTATTATCCGGTAACAAATTATATTGCGCTTCGTTCGTTATTGTTGTCTAACGCTTACTTCGATAAAGTTTAAATTGTAATTCGAGTTTCCGACTTACAACAATAATAAAATCTCTGGTCATTGAACAAATCTTTCACTGTTCGAAGAGATTCACTAATTTCGCTAAATTGAAAAACATCTTCAAAATGAAGTAACAACACAAAAACTGGAAAAAAATTCTGCGATGCAAATCTTTTCCTAATTTTTCTCTCTCGAATTAACCAAGTATGTAGAGTGCAAACGATTGTATTATTTTACATTCAAATTTCGGATAATCATAATTTCAGATAATCATCATTCAAGAGTTATTTTTTGAATTGCGCGACTACGCTGATGTTACCCACAATAAGTTCCGATATAAATTTGACAGTCAGGTAGGCGAAAAACTGAATAATTATTTAAATATGTTTGTTTTAGGATACGTTGGAACGATAGTAAAACGAAATCTCCTCGCAGTTCATCATCGCCAAAGAGAAGCAAATACTCTCCTTCGAAGGTGGAGGAGAACTTCGAGTGAGCGGAACGTTTTGTGCAGGATATACCTAAAAGGTGAACATCGGTCTGGCCATGTATCCATATAATCAAAACGCGGATTTGCGTGAATTTTGTGCCTACAAATTGCTCGAATTGATAAAGCTTGCGCCAAAAGTTCATTTTGTGCCGAATGTCCATCACTCGATGCTTTGATTATACATCTGCACCGAAGAAGGTAATTTTCATAAATGTATGTCTCAGTTGTGTGTCAGATATGCAACGAAAAATAATTTATTTTGGGAGATTTTTGAAATTTGTCAGTTTATAATTGTCACATTTCAGCAAATTACGGAGTTGATGTCAACAGGAAATTGAGCATTATTGATTTTAAGGTATATTTAAAGTTACTTTTTTATTAGTTCTGTTATTTTCGTTTAGGTCGGCGACAATCACGGAAAGGCAGAAAAATAATGGGCGGGCGAAAACAGGGCGGAACGGCAGCGGGTCGCACGTCAATGTTTTGAATCATGGCAGCTCGAATCGACGATAATAGTCGCGAACGATTCCATATTCCAACAGAAACAGCTCTTCCGCAAGAATAGAATCCGTTATAAACCGAGCCGAGATTACAGCAATTACTTGGCAGAAATCCGCAAAAATATCGCCTATATTTCTAACACGTTGGAAATTTTAATTGTGCCACTAAAAATTTTGTGTAATTTTATATATCACATAATAATTTTTGAAAACCTTGAGTGTCGAAAGTGGGATGCAATAAAAAAGGTTAAAAATTACAAGAAATAATGCATTTTTAAAGTGGAAAAAAGTCGAATAAATGCAGAAAATTTAAAAAGTGAAAATGTAACAGCCCTCTTGGTCTCGTTACCCTGGTGTCTTTTTTTTTGAGGTCAGCCCTCTGACAATTCAAAACGTGTTGTTTTTAAAAAAAAATTTTGTATTATTAACAAGAAAACTTGCTTAAATTTGTTGAGTATGGTGATTTTGTGGAAAACATCGTGCAGAACACTTTGCCGGATCAATTCTTCAATGATTTTCAGATATTTGTTCCAACACACTGGCTATGCCTACATAATAATTGTACAAACATTCACATTGCTGATTGGATTCGCATTAGTCCTCATTTACTACAAACGACTGGTTCCGTTGAAACTTAAACCGAAACCATTCAAACCAGCCACATACAAAAACGGCGTGTTTTATTCTTTATGACAATCAAAATCGAACTTTTGATAGCGAAATGAATGTGATTCCAATTAGTGTGACGACTATACCGACATAAAGTTGAATTATTCTGAATTTGCCTTGAATTTCTTTGAACAAGAAAATGGCCCATAGACTGACAATAATTCCAGGGGCTTTTGAAAGAATTGGATAGGCAATCACCTGAAATAATTTGAGATGGTTCAATCTGTGAGAAGGAAAAAAACGAACCGGATCTAAATGCTGATTTGATATGAAAAATGTGGTTACTGCTGTTCCATACAATATTCCAGAAATAATTGAAGGCATTGTGATCTCTGGATTCACAAATGGCATATTCTTCCTGAAAATCGTATTCATTCAAAGAAAATGGGTGTTGTTATGCTTACTTGGCAACAGCGTAGAAGAAGAAAATAATGACTGAAGTCGCAAAGGATCCAAGACAATATGATAAAATGTAAGCTTCGATATCCTGTCGTGAGCCAGGCTGAATAATTTTAAGAGATTTCATCTTCAAATTTTGTAATTTAAACATTAACCTCATTGTTGATAATATACATCATTGGTGTTAAAAAGTTTCCATACAAAAACCCGACAAAAATTGTTAGAAATAAGCAAAGAATTCGACGAGGTGTCGAGATTTCAGTGGTGAACAGATTCGACTTGTAGCATTCCTGTAAAATATTTAATCGGTTTTTTGAATAATAATAATAATCATTTTTTACATCGATAGACCATGGCGCGGGTCGCACTTTTGGTGGAATATGCCTAATTGGAGCATAAATTGCACCTCTGAAAAATTTCCCGCAATTTTTGGCTTTGTATTTAATAGATTTGTCTTCTTACCCGACACATACTGTAATAACTCCAAGAATATTGAGCCAGTCAATTTCGGGAACGTGTTTCGGGTTCATAAAAAGCCCAAACCTGGTGACCGCCCATCCGGTAACACCTGAAATCAATGAAAAATGCGTTATCACGGCAAACTCGCACAGATTTTGCCGCGTTTCTAATAAGAATTTGAAGAACGTTTGCTGGAATTATGCGGAATAGTACCATAATGGATGATGTTATTTAAATATCGGAGAACAACTCAAAAGACTAGTTAATACTGGTATCGTTGTATAATCAGCATAGGGTTTCTCGATTTCTGATCATCTTAGGCCGGTTAAAAATAATGCGAAATCTACATGGAACTTTTTGCGCAGCTTCACTGAATAACTATCAACTGTGATTTTTCGTTGAAATATTCTCTTAAAATCTAGCAATTGGATGTCGAAATCGCAAGATACTGTTAATAGTTTCTTTAAATTTTCTTCCAAATATGCATGATGTAGTCGTTGATGAGATATGTTGGACTGAATGCCAAACACATAACTTGCACAAACATTTTCTATAAAGAAAATTGTTGCAAATTTTATGCGCTCATTTTTTGTGAACCAAACAACATCAAAACATTTGCTTGCCTATTAGATGGTGATAGGCAGAAATTCTGATATCCATATTTGGGACCCGTTCGACACAGTTTTAGTTTTTCATACATACAAGTCATGGTGTTCCAAAGCAAGTATCCAATCGACATTCCCACTCCTTCCATTATGAATATTGTGAGTGAATTTCCTAATAACAAAACATTTTTAAAATTTCTAAAAACGATTACTCACCGATTGAAAAAAATACTCCGGAAAGCATTGCAATCGGATGAATTGCACAAGGCTCGGTTAGTAATGAAACGACAATACCGACCATCAGCTGACCAATGGATTGCACCAGCTGGAAGTAGATACCGTCGCCTTTGTCGAACCACTTCAAAGGCACATAGGTCGATCCAAACGTGATCATTGAGATCAACGCGCAGAGGACACCAATCCACGGATCCTTCTCCATTGCTAGTAGAGAATGAGCGAATAGGTTGTCGATAGGGACGAGAACAACGATTTGAATAAATTATTTGTAATTCGGCTGCAGTGATCATTTTTTGTTTCGTTTTTCGGCGCAGTATTCTGAAAATGTTCGAATAGATTATTATAATCGTTTCATATATAATTATAATAAATTTAGAATCTCATAGCAAACTCTGAAATATAGCGACAACCAGTTTTTTTCCGTTTCCGTGTTTTTTCTTTTCTTTCACTTGACGAAAAAATTTCATATTTTTAATTTTCGTAGAAACTTTGCAAAAATACGCCGAATACCAACATTTAAAACGGTGAAAAATTGAGTATGATATTTTGAGTTCGTTGAGAAACGGTTTTAGGTGTATTGTTGTCTGTTGCATCGAAAAGAATTCCGATTTTGTCGCTATTCGGAACAAATTTTGCATTTTTGTTACTGGAGAACGAAAGAGGAATCATTATATATTCAAATGTATTAAGCACAAACGATTATTGACCTTGGAATATTTCACATCACAAAAAAGAGATAGAGATAGAATTAAGCAAAAAAAGTGAAAAATGGTTTCATCGAATTCATCAACATTTTTTAAATTTGTGTATTAAAGAAGCCCTTAAATTCGACATTTTTTTTAAATTTCAACATTGCTGTGAAAAAACCGATCGAAAAAATTAAATGAGATGAGTGATTTTTGGTTTTTTTTTTCTCAGTGACATTCGCGTCAGTGAGTTTTTTCACACCTTTTGACCGCTGTCATATATATTTTTTCTGATATTTTAAATCTCAAATGCTAATATCAAGACCTAAAACCAAAAAATATCAGCATTAACGAGAAAGTAGAAAAAATTTTGCCGTTTTGGCGGCAATTTAAACGTCTTTCTCAACTCAAGAATATTTTTGAGTTTTAGATGAAATCTTTAATTGAACTAAATAGTTTTAGCTGATATGTGGCAAATTTCAACTACAAGAATGTATCTTCAAAAAAAATTATATTAATCAGTAGAGCTTCTTGCTTTCATAATTAAAAAAGGAAAAAGCGCAACACAAGCCGAATCCGGAAAATCACGAGAAAGTATTTACGTTTTTTTTGAAAAGAAAGTTTTATACTCATAATATTCATGTGCGTTGTTTCCCGGCAATTCGAAACTTTTATTCAATATGATAAAATGAATTAATTGCTAATTTTAGTCAAATTAAAAAAAGATATTTTAAAAGAATTTCTAAATCATGAAGCCGCGTCACATTTGTATTTGATTCACATTTCGATGTGATTCAATATGTTTCCGTTTCAGTGCAGTTTAATTTTGTATTCATGTCTTTTTTTCTTCCTGCTGACAATTGCAAGAAAATTGTGTGTGCGAGAGAGCGTCTGTGTGTGAAGTTTAACCTTGTTCAAAATTCATATGACTCAAGCTTTCTTCTTCTCAACAGCTCGTTGTTGCGGAAAAGGCTGGTTTGGTTTTTCGAGGAATATTCGAATAGTATGTTAATGGTTCGAAATTATCGTTTCATTAGTAATAATAATAATTATCATCATCATAGTCTTCATGCATCAGCTTCTTCTCTATCGACGTCACCTTCCACCCCCCCCCCTGCCTCCTATGTTGTTCCACTCGAGTGCATAAGCATTTTCGAGCACAACCAAAATTCGCTTATTGTTTCGCGTGTCATTTTCCACATTCCAAATTGACGTCGCCGTCGAAAATTAGTTTGCTTCAATGAGTTGTACTTGATACGCGGTTACTCTTGGAAACCGTGGGCGACGGCTCTTAGCCTTCTGCGAGGAATCGTGTGTTTCAGATTGCGCAAAACGACGACGACGACGACGACGGCGCAATTGATTTCTATTTCATACATGCTCTCCCCTTTCCACTGCTTGCATGCCACTCCTTTCAATTCATAATGATGCTCAACTTGAGGCTTCCTTCATTCCTCTTCTTCAAATAATTTATCAACTTCACTGATGGTCTCTTCATTCGAGTTTCTTCACGAGTTCACCTGTTTTTTTTTCCAACCGCACTTCACATTTGGTGGCAACAAATTGCACTTTATGTAAAGTCAAAAGTCAAATGTCAACACTGCATTCGTTATATGTTTTTTTTCGTGAAACAACATAATGCTCCATTTTATTTCAAGAAGAATTTAAAACTTTCAAACATACATATTTATTTTTTTAATTGTTGAATTATTATTACGGAAGAGAGCTTAAAAAAGTTGTCTCAAAAAATTTTTGTGAACAAGCTAAAAAAAAAATAAGTGTTCAACCAAATGTCTAGGCTCAAAAATTTTCATTTTTGAAACATCTTATTGCCATTTTTATATTGCGAAATGGGTGTTTCATCCGTTTTCGTTGCTCTCGATTTGTTTCTCAGATTTCTTCAAAAGCCTACTCGAAAATTCCTTATTTGAATAATTAGACACGATTGGAAATATGTTTTGAAAGTGCACGTAACAAGCTTAACGTACAGTTTTATATGATGACCAAGCTTAATGTTTCAGGTGCTCCGAAGACTCAAAAAAGAAACACCAATGAATCATCACCTCGGACAACAATTTTGTGTATGTGAGCGCCAAAAAAAAGAAAGAAAAAAAAATAGAAAACAAATTAAACAAGTTGTTTCATGCTCTTTTCCGTTTTCTTTCCTTCTTCTTCTTCTTCTTCTTCTTCTTTTTCTTTTTTTTTCTTTTCTCGGCAGCCTTCTATCGAATAATCACCATCATCATCATCATCATCATCGGGGCTCTCGTTCTCTGTGAGACGGTGTGATGGAGCCCACATGTGTGTATGTGTGTGTGTGTGTGTGTGCTCGAGCGCCTGTGTTGTTGGTTGTGCCTCTCTGCACTTCTCTCTAATCATTTGTCGCTATTTTGCACAATATTTCGCTCTGGCTTTCTTCTCCAATTTTTCTGTTTCGGTGTTGCGGATGATCGCGGCTCCAAACTTCTCGGCGAATACTTTGTATGCTGCTGTCTTTCTAAAACTTTCACTTGTATGCACACCTAAATATGCACTTTGCTCAATTTTCATGCTCACTAATTTCATTGAGTCAAACAGAGAAGGGTAGATAAATGAAGTGGACTGAATAGTTTCGGTATCACTCAAGAAAACCAAATCAAATATACTACTCGGCTTTCGCATTAGGACCCTATTTCAAATCATTTCTAATTAATGAGGATGTTTTTCGATGAAAACAACATGAAATGTCCTATATAATTTCCTCTTGAGACCCTTGCCCAAAAATAATTTGATATTGTGTATATTTATTTTACATTTTCTTTAAAAATAATTTTTGAGAAATATTTCCTAATACGAAATTAGCCATTTACACTGCAACTGCGCTAACAGACGAAAAATAGTTAAAAAATAGTTGAAAAATAGTGCAGACTTTGGATGAAAGAGGGATCTGTAACAGATCTATTTTCAAGTCTATTTTTCATCAGCGCTTCATCTATTTCTCAGCCATTCTCTATCTATTTAGCATCTTGGATTCATCTATTTTTCATCCATTTTATGTCTTGTCTCTGTCCCTCGTTCTTGCATTTTTCATCAGTTTTCTATCTATTTCTCATCCATGATTCATCCTTTTTTAACCCATTTTTGTCTACTTCTTGTCTCTTATTCATCTATTTTGCGTCTATTTTTCTTCTGGATGGTTTTTATGAAAAAACAACAGTAAACGGAAAACAACAAAATAAAAAAAAAGAAAAATACAATAAATTGTTTAACATTAGAAATATCAAATTTCAATTAAATAGAAAAATGCTGATTGAAATATTCAGCGGCATCGGGCTTCAGTTTTTTGAGTTGGTGCTCTTTTCCAATTTTGATAGCCAAACTATGCGCCATAACTTTGCTAGCGTGGTGAGATCCTTTCTGATCGTTATAATTTGAACGAAGGCGATCGCTAAAAGTACATGGTGTTATTTAGTGAAACATTCGCATAACTACATGAAAGTAATCGCAGACTCTTTGATTTGCACAGCAACTGAAGTAGCTTGATCCGTCGTTGGAGCAATATCTAATCCAATGAACAATGCTTCTTAATTTTTTTTTAACATTGTTCACATATGTATGTATTATCAGAATTACCAGATATCATTTGATTAACAGCAGAATCCATGTGGAGATATTCCAGACGAGCACCAGGCGTTCCTAACAAGGTATAAGCTATCAGGTAGTTATCCTTATCGTAAATCTGCAAAATATATATGAGCTCTATCTAAGACAACTTTAAACCTCGGCAAATACATGACCCACCAGTTTCGATGCCGATGTCAGAAGGTTTTGACCAATACTTCCGACAAATTTTGAGCAGATTTCTGCGATATCGACAACTACACCCGACGGCAGTGTGTATTTACAGTGTTGGTGATTCAATAAGCAGCCTTGGAATAGGTAGATGGTCTCATCGATATCAACTTTATTCTGAAAAAGTTCACTGCACATATCATTATGCATTCAATACCTTTTTCCAGATGCGCGTTCGATATTCGTCTAGTCTATTAAACTGAAAAAAAAAAACTGTATAGTCCATTGTCCGAGCAGATTAAAATTTTCATACCATAATGGCCATCCCGCACATACTCATCCACATTTCTTTCACGCCCTCATCTTTCTCTGCTTCGGCTTTTCTTGCAAAAACGTCCACGTCAATTCCATTTGTTGCGTTTTTTACAAAGTTATTTACTGAACTCTGGAATGAATTTATCTTTAACAGCAAATCTATGTTCATTAATTGTTACCTTGACTTCATCGTAAGATTTCGCTATGTCGCCACCAGAGAAAATTACACGGCGTGCAAGCTGTGATGCGTTGAGGTATCCATCTTTAACCAGCGGCTCATTCGACTTCTAAATTGAATGAAACATTAAAGATATTGGTTGTATGGCAAGGTGTTCCGAGTGCGACGAAATAGTAGACGCAGACACCTATACACTCTCACTAATGCATAGGCGAGTTTTCCTTTGCATCTCTGCGCCTCCATCTCACTATGAGAGGGAGGCCCAGCCCCTTTTTTTGGGAGTTGGTACGCTTGCCGCTTTACAGGCCGGATGCCTCCGGGCACCGGCCCATCTACATTTATTCACAATAAACCATATTTAATCACACTGTGGATATCTGGTCAGCTAGTCAGGGCATTGACAGGTTAACGGTACTCTCCCGTATGGCGCCGGGAGAGGATGCGTTACACGAGGCAAATAAAAGTGAAATTAAGAATTTACCTTGTTTGTGCGGACATGGGTAACTATATCCAAAGGATCGCGCTCCGTGGTTGGCTTATTCCGATGCAATGCATTTGATGATGTTTCGTAATACTGTAAGAAAGACGCCAGAACAATATTAGTAAAAGAATAAAACAAAATTACATCATAGTATTTATGAGGAAGATGTGACCTCCGGTGGCTTCTTCTCTGAAAATAATGCAATATATGTAATTTTGAAGCTTGTTTTTATTTTTCCTATGTCTGTGATTACTGTTGTTGTCCGTGTTCATAATTTTGTGTATGGCATAATTATTTAATTATGCATATTTTAACCCCTTCCAGAAATATTTCAACATGTGACCCACGAGTAAAATCAAAGTAAAACATACTAAGAATACGTCCCCAGCCTTATTTGTCGATTCCATATCCTCAATTAGCGTACTTCCTTCTTCTTCTTCTTCTTCTTCATATAATTGTTCTATAAGTACAAAAATAGCTTTAAAAATACACGAGTGTCGTTAATTTTTTTTCTGAGTGAAACTAATTGCTTATCGTCGAGAATATTTGAAAAAAACAAGTGTAAATAAAATGTTGTACCGTTGAAATGTTCTCGTGGCTGCAGGTATTCAAATTTTTCTTCTTCGACAATGGTGAAGCTCTTGGTTCATGTTCTGCCATGCTGTTCCTAAATTTACATTATCCGATTTAAATTACTGTTTAAAATGTATTGTTCAAATAGGTTACAAACCAATTTAACGTGAGAAAATTGATGAATTCAACGACATGATAAACGATTTATATATTTTTTGACATATATTTAAAGAGACAAGGAGTGAAAAAAATAGTAAGCCTTTATGCATGATATCCGCATCCTGTAGAAACGCACATTGCGATGTACCCATTCGATATTTCGATCAAACAACCTATACCAACAATTTCATCCAGACCGATAAAAACCTCCTCCGTTGAGAACTTCCCGTTGCATAAGAATGAGTACTTCCTGCAGAAAAATAAAATCGATAGAATACAGTTTTAGAGAGTAGTTTTCTCACCGCACAATCTCATACAATTTTCGATATTTCAAGTTCCTTAACCACGTGAAACTGTTGTATTCTTCTTCAAACTTCTGGACGCAACACATCCATCTTTCGGCTTCTTTGAAAACATAGATAAATCTAAAAATAACGTCATAAAAATATATGAACGATCTTTGCTCACCTGCAGACTCTCATTGAAGAATTTTTGGTGAACAATATATCTTTCTTTGTGTGGATTCCACAATGTTTTGACCGAATGATTCCAAAATTCAAGTGGTACGCTCCAAACGTGTTTTCTCCGTTTGGTCCCATAATATCTAAAGGTTTCGAAGCTCCAGAGAATGGAGTTTGCAATGATGGCGCATATTTACAAAAGTTGTTCAATAACGCCGATGGGCTTTGTGACAATCTTCGTTTAATCTCTCGTTCGAGGTTCACTCGCATAACATATCTGTAATATTCATTCGTGTTTTTTTTAAATATATTTTAATACCTATGAAGTACAATTCCAGGAAAATTGTTTGTAATATGGGTACAAAAATCCCGAATTAGAAATTTGTACATTGCTTCAAATGACGCAGTAGATAAGCACGCAACGTTTCCAAACATCTTGACGTTGTCAACGTAGTGGTAAATGAATTCCTATATATGAAACCATGATTGCGTTGTTCAAATATTTTGGACATACATGCAGTTTGATTGTGAAGTACGTTGGAGAGTTATCCAAAAAACATTTTTTTGCAACGTCACACAAGTCAAAAGTATCCCTATGGTTCAACATTCCATTCGTGCACATATTATTGAAAATAAGACCTAAAGCAATAATTGCACATCGTCCATCTGAGGGTAAACTTGAATTGCAGATAGCAAACAAGAAAATTTGAAGTCTGAATAACTATAAGAAAAATCTAAAACATTATATCTGAAACATACATCTAGTTTTTGCCTTCCGTTAGTGAGCAATCGAGTCAAATCGGCTCCTTCAATTGGCAATTGTAGATGTTTGTCGAAGTTTTCGAGCATGGTTTCATCGCATTCGAACATTGCAGATTTTTTCTTTGAACATCTAAACTTTTTAGGCATGAGCTCTGGAATTTCTGCCGTTTTTTTGGTCACACTTAATTTTGATACCTTTTAGTATCAACATTACAATTCCATCTGAACAAGTGTGAAGAACATCCAAGATTGTATTGTACGGCTTGACATATTGCACCATTTTCGCCGCAACAGGACCAAATCCATTAACACCGCGAATACTATCTTCTAGAGTCTTATCCCCAAATCTGTCCAATCGTCGATCTTAAATCAATATAAGCGATGAATAAGAGGGTTTAAAATTATTATTGATTATTACCGTTTCCAAGTAGTGGTTTGTGCAGAGTTCCGTGAGAGTCGCAATAAAAACAAGCTTGTGGACTTGAAAAACCGCTCATTCCAAGAATTTTTCTTTTTGCCTTAAACTGAAATCTATAGAAATTTTTATCACTTAATCCTTACTGGTTGGTCAGAAACGAGTGACACGAGGTATGGAGAAAATAAAATATTGTTTACAACAAATGTTGACCCTTCGCCTTCCAATCGATTCATTATAATTTCCGTGACGGTATTCAAAACAAGGGTTGTTGGATTATTAGCTTTTAATTGCAGCATTCCACAGACTACAAGATTAATTGAAAGTTGCGACTTCATTGTAGGCAAATCCACTAACTGTAAAGTAATTGGCCACAAACTTCCTCTAAATGGCACATCTTTAATAAACAAATAATAATAATACCTGAAATGTCCTCGGGGATTGACGCCGTCCAGACTTAGCACCATGCTCAGATCACAATGATTTTCATCCTCGTATTTCCATGAACTGGAAAAAGAACTTCCTTGAAGATTGTGTGTGAAGTTTGGTGCTTTTTCCTTCAATTTCTTTCGAATTTCCATTATATCGTCAAAGGACGACTCCACAATCCCGCGAATTTGTTCGGTGAGAGGCAGCATAAGAAAAGTCGCCAAATCGCCGCAACTGAAATTGATCATAATAATGTTTGAAATGTGGTATATGTGTTTACCATTCTTTCTCTCTTCGACATCCACACTTTTCGCATATTGAACGCTTCATAATATTCTTCTTGAAATCATACCACAATGAGCGGGCTCTTTCAATCGGGATGAAGTTTTTAATTGTTGCCAGTCGTCTCAAAAAGCCTGCAACCATTTTTTGTCTTTGGAAAAGTATTAGTTTTACCATTTTCTGTATCTTTTCCGAGTACCGAACTATACATGCACAATAATAGTTCATCGGCCAATTCCGATACACGATCATGTGCGGGGTAATTCGGTACGCATGACGGCCCGACTACTTCGGAGAATTCTTCAATTTCGCTTTCAGATCGTTCTCTCATGAGAAAGGATGTTGTTGATGCATCATTTTCATTATTTTCGTTGTTCGACGATTTGTTTCGAAGTGAAAGCCGGGCGTTTTTTCGAGCAAAGACCACACGTTTGGTCGGCATGCATCGCGAACCAGCAATTTGATCTTAAAATAATAAACAATCAGCAATATTAATATACGAAACAAACCTACCTTTCCTCAATTTGAGACCTTCTTTGGGTAATCGATGGCGAAGAGTTTTAGGCATTTCCAAAATTGATTTTTAAAAAAATTGTGATTAACATGGCGCCATCTGCATTCACATTACGATCAACTGCACAATTCCATCTATTTTTCACCCTTTCAGTGTCTATTTCTTATCATTATCTTCTATCTATTTTTTCCCAATTTTTCATCTATTTGTCATCCATTTATCGTATATTTTTCACCAATTTTTGAGATAATCTATTTTTCGCCCATTTTTCTCCTAGTTTTTGTCTACTTTTCCGAGTAATCTATTTTTCATCCACCTTTTCACCATTTTTCGTCTGTAGCACATTTGCAGTGTTTACCCCATTAATTCTATCATTTTATTCCAAAAAATACGAGTCCACAAAATGGAATTACTTCTGATAATCATAATAATAATAATTATTATTATTATAATAATTGTTGACGCATGTTAAAACTCAAATTGTACACTTTATTAAGCGTGATAAATAAAACGAATATTTGCATTTTAGTATATTTTTTCTATGAATTTTGCTAATTCGATTGACATTTTGATTATTTTTAGAATAACATATTATTTTTCTTAACCGGAAAGGGCTTAATTCAAAACCCAAAAATAGTGTTCGATATATGACATTTTACTTCCAAAAAATTACTAATCATTCAAAAACCAGCTTGTGGCTTCATTTCTAGTCAAAATTCCTGTTTTTTTCTCGGTGATCTGTGAAATTCATAAATATTGATTTTTGCATTAATTCTCTTGAAAAATTGAATTTCAGATGGGAAGCAATGTTCCAGAACTGCAGGCAGCGCTTGGTGAAGGCACCAAAATGATTCACCAATTATGGGAAGAAAACAAGGATTTACAGGTATTCCATTATGCTTTTATGCAAATTTCAAAAAGCAAAAAATCTCTAAGACGCCTATAACGAAAAAACAAATTTTTTTAGTTTTTTTTTTCAAAATCTACATCGCACAATTATTTAATTAATTTGTCTGTATTATTCGTATTATTAGGGTCGATTTGTAAATGATTTGGCGGAACTTCAACGTGCTCAAACACTCATTGCCCAGTACGAAAGTGAGGGAAGAAGCGATCAGGTTCGGCATGTAAGTTGGCACACACGAAACCAGGAAAAGCGCGAAATTTCAGGCGCGGAGCCAGTTGACGGAAATGCAGAGACACGCGTCGGCTCTCTACGAAATGCTCATCGTCAAACGCGCCGAGATTTTCAAGAAAATTAGTGAGGGAGCGAATATTATGAGCATCTTACAGGTTCGTGAATTTTTTGAAAAGAAAAATAAAAAAACAAAAAATTTTATAGGAGCAGCTTGTGAATGAAAGATTATATGATTGGAAGAATCGACAAAAATTGGCCCAAATTGGAATGCCATTTGAAGAAAAAGATCAGATTTTGGATCAACTCCAACTCGAGTATGTTATTTTGATGATTTGGATTTATTAAAGCAATTTTGAATTTAAGTTCGAAATGAGCTTTGATTCGAAGTAACAAACTTCACAATACACAAACATAGTATCCCACGAATTTCCGGATCAAACTTGCAGCTTTTCAATGCATTACGAAACCGAAAAAGAATCCAGAGAAAACATATATGTTTATATTTAATTAAGCCTAATCCCAATTAGAAATTTACTTCTCCAAACATCGAGAATTATTTCTCTTTCTGCTCTATGCAGAAATTGCCAATTTTTTTGCAGATTTGAATTTCTTGCTGAACAGAATTGGCAACTTCACACATTCACTTGCTGGATGTTGGACCTTCTTCGTCGGGGTCCGCAGCTCAACGACAACAATGCGCAGTCGGCGATCAGCAATTTGTCGAATCTGATGAATCAGCTCAGCAAATGCCTCTTCTGCCTGGTCTCACAGAGTTTCGTTGTTTCTGTTCAGCCAGAGCCCGTTCTCAAAACTCAACACAAATTCGTCACTGAGGTTTAAAATTGCGCTGAAACGCAATTGGAAATGTATATGACAACAGGTTCGACTCTTGATTGGAGATAAACTCGGAATTCGCCAGCACCTCGTCAAATCAAGTGTGATCGTCAAAATCATTTCGGAAGACGAGGCGAAACAACTTAGCGCTGGAAAATTCAATCATCTCGAAATGTTTGAATTGCTCACTCAAAAAAAAAACGTAATTTTTGTGGTTTCAGTAAGCCAGTGGGGACCATCAGCAATGATTATGAGAAGATTGTGATGGACGAAAGAGGGCACATGTCAGGCAAATTCAATAATTCCGTAATTCATTCTATCAATTTTTACCTTTTGTTATGAGAATGTTTTAGAAATTGACACGAATCGCCCATCGGAAGCCTCCGCCTAAAGGAAGTTCTGACGCGAAAAGTGCGCAGTGCATGCAAGCAGCGACTGATCAGAAATACGCACTTCTTTTTCATATCGATGAATTTCAGTTGGGAAATCTTGGAAAAGTATTCCCGAATATTTTATGCAAATCCACTTATCTTTCTTTTTAGTTTGACGTCTGGGCTTTATCTTTGCCAATTATGGTTACTGTTCATGGTTCTCAAGATTGTGATGCGCAAGTCGCAATTCTCTGGCACAGAGCGTTTGCACCAGTGGTGAATTTAATATGATCGTCTAGAAAGTCAATTGAAACGTTATTCCAGGCCCGCACTCCTTCCCAAACAGAAGTTTCTGCAGTTTCTTGGAACGACCTCGCCATAATGTTACGCAATAAATTCGCACTTTTCACTGGTGCTCGACGACAGTTATCTGATTCTGATCTCAAGTACTTGTCGGAGAAGCTCGTGGTCAGCGATGGCCAGGATCAGAAACCAATCACGTTCACACAGTTCGCGAAACAAGCGCTGCGCGAAGATGTGCAGTTTTCGTTTTGGGAGTGGTTCTTCTCAATAATGCAGCTTATCAAACAAAAACTTCTTAAATTTTGGGATGAAGGTTTGTTTTTTTTTTTGAGAAATTCAATTGTATGCCAATTATTTCAGGTTGGCTGGTCGGATTTATCTCAAAACACGATGCTTCTGTGATAATGGTCAATAATAGAAGGCCTTGCTTCCTTATTCGGTTTTCGGATTCACAAACCGGTGCCATTTCGATCGGATTTCTCGCCGACGAGGATCCATTCCATTTGGCGCCGTTCTCCATCAAAGACCTTGATCAGTTATCGCTCGCATCACGAATAGCTTCATGTCCGCAGCTGAGAGATATCCAGTGAGAATAGTTCACCCCCAAACATTTAATAAGATGATTCTTTTTTTTTTAGATATTTATACCCAAATATAGACAAAGACGAGATGTTGAGGCATTTCGACACAGAAGAAAGACATCGAAGTAAGTCAATCTCGAAATAATATTTCATGAAATATTTTCTCGCAGGACCTCCTGATAGTCCGACCGGGTATATTCAGAGTGAAATTGTGATGGTCGCAAAAACGTGCGGGTGAGATAGATGAATATTGAAAACTATAGAAATAGAATGGTTTTTAGAAGAGCTTCAAATGCACCTTCAATGTTTGGCACAGATTCACCTGAGCCTTTATCGATTCAATCAAAATCTGAATGGTCCCCAGGCGAGGTTCCCAATGGGAATCCGATGGATTTGTAAGTGGTCTAATTCAAAACCCAGCGATATTTTTGAATTTCAGAAGTGAATCTTTATGCTTTAAATCGGATGATATTTCTGCCATGCTTTTAGCCAGTGGAATTGACCCGATGCCCGCTGCAGACTCCGTCGAATCCCTTCTTGGTCCGTCATTCAAGCCGTTCATTCCAGGAAGAGATGGCAATCTTCAATTCTCAGATATGAATTGTCAGGAGATGATGAATCCTCATGAACAATTTTTCCAATAATAATTCGTCGCAATACTAATATTTTATACATAATGTCAATAACACAGGCAAAACGCGACGGATGAAGTCCGGGCGAAGTCCGGATATTTGAACGTCACGGCTAAAAAACGGGCCAAGTACGGACCAAAAATTTCTTTGAAAAACGCCGCGGTAAAAAAACGGACAAAGTCCGGAGATTTATAGGCCACGTTTTTAAAACGTGTTAATTACGGATCTTGATTTTCAGTATGAAACGCCACGGCTAAAAAACGGATTAAGTACGGACGAAATATTTCTTTGAAAGGCATCACAGACAAAAAACGGACCAATTACGTGACAATTTTTTTCGAGTGAAAATGTCACCGACATACAAAGGACTATTTACTGATCGACACTTCCTGGCTGAAACGTTACGACACAAAAGTTAATTAATATTTAATATAACGGCTTCACTGGAAGCTGTGGCGACCGATGGCTGATAATTAAATTTTCTTGTTGCAGGTTGCCCGATACCGATGCGGTAACCATAGCACGGCTCGAGACTTCCTTTCCAAGATCGATGTGTCTAAGTTCGCTGCTGTCGATTCACCGTTATGCGTTCTAACTGTTCCGCTCCATATTTATATTCGTTGTTTTGTAATGTAGAGATAATGTGGAAATGGGAGAGTGGGCGAGACGATGAGGCGGTGGGCGAGAGAGAGTGCGAAAGAAGAGACGCACGCCATCAGCCATCGGGCAATGTCCAGCAAAAAGAGGGCCGCGGCCGAAGTTCACCTTTATTTAAATGCAAGTCCCCAATCGTAAACACCGATTTAGTCAATTACTTATGCTTTTAGTCGTATTATTTCAGTTTATTAAGTTGTTCCCCAAGCCCACCATCCACCATATTTAGTATCATCAAGTTTGTTATTAGTTTGTATCGCTTTGTTAACATTTTGTTCGTTTTCGTTCAATAATGAAGGTTTAATTACCCAAGTTTGAGGTTTACTCGACTTGTTTAACGGTTCCAATACCGTATCATTATTTGGAAAAGTTACTGTTTTATTCCATTGTAGTTGAAAAATAATAGTGTTCCTTTGAAATTGTTTTTCAGATTGTAAATGGGTCATTAGGTCATTTAAATAAATACAAAAATTTCCCAATTTTCGTTCAAGTTTTGATAAAGACTACGATTTCAGTCATGGGACGGTCATATCGAAGATTTCTACCATCTTTACCAACAAAAAGTATGTTAAAATTGCATAACTATTTGCTATACTCTCTTTTACTACAATAGGATCAAGAGAAGTATCTTCTTCAAGTGAAGAAAACTTATCTGAACCGATTGATGTTCAACTTTCTGAGTCGCTCAATATAGACATCGATGAAGAGGAAGAAATGTTTCAATGGGATGAATTGTGACGAAGTTGAGGAAAACGATGTTGAGGAAAACGATGTTGAGGAAAACGATGAGAAACTTCAGAAGATTGTCCCCACAGCGGTAGGTAATTTGTCTTAATACTAATCGCCATTTTCGAATAGACTTGGCGCAGTATTTAGCGAATGTGTCGGACGAAGTTTTGACATTCGTAACTTCAGCGTGCATAGCTCGAAGTACCGATGCGGGTAAATAGGAAAAATTACGAAGAAATAAAGAGGCAATTACAGATTTCAAGAGATTCCTTTCTTCTCATAAAGATTTAACATTCCGTCGGCAAAGCTTCCAGCTATGGAAGAACAATATGACTATTTATAACGCGCACTATGTGGCAATAGTTGTGGGAAAGAAACAAATAATATGTTCGCAAAAATGGTATAGACGTTGGGCACTTTTTATCTATTGTTTGGGTTTTCAGTTGTGGAACTATAATTAAATATGTTAGAATTGGAGGAATTCAGCAACTCTCGGAGATAGTGGAGGAGTACTGGACAGATATTCATCGGATAAGAAGCGAAATAAAAAATGGGACAAACAAGCATCACAATCTGAATGGAGAGTATGTTTCAAAAGTGTCCCAGATGGATACGGACACGGAACTTCATTTTTCAATTATTGGTAGTATTGACGGTGTGTCATTGACTGGCAATACGAAGTAACAATTTTAAAAGTTGTCATTATAAATGAACAATTTAGGAAAAGAAATATTTCAGAAATATTTCAGAAATATTACTTATATTACTAAATTACGAAATACGAAATATTACTTTAATATTAATATTTTTCAGAAATATTACACCGAGGCTTCGATATAAAAAGTGAAGGGTGGAAGAAACCGTCGTCGTTTCTCATATACGAGAAATGACAAGAAACTTCATGTAAGTGAGCAACGCGAATGTTATATATATGCTATATACTGTGTTTCAGCGATGATAAACGACGCGGAAAAACCGCCAAAATCGAAGAGTTAATGGAAATGTTCCAATCCAGGTAGAACACGCGTGTGCAAATGGAATGTGCAAATATTTTTTTGTTTTTAGAATTATTTTTGTTCTAGTAATTCGATTCGAATCGAATACAACAAATTTCGGATACAAACTTGATCGAAAATTAAGTTTGAAATTTGTGGTACTCGATTACTCTTTGGAAAAACCCGAATGTACTCGTATTTGGTGCGAAACTCGGTGTATTCATTTCGAATTTTAATGTATTTGATTGTGAAACAAAAAATTGACTCTTTCGTATCGAATACGAATTAATCATTTTACAATCGAATACGATTAAATTCAAAACGAATATAGCGATTGCGATTCGTAAATAATTTTTTTTTTCGATTTTTCTTAAATAAAACTTTTATAATAATGCTGTCTATATGATTTCAATTTTAATTTTGATTATTATACGAACGGAAGAAAAAAAAGCATGTGAAAAACGCCACCGGGCGAATCACGGTCCGTTCCCGGATACGCTAAGACGTCCGTGTCCGGTACGTCAGCGACACGCTGGAACGGTCAATAACGGACCGTGATTCGCCCGGATTTCATCCGTCGCGTTTTGCCTGTGAATTTATCGATTATCATATCATCAAGGATTTGATTTAGGTGATTTTCTGTTGGCTCGATTCCGAGCTTTTTCAACCGTTTCCCGGCTATTATAACCGAAATTAAAAATTTGTGTATTTTCGTAGACAATTTGAACTTTCCATCGTTTTTTTCATGTGATCTCCTTATCTGTCGCTCCCACTTTCCCTCAATAATAACAATTTTGAAAAGAAAAATTCATAAAAATCTAATTTTCAAATTTGTTTTGTAAATTAATTACTATTTACTGTAGTGTGTAAACACCGAACGTTCACCGATGAAAACGCTAAATACAACACGCGCAACTGTTTTCATATGGCCATACGGAGTTGGCAAACTCATCGCACGAGACTGAGGGTTCTCGTATTCAGTGAAATAATGGTAAATTTTGAGAGCAACAGTCGCGAAAAAAAATTTTGTTTTCTTCAAGGCGAAACTGCCGAAACCGAAAACCGTTTCGCCCGATGAGTTTACCGAAGAAATGGAAATGTAATTTTTGAAACACTACCGTTTGATTTATTTGAATATTTGGTTATATTATTAAAACTAAATTAATTTCAGATGTTTAGGAACGAACGCTCGCGATATTCAGCTAACAGAAATAAAAATTCAAACGTTTACCAGAATGGGGCGAAGCGTAACTGCAAACCGAACAATTTCGACGCGAAGCCTTTTAATACTCATTCTACGAACAAAGGTTCCACATTTATAGAATGCATATTTTAATTATTAATTTAGCTATCTTAAATAATAACACTTCGTTCATAAACAGAAACATCCAAAAACCAAACCTTAACATAGACTCGCCTCGGATGTCATATTTAACCAACGAAAACCTTAAAACTAATGAATCTTCTTGTGAAGGTATTATAGTCTTATATAAATTTGTTTTATTGTAATAATTAAAGATGAAAGTAGTCTGGTGGAAGAACATTTTCTTGACAAGATGCCGCGTACTTCTAGAAGAAATATTAATTACAAATCGTGTATGGCAAGGAGATTTATCCATTACTTTTCTTATGGATACGATTATATGTATGAAGAATCAAAACCGAATAAAAATGAAATTAACAGGTTTGAAATATATTATCTGACTTTATTAATACAAATCTTCCCAGAGTTTCACCGGAACAAATCACTCAAAAAAATGATGTCTATGTGCGCCGAATTTACACTTCATATGACAGTAATGGGATTCCAAATCATTCGATCACTGGCCTTTTTCATTACAATTATCCAAGAAAGTCGAATCGTCTAATTTTTACCCTCAGCGACGCGGATATATGGACGGCGTAGATTATATGTATAATTAACAAAAATTCAACATTAAAAAAATAAAACTTATTTTGTCTTATACACTTCATTAGCAACGAGTGTCAATTTACGAAATGCGTCGCGTCCTTTTATTTCATTCATAATGTTCGCGATGCTTCTAACTCTATTTTTACTAGCGAACCCGGCTATTGCGGTAAGACGAATCGTGTTTATACCAAACATATGCTTTTTTTCAGCAACAAACTATTGAATGTACTAATTATTCGACAACTGTTACAATATCTCCTCCAATTTTCAAAACTACTCAATTATTACTAGATTTTCGTTTGCTCTCTAATGATAATGTGAGTTTATTATAAACTTTTCCCAAAAACTACGTATTTCCAAGAATACATATTAAAAAATAAACTATTTGTGCAAAATTCCATTTTACCTCATTAACATTTAAATATCTTAGTGTTTATTGGTGTCTCGTGCATGCTCATTCAGAAAAATTTGAACACAATCTTAAATTTTATCAGATCTGTCAAATTCAAAGAAGATCTCCGAAGTTTCATCGTTTGCATATAGCAGCGGCATCATATATCACCGTGTGCAATGAATGTCCCAAGTGAGTTTTACTTTAATATATTCATTAAAAGACTAATTTTGAGATGCCATTTAATAATGCCTCACCAGTACGAATTGCCAATCAGCTGGACACTTGATTCTCTTTTCATTGTAACACAACAATTACCACACCACCAAACTCGAACTGATGTTTTAATTTATTTCGTCCTAGTTGATAAACTCCCGCAAGTTCCTCTGCGTAATTGTCGAATTCGTGTTTCAGTGGGCTCTTCCATATTGCAAAAAATTAATTGGAAAATCTTAATTGCATTCGGTATTTTAGTTATAATTGCCGTATCATTCTTCGCGTTTGTATTTATTAGTAGTCAATAAACATTTATGGCTCGTGAAAATTCGGTCACAATTTATCTCATTTCATAAAAGCGAATTATTCGCGGCGGTGGCTTTATTTGTATTTAAATGTAAACTAATCAATTATCTGAATATGATTCAAGCAGAGCCGGTAAAAAGAGTCGGGTTAGATGATTTGCACAAAGTAAGAAATCGGCAAATATGGGAGGCTGTATTAATTCGATGAATTTCAGAAACCCACAGATCTTAAAACGGCCATAGAAAACTCTGATGGTGAAGGCTTCATAGGGTATCTTATTAATTAATGAAAAATGAACACCTTATAGCATTTAGCGCATTTATTCAAAATCAATCGTTTTCGACGACCGACGCCGAAGGAAACACTTTACTTCATTTTGCGGCGAAACGCGGAAATCGTTTGATGGTCCGAGCAATTTGCTCATTCTCAAATCATCTTGAATTGTGGAAAAGAAAAAATTCTGAAGGAAAGCTGCCGAAAGATGTCACAGATGATCCTTCGTATCAGAATATCTTGAAGGAATTCGTCCAAAAACAATAAAAGATTTGTAGAATCCGCCGAGATTTGATGTCCCTTGAATCAGCTCGACCGCTTGCGCAGAATCATCATACAAAATTTAATAAACAGCTAGTCGAAAAACGGATAAAGTATGAGGAAATGTTTCAACTAAACGATAAAATGTCAAATTTAGAGAGCCGAGGAATGAAAATTTGAAAGTTCTTCTAAGCATGGATGGTGGCGGTCTTCGAGCCATTATTCAATCAATGTTCCTTGTTGAAATGGAAAAAGAACTTGGCAGACCCATATATGAGCATGTGCATTGGATTGGTGGCACGAGTTGTGGTGGAATCAACGCTGCCACTTTGGCATGTGGAATTGGATTAATAGACGCGCAAAAGATATTTTTGACGTCTCGCCGCCGAATATTTTGTGGAAACACCAGCATGTTCCCAAAACACGATCCTCGGGGTATCGAAAAAATTTTGAAAGATTTGTTCGGAACAAAGACACCAATTTCGAATATTACTGCACACAAGCATGCATTCATATTAGTGCGTATCTAATGTGTTCTCATTTCAGAATTATGGTGACTACTGCGAAAGTACAATCAGCCCCGCCTCTTCTTTATCTGTTTCGTTCTTATGCTCCCAGAATCACCAATAAGGAGTTTGAGCAATTGGGATATCTTGATCCAAGCAAAATTCTTCTTTGGAAGGCGATTAGGTGCACTTCCGCAGCACCATTGTATTTTTCTTCTTTTAATGGAATGGCAGATGGTGCCATATTCTGCAATAATCCATGTATCGCTTTAATGACGGAATTTTTCAAATTGAAGAAAATTGAAAATCATAGGGGAATTGTAAGTTTCACGTATTTTCCCCCAAACAAATGCGATTTTTAAAAAAAATTATTGGCCATATATATTTTTTTTTTCAAGAAAAACAACGATGAGATAGGTTGTGTGATATCAATTGGAACAGGAATCGAACCGGTCGTTCCACTCAATGGAATTGACATCAATGTCAAGTCGGAACAAATGGTTTTACAATATCTGAAAACCCTTTTTGTTTTTCAGCAACGCATTCTCTTTTGGGGGAAATTTTCGCGAAATCATGGCGAGCGGAAAAAATTTGATAACTATGTTTTTGTATCAGGTCCTTTATTTTTATATATTTTTTAACGTTGAAATTTGTGAGGGAAAAGGGCAGACTCGCGAAAAGACAATGTGCATTATTGTTGTGTGCTTGCTCCTCAAATATTCGAAACAACAAAAGAGGAAGAGAGTTCTGTTTGAAAAATTGCCCGTTTTTCAGTGTACTACGTCGCATAATGTGAACGTTGGCCAAAGTCGTGAATGGGCGCACTCGATCAATGTGCCATTTTTTCGATTTTCGCCGAAACTTTCGAAATGCTTTGAACTCGACAATGTTAATCCGGAAATCATGTTCAATTCTATGTTTGAAACCCTAGTATTTTTTCCCAGATAAGCTCATTGTTGTTTAATTCTAACAATTTCCAGATTTATGTAAATCAGATTAAACCGGAAATTGTGGATTTGTGCAGGCTCCTTAAAGCGTTGCCCAAGAATGAACAGAGTTGCGATTATCTAAAAATAACGAAAAATGAATAAACTATAATTCATTAACAACTTGATAACAAATAGAAAACAAAAACAAAGATGAACAATCTATCGTCTAACAATTGTCGTCCAACCGTCCTCGTCAACTTCTTTAACAATTCTAGGTTTTCGCTCATGTTCATCCGATGGTCCAGCTTCCTCCATATCTTCTTCTGAATTGCATATTAATTCAGTATAATTTATTTTTTTAATTACGTGGAACATCATCGATGTCCATCTCGTCGTCTTCTTGGCCACGAACACTTTGCTTTTTAATCTTTGCAAGCTCTTCATCGTTTGGCAAACCACTTAGTAATTGATTTATTCCAGCTTGATTGTCATTTTTGATGTACCTTAAGTTCTTTTCATCGACAAATTCGCATTGGAAAGTTTACGTAAAAGCCTCGAGGAGAAGAAAACATGTAGAATAGACGCTGTCATCTTCAAGAATCAAGTCGAAGTCGTGATAAAGAATGTTTGTGAGCCAATCTTCAAAGTCTTCTGATTTTAGGCCGCGACTGGTAACAACGTGCTCGACAATTACATTGACAATCCACTGAATTGTTTTTTTTTTTTTAATTTAAACATTTTGTTTAATTATTATCCTAGATACCTCTGCTTTTTCTTTGGTTTCTTCTCCCCCACACGAATTATCTAATGCTAATTGGTATCCACTCCAAGCATTGAGAACCCGTCTCACAAATTCTTCAAATTTCTGTTCCGTAGTCATCTAAATTAAAGAATAATAAGTTAAAGAACCATAAATTTTAATTCTAAAGAGAAGTAAAAACGAAAATTAATTCTACAGTATTACGGTATGCGATTATTATGTAAACACCGCGACGACAGTTGAACATTGGCAAACCGCCACATTGCAATTTCGTTGCGAGACCAGGACAGTGGCATTTTGCCAAGCAGCAGGCGCACGATGCGGCGCGTGTCGGAGCGACGCGGTCTGCGCTGATTCTCTCGTTTTCCCTTGAAACTCGTTACCGATAATTTTCCGATTTTAAACTGCATTTTGAATTTTTGAATTTATTGACTTCAAACTTATTATTTAATATATTTGCTTCATGAAAAAGTTTTCTTAAATTATATTTAATGTGGATTGCCTCCAAAAGGCGTTTATTTTCGAATACCATACGATAATATCTTTTTTTCAAATAATTTAATTTTTTCCTCTTCTTTTATTATATGTTTTTTATTACTATTGATTTTGGTTCTCAAATTAATCAATTAGACAATATGCAATTTTAATTTTTATTTCAGGAGCAACGCGTATTGCATGAAACTTACTGACATTTGAGGAAGTCGCAGAAAAATGGCGGATGAAGCTGTTGGAGTTGCCGGGGTTCACTCGGCTCCAGAAGATCGCAGATATTCCATCAATAACGATCCGCATTTTGTAAATCAACAATCCCAAAATTCAGAAGGTCTGGTGTTCATTTTAATCACTAATATATATATATATTTTTTTTTGTAGAACGAATTGTTGAAGAAGATAGAGAAGAGTCAGGTCACAAGAAAATTTGCATTGATTCTGATTCTGACAATGACGTCGAGGAAGAGATTCTTTTGAAAAATTTTGGTCTTCCATATTCCGATCACAATTATGATGTGCCAGATAAATCCAAACGTGCGCCTCCGGAACCCATTGACGGAGAGTTTCCTGTCATTGGCGAATTGGATGAATGTATTCAATTTTCATAATTTCGTATTATATTTAAACTTTCTTTCAGTCGGCAACATTTTGGAATCCAAAACGACTACAAAACCGGTTCAAACAAATACAGCGCCACATTCCCAACCAGTGCAATACTCCCCTCATCAAACTTCTCACATTCTCAACGTTGAAAGAGGCTTTTCTACGCATCATATAAATTCCAGTGTCGAACATGTTAGATCGGAGCCATCTATTGTTGCCAGGTTCATCGTTTGATTCGCACGTTTCAACCTCTTTCATAATTCAGAGCCCCTGCTCACCGAGAAGGTTATAGAATTAGCACACAGGCAGAGGTTAGCCCAGCGTATAATGGATCCCACCATCCTCGGCCTTCAACGATCAACATGGTTCGGCCACAACCTGTATCAGTTGTGCGAGCTCGAAGTATGTACTTTGGGAAAGATTCTTTATAACATATATAAATATGATTAAGACGAGCATATGCAACCAATGTTTACTACACATCAAGTGAGCGCTTCCCATTTACGATCAGGAATCTTGAATCGTCGACCTGTACAACCAAATCCGCAAACGTACCATGCGCCAGTTCCTGTACAAGCTGCCAAACGTACTCCACTCGTGCTCTCGAGACAGGCACCACCACCACAGTTGCCTAATCGCGCCGGAATCCGACAAGTTCATGTTCACCGAAACCAAAATGGTCCAGAGCATATTCATGAAGTACTGGAGAGTCAGCAAGGAGCTCATCCTCATCTGGCTCCAATTCCGGCGAGTATGATTAATAGACGAATGGACGTCGTTGCGCCGCACAGGTATAATATTTGTTATGAATTATACAAATACATCTTGATTTTTCAGAATGACCCCGGAGCAACGAAGACTACAACAAGATCAGCACAATATTCAAACGAAGCCAACCTCAACACAAGTTGAAGGCGCGGCTCCGTTTCTTGTTGCGTCCCGAGGGAATAAGGTTCTCGTGCGAGGTAGAAGTAAGCCAAAGCGGTATCTGAAGATAACAAATACGTTTTTCAGCTGGAAGCGTTGGATATAGAAGACGTGAGGAAATCGATGCCGGACATCAACCACAGCTTCTCCACTCAAATGAAACTCGTGACGTTCATCCTTCTCCGCGCAAGCTGCCAATACAACACGCGGTTCCAACGCAATCAGAACCCAATATTCATACAACCCAAACATCTTCTGCGCCACATCCAGATCTTCATCGTCCGATGAATCCACAAGTGTCAACACTTGCTAGTTTGGCTGCACAACGGCGTTTGTCCCCTATGAAAAATCAACAGAATCAACCATTTATGCCAAAGCCTACGCCGCCACACAGAATGTCTACAGAAGAAAGATCCGCTATGTTTGCGCAGAAGTTGAAGGTACGCATAACTAGGATAGTAAGCTATTTCATTTTACTTATTTTCAGGAACAACCACTGACTGACCTAATACTCGAACCACCGCAGACGCGGGTCGTCGCAACAAACACCGAACAAATTCCCAAATATAGAACGGACGCAGCTAGCACTGAAAAACTTCATACGCCTGGAGTTACTGTTGTTTCTGCTCCTCCCACATCTAGAAATGAACATCAGCCACAGACTGCACAACAGCCCCCGCAGCAAACTCTCCAACAACCTCCAACGATTCAGGCACCATCGCAGCCACAATTCACTCATCCTTTGCAGCCTCAACAGCAGCCGCAACAATCTCAGCAGGAACCATCATCATCGCATGTAAAAAAAAACTAAAAGTTGCCTTATTATAAATTTATTATAATTTTAGGATAACCTCGAGAATAATGCTATTGCTAGAATATTCAATGACATAAAGAAATCGGCAGAAACATTTACAAGTCTTCCTCCAGATGGTCCTTCAACTATGATGCACATGCCAGAAGTAATTGATCCCATGAAAAAGGTATCTTAGAAGCAAAACTGTTACACGTTGGCAATAAATTCTTAAGGGATTAATTCCAAAGCAAATTTTGCCGAAGAGAATGGAGAAGAGAATTTCTGGTAGATTACCCGAACTTTCTGCAAGAGAAATGTTAACGCCTGACAGTTCAGCCCATCGACCACGTGGTCGGCCAAAAGGCAGCACAGGGGTATGAATTTCTGTTCCCCATATGATGTTCAAGATCGAGTTCGCTTTAGATTCGCCACCGCACCACCAGTCAAAATGGGAATGATCCAAGTTCTCGTGGTCGTAATCTCACACCTGGTTCTCGAGGAACCGGAGCAGGAGTGCGAACTCTAGCTCCAGTACAACGGAAGGAAACGGAAGGACACATAGTGTATCCACTTAGTCATTCGGAGACGGATGCTGCCAAGCAGTCAGACGATTTTGGTGACGATTGGGTAATGAGATGCCACTGTGGAATGGATCATGCGAGCGGCTTTTCAATTGAATGTGAGAAATGCGGGTATGTTCGGCTGATTTGTCGATCTGTTTCCATTTATTTTTATTTAGCACATGGCAGCATACTCTTTGTATGGGAATGAGACCGGAAGACAACACTGATGGATATCAGTGTGAACTCTGTCGCCCACGTCAATTGCCAGTTCCAAAAGCTGAAGCGATTCGCCTCCAGAAACGAGAATTGGAGAAAGAAAAGAAGGAATTGTTAAAATCTAAACGCGGAAGAAAGAGCGGTGGCACTCAGAAAGAAAACGGACGAAAATCTCTTCCGCCGGATCCTGTTATTGATAGCAACGATTATTCACGAACTGCTATAAGATTACTACGATCTCTTCCTTCCACAATTGGAGCAGCGCAGTTTCTCAGACAGGCCAAATCAAAGCAATGTGCAAAGAGAATGTTCGTTTCTGCCAACATCGAAGGTATACCAATGATCTACTTCATAACAACACACGATTTAACGTTCAGGACTCGTTTCGACGGCTGAAATTGAGAGCCGCGCTGTGGTTATGGAAATGAGTGGCTACGTTTGTCGCCCAGATGAGTGTAATCGGGAACCTGGATACCAACCGTTTGTGTTTTTGTATGACGGGCTTCGAATGTCAACTGCTGACTTCGGGGAACCTGACCCAGAGCTGTACGTATGTATTGATACGAAAAAGAAGGGCAATGATTCAAAATATGTTCGAAGGTAATTTATACACTAGTGATTTTCAACTTTACAAAATGAAAAATTTCAGAAGTTGCCAGCCAAATTGTGTTCTGAAACATGTGCTTGATGAGAAAGCGGTACTTGGTGTCATAATTGTTGCGACGCGAACAATCGTCTACAATAATGAAATAACGTTGCCGTTTGATTGTGATTGGAGGTCTCGTAAGACGCCGTTGGTTTGTGCTGATCATCCTGATGAGTTGATTGCTTCTTGTCCCTATGAAAATCAGGTAAATAAAAAAAAAACAAAACCGGCGTAAAAAAATGATTATAGCGCCTTCGATTGAATCCATATATTCCTGAGGATCCAAAAGTTGATATTCCGAGACAGCGAAAGAACACTCGAACTAACACCTCGAGCGGTCATGAAGAAATATATAATAACCATAAAATGGATGGAAAGGTTATGGAATCAGAAGAGGAAGAAGCGGTTGTCGAACAGAAACCCATCATCGAAGTGGCTCCAAAAGAGGAGGACCAACAAACGCCTACTGCGCGGCGTCGAAGTTTAATTTCCAAGCCGTCTACTGCAACAAAACCGAAATCTGCTGCATCAAAGGTTAAAGAGAACATTGCCGTTGAATTGAAAAAGGAAGAAACTGAAGTTACGAACAAAAAGGAATCCTCGAAAGAAGTAACAACTTCGAAGAAAAGAAGATCGCGCACTGGCTCACCAAAAAAACGCGAAGAGATGAACTACGATCTTCCGTCTCAGAAACCAACTTTGGTGAGTATAGTGGGTTATATTTAATTCGATTATTGTAATTATTGCAGTCTCGTGAAGAACGACGAGTAATACAGCTGGAAGCATTGTTCCAAAAACGAGAAAGAGAGGAAAAGAAAAAATTAGAAAAAGAGAAGGAGAAAGAAAAAGCTAAAAATTCGGCTTCAAACGTATTCATAACAATGGTTTATATCTATTTGTGAGATTGTTTTCAGACCAACGAAAAACAAGTCAAAAACAATAAATCTGCTGAGAAGTCGAAGCGTGTTACTCGGGCGAGTATGAGTAGCGTTGCATCCACTTTGGATTCCAAGGAAGAAACGATGAGTACTCCAACTCGTGAACCAAGTGCAAGAATAAAAAAGAACCGTGAGTTTATTTATGCATATTCCTCGTAGGAATTCGTGTTATTTTAGGCGACAATGATAGTGCTTCTGCTTCTTCCTCTCAAATTGAACCACCTGTAAAATTGTGGAAACAAGAAGCTGAAAAAGAAGCAGCTCAAGCAGCTTCGAAATCGACGACATCTCCGATAGCTACAAAGAGGCTATCTCTTAAAAGACGTAATCAAGAAGAGGTAATATTTAAGCTTACAAACTGTAGGTTTCAAACACGATCAAAATTAAAAAAAAAATGTATTGTATTGGCTGTGTCCCACGGTGTCTCTAGGTGAAGAGAATATGTCTTTTTAGCTGTACTCTGAATTTAGTTTGTTTATTATATATAATTTTACAAATTAATACATCGACACTGATTTTGCGAAATTGAATTTCCCGCCGCCGCTGAGCCACTTGAAACAGACAATTAATCTTGAATCTTTTCTAGGTTAACAAAGGTTCTCCAGCTAAAAAATCGCGACGAAGCACTACACAAGAACGGTTGAAAGTCGGAGAAATTCGAGCGCGAATAATACAGGTTGTTAAAGCGTTGATCAAGAAGAAAGTAGAAGAATTCAATTGCTTGTCCTTCACCAAAGATTTGAAGGTAAAAGCTAACGGAATCAAATAAAATAACAATTTTTGTTTTATTTTTAGCCGAGCAAAAAACTTCCTACTCTCAAAGACGCCGAAATGAAGAGAAAAAAGGAAGAGGAAGAGAAATTGAAGGCTATCAAAAATGCTACCGATGAAAAGAAGAAGAAATCAGATGGAGATGAAAAAAAGAGAAATGATATTGATGATACAAAGAAGGATGCTGAAGAAAAAAATAGAAAAACGGGTGAAGAAAAGTCAAGATCGGATAAGGAAACTGCTGAATTCGTCCAATTGAACGAAGAACGAGAAAAGAAGCGTAAGGAAGATGAAACACAAAATGCAGTGAAGCCGCAAGAAAAAAAGAGCGAAGAACCAGCTGAAAAGGAGCACAAGAAGCTCTCTTTTGCTGAATACAAGTCTCGAAGAGCTAAGGAAGCGATTGATCTGAGTATCCCGAAAACTAGAAAATCTACTGGATTTATTCCAAGTATTGAAGGATGCAGCCAAAAATTCATTCCGGTAACTTGTAAAATCTTACGCTTTGATAATTTTTGAAAATTTTAGCTTTCTGCCATAGCTTTGGGACCAACTGGATCACAACCCCCACCTCCGCCAAAAATGTCTGCTCCGTCAACTTCTTCCGTTATTTCAAAGGGACCGAGAACTCCTCCAGCAAGTCCTTCAGTTACCAACACAGTTATTACATCATCTGACGATTCACCTCAACATAGTATGTCTCTTCGCGAGCGTTTATTGAGCGAATTCGGGGTTGGTAGTAGCAGTTCTCCGGTTAAGAGAATTGGTAGGTCCAATATTTTCTCTTTAATTTTATTCATAAATTAATTCTAGGTGCTGAAGGCCCATCGATGCGATCCCGTCCATCCCGATGGCAATGAACATAATGTACATCTATTTAAGAAACATTTCAACGTCCAATTTGATTCTCCAAACCTAGCTCGTCAGTTTTCCAAGAGATAAGAAATGATTAGATTGAAAATTTTAAAAATCGTCTAATAATACACCAAATATTACCCGTAAAACTTGCATCTCGCCTTAAAAAATTTATATTCTGTTTAATCCGGTGTTTGATCTTCAATTAAGAAATCCAGCAGCATTTTCTCATCATAAATGTCGTCACTCCACTTTTGTAAATGTGTCCTGTTGCGTTTTTAAAAAATCCTTTTTCGCTTATTATTTGTTTTGTATAAGTTCAGTTAATATTGTATGTGTGCTTGATATTTAATGCGTAGAAAATGTTTAGTATCCCGCCGAAGTGCACTGACCGTAAATCTAACCCGAAACATGCATAACTCTATGGTGCGCAGATTATTTTGTCTTCTTCTCGGATGCTTTGGTAATATAGGGCTGGCCCAATTTGTACAGATTTTTGTTCCTTGTTTTTGTTCCCCACATTTGAATAATATTTGTCTTAAAAGGCATCTCTTCCAAAGTTTCTGAATTCTTAAAAAATGTTTCCCATTTATTCAATATTTCTTTTCTCTTTGCAATTCTATCTATGTCACAATTGATCTGAATTTTTTGAATTGATAATCCCATAGAAACAACATTCCGGAAATCGCATTTATTAGATTGAAGGATTCTACCTCTAAAATTGGCTCATATTTCTAATCTCTTCGCATTTTCTACAAAAATTGAAAAAAGCAGAAAAGTTGAAGAAATTGGCAATTTGGAGCCAATAATAATTTTCGTTGTATACCTATCTCTGGAAATAAATGAATAAATGCCATTGATAGTCTTTACGATTTATATTGAATATGTGAGATGCCAATTTTGCCTGAGACAATGCGTGTACGCTAGTGCACTCTGTTAGATGCAAAAGAGGAAGAATACGTCGATATTCTGGAGCCTTGAAATAGTCGCGCAGTTGGGAGACACAGACGACGAGACGGCACATGGAATGAGAAGAAGCACATCGACGAGCACGACACTCGAATTTGGCCGCGCGCGGCTCTTCGACGACAATATTCATCCCATTTTTTATGTAATCGAATTGATTTAATTCAACAACAATATTATGACCGAAAATATACAAAAATCAACTATTCTGTAAGTTTTATATTTTTAATAAAAATATTTATTTAGGTTTGATATCGAATTAATTGAGCCGTATTAGTAAATTGCGGTTAGAATGGCTTAAATTGTTGAAATTGAATGTGACAAAAAAAATCTAACAACGAGACGTAAGACGAATTATTGAATACCCAATTTGGAAAAAAATTTAAAATTTAAAAGGGCTTTTTTGCAATCCAATATCTGGTTTTCAATCATTTTATCGAAAAAATTGTCAAGATTTTTTAGTACGTTTCTCGTACGTTTTTATTAGAATAAGTGATTTGAATAGAACTCTTATGTATTCATTCAACATTGGTTCAAAAAACGAAAGTATACAATTTCACCGCCAAAATAATTTTGTTTATTAACATTTTCATTTAAGAACGAATATTCACGAAAACACTCCATAATTCTTGCTGTGTTCTTCTTTTCTCACATAAAAGAAAAATGAAAAAGAGAAATTCAGGATATTGTGGCTCATTGTGAGCTGTCAGACGCAGTCGTGCTCCGAACAAGATTACGAGTTCACTTACACCAATTGCGATGCGAATGGCGAACGATGGCGAGTGGCAGTTCCCCGCGAAAATGTGCAGTGCAACGACCTACCGCCGCCACAAAAAGGATTGAATTGTTGTAAGAGCATTCATTGTTTCGAATAACACAATCCAATTTCGAAAATTCCAATTTAGCCTTCTCATGTCCGCCCGGAAATTATCTGAGCCTCGACACACAACGATGTCGTCCGTGTAAACCAGGTGAGAAAAAAAAATGTTGTTGAAAAATAAGGAATGAATTGATTCAGGCTACTTCAGCCTTGGCGGTGGTATTCGATTCGAAGAATTTGTAACACTTCCGGCTGGTTTTTCGATTGACACATTCGATCCGACACCTGACGGTTTTTCGAATAAACCGGCTGAAGAATGCCCGAAAGAGTATGTCATAAAAACACAGAGAATATTTTAAAAAAATGTAAGCAATTTTAGAAGGGGATGGATTGTGAAGGATGGCGAACTTATTTACATTCCGACACCATGCATTTCTCGACTTTCGTTTTCGGCAAATCTTGTCAGGCCTGGATCCGTCGAATTCACTTACAGGTTAGTATGATCTCTTTTTAACAAATATTTAATATTCAATGAAATTATTAAATAAATAAATATTAATATAAATGTATATTCTTTAAAAAATAATTTTCAAATTTTTTAAATGTTATAGGATGCCTCGGAATAGTCGCGGACTCTCTCTGCATTTTGACGTTCGAAATGAACAATGCCAAAGCTACAGCGATTTGGCACGAGCAGCACTCGTCAAGTATTCATCGAGAGGACGTAAAGACGAAGAAGAGAAAAATGGGAATTGGAGAAGACGACGAGTTGAGCTGAGATCGGGATCAAATGTGATCTCATGGACTGTTTCGAATAGTTTGGAAAATCAAGTATCACTTGAACCCATCCATTTCACCAGGATTGATATCTTAGGTATTCGATTCGAGAAGTAACCACTCATACTAATAATTAATAGGTCTTGCATTTACAAGAGAGTGCACGGCTTGTCCGCCAGGCACCTACTCGTTGGAAGCATCTGCAGAATGTGTTCCGTGCGCGGCGGGCTCATTTTCGTCGAAAGGCTCAGCGAGATGCGGAACGTGTCCACAATCGCAGTATTCCGGAATTCGGGCAGAAAAATGCATTGATCGTCCGCCTTGCCGACAATCCGACTATTATCCGATCCGTGAGCCATGTTTGAACGGATCCAGCAGGTTGGTTTACAAGAAAGTCTTGCCCGCAATCTGTCGCGATGATCTACCCGATGCCGCCAAGCTTCCACCACCTGGTCCTTGGAAACCGTGTCCGAAATGCAATCCTGGAATGGCAAAGAATGCTCAAGGAGTGTGCGAATTCTGTCCGAAGCACCATTATTCCGATGGAAATGGATGCCATCGATGCGCAGTTGACACCGTGCCCAACTATGGTCTGCAATACGTTCAGTGGGATGTACTGCCTCCCAAGTTAAGCTCACGCTGTGAATATATTTCAAACGGTAGAATACTTGAATTATTTCGATTCAATTCTCATTACTCATAATAGATGCTCCTGTATCTTGCGACATCGGCGAAGCATGGATTCCTTCTGGCGGCTCTCTCACGTCGGCTCCTTCAATGGAACGAGGAATCGCATTCGAATTGATTCTGTCAATCGATGAGGGATTTTGGAACCCTCTTGCCCCGAAACCCACTAAACATTTGCAAGTTCCTGTGGCCCAAATCACCATCGTTTTTGAAACTTCCTGCCAAGATTCTTCATGCGCATTGTACTTCATTGAAGATATCGCGGCAGCTAGTGGCGAAAAAGAATCGTTCTTTAAATTTCTCGCCGCCTTCAACGGAACTCAACCGAAGAAGGTTTGGTCGCATACGGTGACTAAAAATACTCCAGCGAAATTCATGGTCCGTTAAAATGAGTGTTCTAAATTATTGAGTTATCCCTTTTTAGGTGGCATTCCTTCGATCCGGCGTTTCTTCTTCAGATGATTCATTGACTGATGAAGCAAGAATATTTGCAATTAATGTGACGAATGTTGGACACAAGTTGGTTTAATTAATTCTTAAATAAACTCACGAGTAAATTCAGAGGAGGACAAGGTGGAGGTGCGAGCGAATGCTTAGCTTGTCCGCATTCGGAAGGTCAGGAAACGTGTGTTCCGTGTCCAGCCGGAAACTATATGCATGAGCAGGTAGCTCTTTTCTCGATCAAAACTTTATAAGTCGAAATTTTGAGACAAAACTGTGTGTTTCGTGCCCGCCAAATCATGTGGTGAATGCTTCTTCGAGTCACGTTGGAGTCCAAAGTTGCACACCATGTGGACAGGGTCTTACAACCAAGGATGGTGTGACTTGCACCACAAACGGAAAAATCGAATTGAAACAAAACGATAAAAATGTCACCTACAACTATGATTTTAGTCCGTGGATAAACATGTTTGAAATGCTCGTTTTTGGGGTTTTTGAAAATAAATGATTTGCAGAACATGGAACGTGTCAGGCGTCAAAGTTTTCTCGCGCGAAGGATCCGCTTATTATCATTCATTTCGAGTTTCGCTATTCGCGAAAAATAACGAATGCGAAGAGCAATATGACAGTTTCGATCTTGTTGGATTCTTGGATACGCCGAAGGAAAGTGTCGATGGAATGGTGTGTCGAATGACGGCGATTCCCTCCAATTCAAATGTCACAAAAATTGCCTACGTGACACCGTTGCTGTAAGAATTCCCATCATTGAGCATGGCTTATCTTTCTTTTTTTTCCCTCAGATTGGCGTCGAGATTAGACGCAATCACAACCGACCGAAATCATTCCGGATTTTCACTGAACGACGAGATATTGGAATACGGTATGCATACATATAATGTTGAATGGACTTAATGATAAGAAGCGATTGGAATTTGCAGAGAAGAACACAACTCGACCGTTCGATGTTTTCTTTTGGTATGACCCGATTCCAACTCCTCCACAATCATGCCCGAATGGAACGATTCTGGCAATTGTGGCTCGATGTCAGCCGAACAAGAAGGAACCTCAGATGAGACTGCCGCATCAATGTCCGGACGGCACATGCGATGGATGTGTGTTCGCGATTATTCTCGAAGCAGCTCAAGCTTGTCCAGTTTGTGATACTGACGACTATGAGGTGATCAGAGGAGAATGCATTGATGGAAGGCAAACAATCCATTCCATACCAAAACAGTAAGTCGAGCAACTTTTTAATAATGAAACGACTTTCGTCGAATTCCATATTTGGCAAACATTTAATCCATACACTTTAAAAAGAAGATTAATCTTCGAATATCGGGTTTCATTAAAAGAGACCAGCGCATTTATGAAAACGCTGAAGTCATTGGTTTCTTTTTTCAGCCATTGCGTTCTTACTGGCGCCGCTTCTGATTCACACTATCAGCCATGCTCCATCTTCAGTCCAACTCAGCGTCTGATGATTCTCATTCTTGCCTCGTTCGTCGTCGGTCTTGTCATCTTGGTGTGCATGATGTGCAAGAAGAATCAGCGACTCGAGTACAAGTACACTCGTCTGATCGAATCGCGAACCGGCGAACTTCCGGAAGTCGAATCATGCGGTCTCGACGAAGACGATGAAGATGATGAGCTCAATGATCGTGTCATATTTTCAAAAGGCCGGAGAGATAGGTCGAGAAGAGCATTCAATGAGAAGACCGAAGCTGACAATGCGGCATTCATTTCGCTGGATAATGATGTGTAATTCTCTTCCTCCTCCCATATCAAACAGTATTTCATTTCTTGGCCCCAACTCATCCGTGTTTTCCTTTTTGAGACGTGTTTTTATTGTGTTGTGGTGAACGTTTTTCGCTAGTGGAAAAAAGCATGCCAAATTTATATCATATATATATAAATAAGTTTCAAAGAAGACCCGTTTTGTATATCAGACAAATTCTTGGTTCATGCTTGTTGTGAGGTAGTAGGACCAGTAGACGAGATTGAACAAAGCAAACATCTGAACATTTGAAATGACGATCCGATTGTTTCTGTGAGAATTACCGTTGGAAATGCCATGCTGGCAACACGATCTACGGCCGCGCCGAATTCGCTTCCTTTCCGATTTGCAGCGCTGAATCGATTCTTCGAAGGCTGTCGTTGAACGTTTCCATTCGCCAATATGTTTGAATACGGTGCCTCTTGGGCCTCGCGTAGGCGTTGATCCTGCATTTTGTCATTGTATGCCACAATAGCCAGTTCAATGAGCGAACAGAAGATGAAGCCGACACAGCTGAACATCCAGATATCGATGGCTTTGACATAAGAAGCCTATAATGAAATTTACAAATTGCAAGGAGGTTTTGATTCGTTTAGAACATGTATTATCGGCGTCAAACAACTAACGATGGCTGGAAATTCAACCGCAAAATCAATATGGATATATGAAAATTGTGAATTTACGCTCGGCCTAAATATTATCTGCGCGTACGATAAAATGCCGAGTACGCAAACACGCGCACGCTTTTTTTTGCCTCGAGACAGCTGGCAAATAGCCAATGTTTTTTCTTTTTAATTTCGTTCAGTCGTTTGACGCCGTCAATAAACTTTTGGAAGGGATTTGACGATGTTGCCAAATTGAAATGTGAGCGCCATTAGAGAAGAAACGGAAAGAGTTATTCGAGCGGGCAACGCACTGCAAATCGATTTAAGACAAATTGAGTGGGATTCATATTTTTCGTACCGAGTATCCATCCAAAATGCGATCCATGAAATGAATACCGAAATATATGTTGGAAGATACATCTGAAATGCGAATTTCATGCATCTTCTACCCATATGCATATAAAAATTTGAAATTCTTGTCAAAATCCATATAATTTGGTTTTCCGTCGAAAAATTTAAATGTGTCAGCTCGTGTTGCTCACAAACAACAAATCAAATCGAGAACAAAAACATCGAAATTCAATTATTTTCTAAAAACGACATTTTCTTCCCCAAATCGACTTACCTGCAGAATATAAAAGCCGTAAAGTCTTTCGAAATAAATTGATACCGACAATCTGTGCCATATTCCCGCTGTGTAAACTTCTGTGAAATTCGCATAGGTGATATTGGTCATTTTGAAATCCGGCAGATTGTAATCGTCTCGAACGGTGCTCACTGGGGACCATTCGAGCCAATACAGTTCGACATCGGCCGCATTATACGAGTAGCTCTCAAACACAAGAGTGCAGCGGATACTGTCAAGGGGAAAATTGCGGAGGTCCATCTGACACGGAGCCTCAGATCGAATACGGTAGTTGAGCCAAATGGTCCCGTTGGGAAATATCATTAAAAGAATATTCGGTTTCGGCGAAGCGTGGACTTTGGTCGATTTCGAGTTAACAATACATACGTTCGGCGACCAAAGTCGAGGTTCCATATCGTGATCAAGGGACAAATTTTTTCGACATGGATCCAGATGGGTGTAGGCTAATCTGAAAGTGCGAGAATTGTATTTTCGAACCCTGATAATTTTTTTCAACCGTTTGTCGTTCCAAATGGCACTGATCCAATAGTCGATAATGAATGTACCAGTGATTGCCGAAATATCCGAAATATCTTGTATTGTAATCTCTACTTCCACTTTGACCGGTGATGGTTCAGGAAGAACATTTCTGAATAGCTATATGCTTTTATGATTAACCATTTCACAATTTTTTCGCAAATGATCCTAAATGTATATAATTGGTTGCTATATTCGAATATTGCACATTCTTAAAGATAGCTCTCTTAAAAAGAATCACTTCAAAAAAAGTTTAAAAATATTAAATGGAAAGAATGTAGTTTGAGAAGACTCATAGTTTCACATGCAAAATTGGTTTTTTTTTTATTTTTTACATGGTTCATTTATATTTTCTTGTAGTCTTAAACAATTGAGTCTCAGAATTTTAATTTAGATCTAGTAATTTCGAGCAGGGCCATAAGGAAAGATGTCCCCATCATTTATTGAGATACCCTTTGAGTGAAGGTTTCATAATTTTCCTCAATGCTTTCCTATTTTTTTGTCTCCAGAATGTCTAACACCTAAACCCGTCAACACAACTTCAAATTATACGCGAAAGTGGCGATTAATCGGAATAGTCGTCAAGTAGATCAGAAGTCAAACGAAAAAAAAACGAATAAGCGAAACCTTGAATAATTTGCCATTAAATGAATTGCCAAATCGGTAGCTTTTGCAGCCGATGAATGTCCGCCACTCGAGCACGTGAATCCGTCGATGAACTCGTCTTTGGCATCGGGCGCCACTTCATTTGTGATGAAGACGGCCAAAAGCGTCTGAAACAGTATCCAATGCATTCTTTCGATTTTCTAGCTAAACATTTCAACGATTTAATGCCATTTTCTACCATCTATTATTATACCGATTTTTTTTGAATATATTGAATAAAAGTTGTTGTTGTTGGGTTGGATACACAGGATTTGAAATGGATAAGTGTTGTGACTTCTCGCTTTTCAACAATTTCAATATTTTTCAAGTATCGCAAAAAATGCGAAGAAATATCAGTAGAATAGGAAAGGAGGGATTCAAATACCATTTCTCAACCATTTTCAACACATTTTTGTTCTCTGAAGTCAGAAAATCAACTCATTTCAACCACTTTTTAAAAAAATAAAAAGTAAGAAATGAATGACTTTGAGGAACACTAAAAATGCTTATTTTCAACTATTTTTATACATTTTCAACTGATTTTTTGTTGGGATGTCGATTTCATTTTTCATTTCGAATGTCCCTTAAATGCAATATTTTCATACCATTTTCACATTTTTCAAAAAAAAAATCAATGGATGTCGATTTAAACAAAATGAGGTATTATCGCTGAAGATCAAAATATTGAGTATTAAATGGCGAAGCCAGATAAATATTTGAAACCTGTTCCAAAAAATTAGTGAACACATTAGATCTAAAGAATTTCGGTGGCATCATTATGAGGGACACCACAAGGAATTGAAGAGAAGAAGTAGGAATTGTGAATTTAGATTCTTCTAATAGTGAAAGTACTCACTGGGTTTCTAATTGTAAGGTTAAATTTAGATAGACTTTGAACATCTGGTGTATTAAGAAATTACAGTCATCTGACAAGCTTAAATGTTTCATTTTTTCAGTCGACGACGATTGATAGCTTCAAATGGCATCAGCGAAAAGAATGTTGACTTCTACGAAGTGGGCTTTTGAGACTTCAAAGTCGAGCTGAGTCCTTTGATTCTTAACATTTGAGATGAATCCTAAATCTCGAAATAAATGAGAAAATAAACCTGGATGGCCACATCAAAGCGACCATGAGTTGCATTGCCTTCATCATCGAAATTTTACGACGATTTGACGCTAACAACCAGATGAATTCGGCTTGGCTGAATTAGGAACCAAAACGATATCAATTCCTTAATCGAATTTTGCTTACCGGCGCCAACTAGAGGAACCACGATAATTATTATTATCTGTGCAGTCTGAAAAGCAGCGACAAGATATTTGATCTTATGATATGAGGGGAAATTCTTTAAAAAATGGTTATAAAGGTCCTCCTTCCTATTCTACTAATATCTCATTTTTTGCTCTAAATGACCGAAACTTTTAGATATTCTCGCCGAAATCATATCAGACGTTAAGCACGTCGAATATTTTTCGGATTGAGTTCAAATTTCTAAAATTTGTATTGTTGATTATTGAGTTTATGCAAAACTTGCGATTTGCAAGCACTTCATAACTAAGGAATTAATTGACTTCTCACTGATTGCATTGAATCAGCATCCCTCTGAGCCTGAGTCTTCAGCTCATTTGTTGTGCTCACTCACCTGTATACTGAATATCATGTGAAAGGCTTGCAAAACGACGTCATTTCATTGTGGTGCTGAATATTCAACTGTAGGATGTGTGGAATGAGTGGAGTCTTCGCAGTTGCCGTCAAAATAAGATTTGCGAGCAGCGAAAATCGCGCGATGGAGGCCAACGCAAAAAAAGTACAACGAAAAGTGAATCAACGGGCATAATTTGAATAAATGAACGACGGAGGGAGCCCACAATGGTTTTACGAATCGATGAATTTGTTGTCGAGTTTATTCAACAATTGCTATATGTATGGATAATAATTTTGAAAAGCGGAAAAAATGAGAATAGAAGACGTCGAGTTGTAGTCGAGGATTGACCAAATCTAATAAGTTTTTTTTTGAAATTTCAAAGTCACAAAAATGTTTTTTGATGCTAGCAATGAGTGGTTTTTTCTAAAAATATTATCAAAATCTCAATTCTTGTCCGTTTATTTTCCATAAAAGTAATTTTCGTCCATCTGAATTCTCGTTCTGAATTTCGCCACACACCACGAAATTGCAAGTCTATTTTTGGACGAGATACCGACACTTCGACGCCACATAATTGAAATATTGATATCCGTTATCATTGACAGAATTGAAGGCGTTGTTTCCCCGTGACAAACAATGGTGGCTTCGTTTTTCGTTTTGGTAAGAAATCAAAAATCTTCAATATGGCTTATAGTCTTCAAACACCCCAAAAAAAACAATATATAAATATTTGCATTTGTGGTTATTTTAATGATATGCGAATGTTTGCATTGAGAATGTTTTACAATCAAATACTACGATTTTTAGAAATTTGATGGGGTTTTTCTCAAATATCTTCCAAAAATGTTCAATCAAATGTTTCAAATTCTTTCAATTTGTATCTCATTCTATGTCTCTATTTTTCAATTGAGCATTTATCAAAAATTATGAATAAGCTCTGATGATTTTTTTTCGCTTTAAGATATTGGTAAGCTGGAATCACAAAAATTCTAATTGAGCGAATTCATCAAATTAGCCATTTTCTAGAATTTCAATTATCAATATAGAAACACTCGGCTGCTCGAAATTTGCATAAAAACTGATCGGAAAATATTCCGAACTACATTGATGATTTTTTCTGTCCAAAAATGGTATATACTTATTTAAGAGAATGAATTTCGTATATTCAAGCTTCTTTCGATGTCAAAGCCTATAATCGTCAAATAAAGAGAGAGTAGCATTTTTTGGAAATAATAAAATGTTTCTGTCGGGTCGCAGAATGGAAGAATTATGACAAAATGACAAATCTTAAAATGTTCATTGATATCGGAAATGCCTAAGATCACTTTTTTTCGAGAAACCCATTAATCGTCTGGGTCGCGGTTGTATAATGAGGATAGGATAGAAGACGATATTCTTTGAATGCCTCCACCCATCGAAATCGCCACCCAGAAATACACCAACACATTGGTCAGTTGTGTTCTCTAATCGTACGATTTTTGCAACTTCCGCCACTTCCGATTCGCCCCCCCCACTCTCCTTATCAATTTTTGTCTTAATCGTGTTTTTTTGTTCTCCATCTCCTTCATCTTTTCCTTCGCTGTTGCGGTCGACGCGGCGGCCTCTGCTGGCGGTTTTCACACCGCCATATCCCATTTCCGGTCGTCATTGTGTGTTTGTTACCACTAATATTTTATTCGTCAATTCATCTCATCTCGTTTCCAATTCTGCGTGTGTCGGTGTGTGTGTGTGTTTTTTGTTCGTTCGCCCGTCCCGACCTACGCGTTTTGTGCAGGAAATGTCTTGTTGTCGGTCGAGCAGCACCAATGCTCAACTTCGCTTCAGCCCACGTCTTCCCATTATGAACAACATTTTTTATTAAATAACCGCGTCTAAATATAGCCGCTCGGCACATTCAAAACTCGGTTGTAAACGACGAGCATTAAACGATTGTTATGCAAATTTTCAACAAAAAAAAAACTGAAAATGTCAACAATGAAAATCGGCAACGAAAAAACGAGTGAAATATTCAACAATCAAACAGTTTTGAATGCAACCCATCAAAAAACATATTTGAATAATCGCTTCGAATTTTTGGTTCATTCAAAGTCATTTTTTTTCGATACTGAATGCGGTCACGCGTTCTTTTTTTCCAAGAAATTGCGAAACATTTATAAAATGAATTTTCTCATGCAATAAAATCTAAATTGCCCATTTCGATTTCATTCCGAAACATTTCATTTTGTTAGTTTTTCCAATGATTTTGGTTCATTTTTCTCAACATTCAATCTTACCAACAAACATCGCAAATTGAACCTAAATGTTTAAAATGGTTTCTAAATTATGATCCGATATTTTTAGACAGCATACATATGTACATATGTAGTAGCTATTTTCGCAAACTGTCATTAAAACGATTCGCCGTTTAAAAATGTGTAATAAAGGTGAAAGAAGGGGGGGGGGTTAAAGTCAAAACGGCCGAAAATACCGAGAAATGATTTTATAAACATTTGAACATTATTAAAATGTGGGCGAAATCGAACAATTTCTATTAATGATAACCTATCGCAAATGAAAAACAAAATGGTTTGTTCGAAGAATCAGCTGCATTTTCCAATTTTATCAAATGCGGTTTAATATCGAAGATTTATGCTCTTTTTTGAGATAATATGCCAATATTTCTGACCCTTCAAATATGCAATAATCTAGTCGAATCGTCGAACAATTCAGTCAAATCGACTTTATCTTGAAATTCCATCTTTGAAAACTCCAAATTGGATTTTTTTACCCAGTTTTCTTAAGTGTTCTTCTTAAGAAATCCTAAAAAAAAAGATCAATTTCAAAATTTATTTTTTTTGTCATTTCCTAAACTCCTTCTTACACATTTTTTTCAACATTGCTTTTTTTAAATAAAAATGTGTGGTGTTTTCACTCCAACTTGATTCCATCGGGATTTCGCCGCCAAGATTTATGATTGTTTGTGGCTTTTGATTGAGGTAACCCATGGAGAAGTGGCATATGAGCAAGAGCGCTAATTATAAGGTACAATCGAAACTCCCTATATAAAATACGTCGAAGAAGTGGGCGCATTTTGATTTTTTTTGTGCAAAAGCTTCTGCTCCAAATTTCGTTTTCTTTTTTTTGACGTGAATCGAGCGGAAATTTGTGTGCGCTCAGAAGGCCTCATCTATTTCGGGCCCAAGTTTTGTCTATTATTGGACCCCACGCAATTGTCTTGTTCGATACACCGGAAATACGAGGATGATGATGAGAGATAACAAAAAAGAGTTTTTGTTGCGCCAAATTTGGGCATTGTATTCACTCATTCAATCGTTCATTCATTCATTTTCGGACTCACCCTCTCGTCTTTGTTGTCCAAAAAAAAATGGAGAATTTGCCCAGTTATTGTTTTTTTTCTTTCGATTCCAGAAGACGGCCTCTCTCACGAGAATTATTTCCATTCTTCCTACGCTTTTAATTTCAATTCGAAGCCACACACAGAATTTCGTTTTTTGATTATTCGATTTTGGCTTTCGTTCCATTATTCATTTTGCGGTGGTCGATGGGGCTGCGTGCGTGGGCGGATGAAGCTCGCTTTTCTTCTGTACTCGAATGCTCAAATGTAATTGCCTCAACGGGCAAAAAAAGGCCGGGATTTTTTGTAAGTAATTGAGCAGTTATTATTTATGTACGACTCTTCGTTTCCTACGACATGTCATAAAAGCGTCGAGCTTCTTCTTCTTCTTCTTCTTCTTCTTCTTCTTCTTCTTCTTCTTCTTCTTCTTCTTCTTCTTCTTCTTCTTCTTCTTCTTCTTCTTCTTCTTCTTCTTCTTCTTCTTCTTCTTCTTCTTCTTCTTCTTCTTCGTCGTCGTTTCTCTTGAGTCATTGTTCAGCCTAATGCCATAAATCTCATCTACCGTAGTAACAAATGGGCGGTCTCGAATGTCGCGCGGCGAATTCATGCACACCCACGGCGACCGAGCCGACTCATTCGTACAACAAAAAAATTGAGCATTGAGTATTTTTTATTCCTTTTATGGACAACTCACCATCAGGTAACTTCACTCCAATCGATCTTTTTTTTTCGCTAGCGCTGGATTTTATTTTGAGATTGGATATTTCGGTCAGTTGCTAGTTAAAATCGCAGCGTTTTTTTTTTGCAAGAATCTCAACCGAAAACTTTTTATGCAAGATATATTGAAATATTCGCATGAATGACGCTGGAAATACTTGAGAATGTCACAGGAAGTAGTCGAAAACGGTTTTTTTTTTTTAAAAATGAGCAAAAGTCTGAAAAGAAAATATTGATTTTTAACGTTTTCTTTAAAAAAAAACCCTTTGAATTAGTTGTGAAAAGAAACATCAGGAATTGCTCAGAAAATGAGTCAGAATCTTAAAATAATGAAAATTCTGTTGTTCATTTTTCAAACTCAGCTCCGAATTAATATATATTTTTTTGCGTCATTAAACGTTCGGTGGGGCGGACTCGTGGGAATTTCCCACCAATCAAAAAAAATAGCAATAATATCAAGTTCAAAATTGTTCCACTAGATTTTATTCGTTTTCCGGCTCACCCTAATTCCATTAATTTAAAAATATGACCATTTTTGCTCATACTAATTCTTCATTTCCGCCTTATTCATCATCAGAAATTTTTTCATCTTTGATTGTTCATATACAGGGTGTCATTTAAGTTCCCGCACAACTTTGAAGGCATATATTTCTGAAACTAAAAGTCCAAATCAAACGAGACTCGAAATATTTTTTATCTATAGTATAACAAATAATTATCTATTAACTCTTTTTGATTCGGTCTCCTTTCGCAGCTATGACTTCACGGAGACGCTTCGGGTAGGATGTGACTGTGGTACGCAGGTATTCGATGGAAAGATTGTCCCATTCCACCAGTAATGTCTTCTTCAGAGCCTCTATACTTGAGTGGGGTTTTGCGTTGACCTTCTCCTGCAAGAGCCCATCACGGAAAAGTCAGGCGGGTTCATGTCTGGGGAGAAATCAGGCCATTCGGATGACTTGATGAAGTCGGGAAAATGGGTCTGGCACCACTCCTGAGTAGTTTTGGCAGTGTGGGCGGGTGCTCCGTCCTGTTAAAAAACCTATTTCTGCCCACCGAAATGCGTTTTGGCCCAGGGTATCACATGCTTCTCCAAAATGTCCCGAACGTAGACTTCTTTGTTCACTTTCACCCCCTGATCCGCGAAAACCAGGGAGCACTTCCCGGTTGAGCAGATGGCACCGAAAACCATCACACTGGCAGGATGTGAGGCTGGATGATATGTTCTTCCTTTCTCAGAAGCTTGCTGGGATGTCTGGGCAAGTACTCGATGGTTTTGTGAGTTGAATGCCGCCTCCACAGTGAACAGCTTCTCGTCGGAGAAGACAGTGGCGAGGTGTTCTCCAGACCGCGTGCGAGCAAGAAGTCGTTTTGCTTTTTCGAAGCGTCTCTGCTTGTTGACGGCCGATAGAATTGCCGCTTTTTGGACACGATATGGGGTCAGTACAAGCTTCGTTTTGACGATTTGTTCCAAAGCGAAAATGCTCATTCCCACGTCTGACGCCATCTTTCTCATGCTCCTGTGTGGGTTTCGCCTGATCTTCGATTTAACGGCGTTGAACTTCTGAGGAGTGGTTACCGAGACGAGTCTTCCTTATCTGGGACGGTCACTGGTCGTATTTAGTTCCTTGAAACGTTAGATGATGTCTTAAACCGTTCTAAGAGGCACACCGAGGCGTTGAATGATGTCTCTCAGGCTCACATTTTGCTTATGAAGTTCGATAATGGAAGCGCAATGGATGTTAGCCTTCGCCATTTCTCGGAAACACATCCGAATGAGGTAAAACATGGAAAGTAAGTAAAATATACCTTATTTAACAAAAATAAATTGTATTGGTGCACGAAAAGTGCGACAGCCAAGCTCTTCATGGCGTCAAACTTTTGTGCGGGAACATAAATGACACCCTGTATTTCTCATTTATCAATTTATTTTGGTATCGTAATTGTATAATCAACAAGAAGAAAAATGAGCTGATTTAATCTCGTTGATACCGTAGGAGAAGCAGCGAAAGGAAATAAGACGACTGCCGACCGCCCTTCCTCTTCCCCTCCCCCCCCCCTTCTCCTTCCTCCTCCAAAAAATTTATTATCTTTTTCATCCATTGTGCTACATCGACATTGAATGTTCAGAGAACATTCGGAGATCTCATAAATTGTGCAAACGTGACGTTGAGATAGCCATCTTCTTGTGTGGCCATTTCGTGCTTCCATCAGTGAGTTCAAAAAGAGGCAAAAGCTGCGCAAACGTTGGTAGAGGCGGCTACAAAATGATTCGTCGTCGGCGAATGATTCACAATCACACGATATTTGTTCATTGGCATTTCGCCAGACCGACAGAAGCATTTATTAAAAATCCTCTCGTCGCAATCATTGAGGTAAACACAAATATTGTTCATCACAAGATTGCGGTTGTTCATTTTTTTTTTCTCGTTCGTATTCGAAAACTTGCAGCTTCTAAAAAAGTGACATATTCTGAAATATGAGATGTCGGAGGTCTCATGTCGATTCTCCTTAAATGTCCTTACTAATTGTATCACGATAGACTTGAAAACTAACCAATTAATTTTTGATTTGATCTATTCATACCGGGAGATCAAATTGGTCAAATAAATTAAAATTCCTCATAAATTAAATACTTCTTGGTCTAAAGTTATGTTTTAAAATCAGGATCTTTGGTCTTTCCTGAAAATCAATGTACTCAGGACGAGAAAATGAAGAAGAAGAAGCATGTCGCGCCTTCTTCTTCTTCTTTTTGTTCGCCTTCCGCTCTCTCTTTTTGTTCCTCGTCCTCCTCCTCCGCTTCCTCCGATTCTCCCTCGTTTTCATTTTTCCACATGTGCGGGTTTGGTCGCTCACTCCGAAATTTACTCCCACGCATTGCAGTGTGTGTGTGTGTGTGTGGAGCAGCTTCATCGTGTCGTTGGCTTCTCTGTGGATCTCGCCGCCGAACACACTGTTTCGGTTGCGCACACGTTCTCTTCGACAATTCCATCAGCTCTCACCTGAGTCTGTGCCAGACTTTTGAATCTTTCACGCCCCCTCCCCCCCGGCGCCCAAATTTTTTTCGTGTCGGCCGGGCCGGGCCGACCGGCCGACCCAGCTGAGCTTCGACGGCTGTTTTTGGTGTGGTGCGCAACACCCACCCACCCTCTCACCATCACTACCAACACAGCTGTCAGCTTATTGAATTATGGTTTCGGATTGGGCTAAAGTCGCCGAATCTCTTCGCGATCATATTTCATTCATTTTCTACTATTTTTAGAAAAAAAAGGCAATCCGATTCGAAAACATTTTCAAATCTCTTGTCTTATTTTTCAATCTTCCTCTTATTTGTTTGTGTTCTTGTGTTTATTTATTTATTCGTCGAAAATGTAAAAAATAGAAGTGTTCGAAACAAAAACAACTATACGAATTTCTTTCGCGTTACTTTTCATTCTTCTTCCGTTTTTTTATTCCACAGTTTTCATTTTTCTCATTTTCAAATTTCCGCTTTTTGAGCAATGCCCAGCTAAAGCGTTAAAAGGCACTCACATTTGGCCACTTTGCAGGTTTTTTGTTGCATTTATTAAAGTTCAAAGAACTCACCAATAAATGCATGTTTATGTTATCTGTAATACGTGGGAGGAACCCTTAATTTTGTAAATATATTATATTCACACTAATGAGCGTACTTGGAATGCGGCACCAAATAGATCTCATTAATTTGATTGAATCATCCAAAAATAATTATTCGAAAAATATGAAAGTAATCCATTTGTGAACACCGCACTTAAAACGTTCGATGGTATTTAATATGTTATCGATAATAAATGGTGTTGAGAACACATTGAAACGCGGCAAATATTTTTATTAGCGTTGGTTATAAATAAAATGTATGCATTATCATGGAAATATTTGAATGTCTTTCATCGCTCGCTAACACTATTAACCAAATCTTAGACGTGTGTGGTCGATTTTTCCTTGTTCTGTAATTGTCTGTAGGCGCAGTGCGCATGCGTATTTATGTGTAACTTTTAGTTGGAATGTGTCACAATGAATTAGACGCCAATATTGATAGTAGGAATTCAATATTGCGTTTTTTTTTGTTATTGATTTTTTAATATGGTCCTGCCTACACAAATTTTTTATTAAAACCATTCCCCACCCGTCACTTGATTTCTTTTTATTTTTCAACCCAAAACGTGCCGCTTTTCTGCTTTTTTCAAGACGTGGCCTAGATTTTGTTATTCAAAAACTCGGTCGCCCGTGATTTTTTATGAACTATTCAGAATGGCCTATTCTTAATCGTTTTCCACATTCTTTCGACGTTTTCTTAATTTCCAGCGTTGAGTTTTTCATTTAAACGTTTATTTTTATTTTAGCATGCAGTCAACACTGCCGAGCACCTCTCATAATGGTGAGCAGGTTACCGCTGAACAGTTCAACAGGTAATTTTCCTGATTATTTTAAAGATCGCCATCATATTCGCCAGTGCATTAGTCTTTATGTGGGATAATATTAATAACAATAGCAAACTACTTAATACGGATTATGCGAATTAATAGGCTATTTTATATTTTAAAATTCTAATAAGATATATAAGCGGAAGATTAATATACGTCACAGCTGAAGCCTTAATATTAAACTAGTATACGCTGATCTAGAACGTTGGATAATTTTTCGTTTGGAATAAAATGGGAAAAAGATTTGAGAAAAAAGTATTAAATTACAGAATAGTGTCGGAATGTAATGAGAACGACTATCTGCTCCTTGACTGCAGATCCGATGGAGAACCAATCAAACATGCTAGTCGGTGAGCCGTTTCAGAACATAGACAATTATTTATGAAAATTAAATATTTGGTGTAGAGTTCAATTGCCAAATGTGCTTCAAAGACGTTTAATTGCGGGATCTTTGGCTCTCAGTAATGTATCGGCAAGGTTGCAGGTAAAAATGTTTGGTTATTTCATATGTTAAATTTTTGTTTATTTACAGTTATTTTAGATCGTTTTTTTAGTCCGTTTTTTACAGAACATTGATAATGCTCCAAATGTAATAGTGATATGCGGTGAAACGCCATCCGACGAATTAATTTCGAACTCTCTCATCAAATTGCTTCGCCAATACTCCTTCCGATTTGTCGTTTTTTCAGGTATTTTCACATTTCTCCCTAGTTCCAAGCACACATACACACATGAATTTAATTTCTAGAAAGTGTGCGCGAATTATTGGCGAGTTACCCGGATCTGCGTGGATTAACCGACGACGAGATGATGATCAGCTCGCATTCGTCGCAATCGTCCGAAAATAACTATGGTGGTCCGCCAGTCGGTTTCTTGAATATTGGGTTTGTCGGTGCAACTAGTTCAAGCGTGATATCTTTGATTCGCAGATCTTTGAGATTGGAATCAGAGCATACAAAACCGAGAGCCGAGTTTCCTGTCGAGGTTTCGCCATATTTATATCTTGGAAACGGGGAAACTGCGAGAAATCGTGAAATTTTAGACAAGTAGAATCCTATTTTTCCTTTATAAAATTTATAAGTGTTTTAGATACGCAATAACTTATGTAATCAATGTGACGTCCAATCTACCAAACGTGTTCGAAAATGACCCAAACATGCACTATCTGCGGATCTCTGTCGACGACAATTCGTCTCATAATCTGACTAAATTCTTTCAAGACGCGTTCGCATTCATCAAGACGGCTCAAGACAATCAGAAGGGATGTCTCGTACACTGTTTGGCTGGAATCTCGCGAAGTGTCACTATTTGTCTAGCATATCTAATGCACAATCGAAGGTTTTTTGCCCAATTGTTCATTGTCGTTTGTTAATCTTTGTAGTTTCAGAGTGCCACTAGAAATTGCCTATGATTGGCTTCAGAATAAGAATGCGAGCATTGCGCCCAACTTTCATTTCATGGGACAATTGACGGATTATGAGAGATTGCTTGGATTGGAAAACAGCTGTTTTGGGGTATGATTTGTGATTTTAAGTTAAACCGTAAACAAAAATATTCGAAAATTGTTCAACTGAAAAATTCCGTAATAAATATAATGGAATTTCGTTTTCAAGGTCTTATAGTGAAAGTTGAATGATTACACTAAAATTGCCTGGAAGGTATTGAAATTGTGAATTGGAACTAAAAAGTCAAGTAATATAGAATTCATTTTGGTTTTTTTTTCGATGGCGTAAAAAAATTGGAGGATTGCCACAAATGAACAAAACAGAAAACAAAATTAAAAAAAAAAACTATTTAAAAAATCATTTTTTCCTGAATAATAACGATCTTTCAATTTTTATCAGAAACTGTTAAAGTTTTTCTATCAAAAAAATGCTATCTATGTTTGAACTAAACAAAAAAAATTAACTTTTATTCAAATTTCTATTAAATATATAGGATTTAGATCGAAATTTGAAAAAAAAAAACATTAGATATTGAACGAATGAGTTTTAGACATACCCATCAAGTGCACCGCGTTCGCCATCATGTTCCATCGAAGCAGCTGCAACCGCAGGTCTTTTGACTCCGCCGCCGACAAGCTGCTCAGCATCACCCCAAAGTAGTACACATTCAGCAAAATCATTCCATTAATGAAACAAAAACGAAAGGGAAAAACACAATCGAAATACGCCAAATGTATGTACAAAACCCAAATTTACTAATTGAATAGTACCAACACAACTTCCATTTGCTTTTACCACATTTCTCCTTCGTGTTCCATGATATTTAGCAAAGTTTTACAACGTGATGTTTTACCAATTTCTACATATATTTTTTGATTCTTTTAATTACCCAAATGAGCCCGAATTTCGCTTCTATTACTTCTTGTTTTTCTTCTTGTGACGTGTTTAAGTGAATTCAATAAGTTTATGCGTTCCTTCCAAAAAAAAACTTGAGCAAAAAGAAAATGATCGTCATAATTATTTGGTTTCCTATACATTTATTCTTGTTATTGTTACCATGTCCATTCCATTTTCTACAAAACCCACCCATTTTACCCGCAAAAACTGTGCTATAAAACGAAAAAACAAAATTCGGCCTCTGAAAGTGACCATAATTGGACGAGGATAAAGTGTTTTGTGCATAATATTGTTTGTCATATCATTTTATTCCCCTTTTTTTGTTTTATTCTCGTTTGACACCAACAATTGGATCAGGGCATACATTATTCCTTTCCCTACAAATTATTTCCGTCTTCCGCTTCTAATTCTTTTTTTTCTCAAATTTATTTTCTGTCTTGTTTTTCTCAAGTATTATTAATATGTATGTTTATAGTCTCCCGGTCTTGTGATATTTTTGTTCTTTTTTTTCATTTACCGTTTCCTTATTTATGTGTGAGATATAAAATTAATTTGGAAATGTGTGCAGCCGACGAAACATTGAAAATTAGCCTAACAAAAGCGTTTATGATTAAACGATTCGGGCAAACAATTGTGAATAAACGAAGGATCATTGAAAACATGGGCGGAAATGAAAACAAGAAACTCGGTTCAACAAGTTTTTCGCTGAAAAGATGGTTTGAAGATGTCGCACGATTACGAACCATTTATTTTTACAGATTACGGTAACGCGCTCGGTGTACTGCATACAAAACGCAGGAACCCACGACACTTTGAGCATTTGCCGTTTTTAGTGATTTTGGCGCAAAAGCAAAGAGTGTAGATTTACGGACTAAACAGGGACAAGTTAAAGGCGCATACAGCCCGCGACGACCCTCAAATTTAACTTTTTGGCATTTTGCCAATTTTCGGCAACGTAGACATTTCGAATGTTAAGAAAAAAAAATTTTAAGCTGTGGGAAATGAATTGCGTCTTGTCGCGACCGATTCGAGTAGCCAATTTTTTTTTAATTTCGATTATTGGTTGAAACTGGCAATACGTTATGTATCTGAATTTTGCTTGAAGCACGTGAAAGAATTGAATTAACTGAACGTAATGGCCAATCTTGTGGGCTGGTTTTGAGGCAGTTCGACAGCTGACTCCTCGTTTTCACCCTGCTTTCGCTACCTTGGATCGTCCGACGCACGTCGGAAGAATACGAGTGAATTCGAATCGAAATCCGGAAAGAGCAATCAAATTGAAGATATTTCGAGCCTAAACCGGCGAATTTCGGAGCATATCATATTCGATTTGAAACCAATTGACTGCACAGTCCGCAGCGTGCCCGAAATGACGGCGACCTGTGCAGGATTCACAGAAATCTTTCTACTTCTTCCACGACGAGTTTTGCAGTCTTCGAGAATCTGCATGAACTAACGAAGTGTTGAATTGACAAAAAATAAAAATGGCAATCACTGAGTCGCCGAGACTACGTTTGCACAATTCTCAAATTGAATGAAAAACAAAAAAATGAAGGAAAACTGTAGGTTATTTGGCTTCGGGAAATTTGGCTCGGGGGTCCTTTGGGAAATTTTTAGGTAATACTTTTTCCTGATTAAAAAAATCCGGGAAATTTGAGATTTTTGGATTTTGCCCAATTTTAGCAATTTCAGTTTTTTTTTTTACTAAAAACATGAGGAATAATTCCATTTGCCAACAGAAATCCGGAAAAAAAATGAATGAAACACAATCATAAAATTATTTTTTCGCTGGCAATTTGAAATTTTTCCCCATGTAGCGGAATTTGTTTGGTTTTTTTCTCATTCGTTTTTCTCCGCAACCAAATTACCTAGAATTTTCGTTCCATGATATATTTTTTTTGCTTTTTGCGTTCAGCCCAAACCCTTTTAAATTTAGATTTTCAATATATAATCCCAAAATGTCGACTGAATGTTCTGAATAGAAACAATCAGTTCGAAAGTGAAAAATTTCTGAAAATATTTTAAATCAAAACAGGTAGTTTTGAATGATTTACAAACATTTTTAAAGATATATTGTCGGTGTCAAACTGAAGCGAAGCGGACCATTAAAATTCGCGAAATCAGTGTAGATTTAAATTTTTCGTTGACTGACAATCATTTTTTTTATTTCGTCAAGTTTTGTTTAACTTTGGCAATATGCAATAATTATATGTATGTATAGTTTATATCACTTCAAAAATAGGTTGTTCAACTTCTTAAAAAGTGTTGCGATGTTTGAAATTCGATCCAAAAGTTTCATGTTTGTGCAACTGCATGCCGGATGAGCACCGGCACAAATTAGGCCCATCGCTCGCAATTTCTTCGCATCGGCCAACAATTTTCGTTTTGTTTTGATAACATAACATCTCATTTCCCTCTAATAATACGTTTCGGTTGGTTTTTGATGAATACCCTCCACAGTGAATAAATGAATATTTTCAATTCAACTAAAATTCATCGCCATCGTATTTAGAAAAAGAATGAAGTCTAGCGTAAAATGCTTCCTCATCTATTTGTGGAAATGTTTTTTTTTGTTTTAATTCAGTTTCACACCTTCACTAGATTTCAAATTTCGAATTCTGTCAGTTTTATACAATAAAGTTGGCGAGGAAAAAAATGTGAAAATACAAATTTAGTAGATTATTTGCAAAAGTACGTTCATAGCATTCCAACTCTTAATATTCAGTTAACGTTGAATTTTCGCATAAGAAAATCATCACTCAGCCAATTTTTACACTTCTCGGCGACTGCCTCACCCTGGCTCACCCATAGGGTGCCACCCCCAGTGGTGAGGGGCCCCCGACCCTCTGGGCGAACTGCTGCTGCCACAAACAAAAATTAACACCTATCAGTCGTTTGAGACCGATAATAAACGGTTTCTATAAATATATCAATAATTATAGGTTCAAACGGAATTGGTTTAAAAACGTTTTTAATTCAAATAGGGAAGCTTGAAATTTTAGTCTAAATAAATTTCGGTCACCCGGAATTTGTAGACATTTCGACAAGAAATATAAGATAATTTCAACTCTTGTTTCCCCTGCGCTTCCCTTCCCCTTCCTCATTACCTCCCCCCTAGACTGAACAATGAAGTTTTAATTTTCGAACATTCAAACGATTCAACCAATTTCGAGAAAAATCTAAAGCAGATTTGGAATAAAGACGAATTAAATATCTCGAAATAAAATGCGGATTATTCACGAATTTTTGTTGATCTCGATCAGAACTTCTCGTACTTTCCAGATATTTTTGTTACATTCGTTTCATTTTTTTATAAATTTCTTCTGACATAAAATAAAAAAACTTGATTATTTATAAATTCTGCGTTTCGACATCTATTTTTGATAAGATTTCAGAAAAAAAAATAGCAATTTGACAAATCAATACATTTTCGAACATAAATACAGATGAAAATTCATTCACACACACGCAAAATTGCGGACATTTGATTGGCTTTAATAAATTCTCGCATATTTCCAAATTTTTCTCGAAAAATAAATTCAATAAGGTGTGATGGTTCAAATCAAATATTAGTTTGTGGATGCCTCAATAGTTATTTATCGTTTCAAGACCTCATTTGATTATTGTAGATCAATTTTGAATACTCACAAACCATTACATTTTGTTACTTCGGTTAGCTATAGTTTTTGGATTACTATACAGTGCGTTTCACATTTATAAAACCACCCCTGTTTTTGGTTGTAATTTTGTCAATTGTGAAAATTTTTAAATTCGATTTTCAGAATTGAATTCAAGGCTAAAAAATACATATGTGTACCAACTTTCATAATGATACCTGAGAAATTGGCCGAGTGACATTGAATCGAATGTGAAACGGTTGCAAGCGACCAATTTTCAGTATTTTCAAGTTGGTACACATATGCATATTTTAGCCTTGAATTCAATTCTGAAAATCGAATTTAAAATTTTACAAAAATTTAATGGTTTGTGAGTATTCAAAATTGATCTACAATAATCAAAAAAGGTCTTGAAACGATAGATAACTATTGAGGCATCCACAAACTAATATTTGATTTGAACCATCACACCTTATTGAATTTATTTTTCGAGAAAAATTTGGAACTATGCGAGAATTTATTAAAGCCAATCAAATGTCCGCAATTTTGCGTGTGTGTGAATGAATTTTCCCCAATGAATCGCATTTTCTGAAATTTTTTTCTTCACCAAACTTCAAATATTGTGGCGAAAAAATTTTAAATATACGGTTCATAAGGGATTAATGCCATCAACATTATTTATTTCGCAAGCCTACACTTTTTCTTTTTTTTTAAATAAATGTTCAATTTTTTTTTTCATTTTCCCATCGATGTCGAATAGTAATTATTGTGTTGAATTGTTAGAAAAATGCGAGTTTTTCTAAGATTATTTTGCAGAAATCGCGTCTAATCGTTTCCTCGCAACTCTTTGAATGTCCAAGGTCTCATCTCGAAGTTGTCCCATTCAAAATAGTTGACGATCTTCGGACGTTTCTAAACCGAAAATCGTTCCGAACGAGAGAATCGAGAAAAGTATTCGAATGATTAGCACTGAGCTGTATTATCTCCTTTTTTGCCCAAATATTCAGATTGTGCGAGCCGCCGCCGCGGTTGCTGTTTGCTGTTTCGAGTGCTCGCCGCATCCGTTGCTCTCCGAAGCTCCGCCCCTCGACAATTGGCATTCGACTGCAATTTGGCGGCCGTGCGACGACACCAAAATTACGGGAATACAGAATACGACGACACACAAGCTCTC